AAAGGTGGGTGGGCATGCAGACGCTTATTAAATTAAATTACTTGAAGAAAGTTTCACATTTTAGTCACGCGATCGTCGGGCCTCCGATCGCTTGGATTCCCTGATGACAAAACGTTCCGAGTTGGAGGAAAACATGGACGAAATCAAAAGTATGCTGACCTATATGTTCAAGTCTGTGTTTGTGCACCGCTACAGGGATAGTCTGCCAGATATACGAGCCATTTGTATGGCTGAGATTGGCATCTGGATGGAAAACTATCCGCAAAACTTCTTGGACGACTCGTACTTGAAATATATTGGCTGGACGCTACACGACAAGATTGGTGAGGTGCGTCTGCGCTGTCTTCAGTCGCTGCTGCCGCTATATGAAAAGGAAGAGCTCAAAGGCAAACTTGAGCTTTTCACATCAAAGTTTAAGGATCGCATTGTGGCTATGACGCTGGACAAGGAGTTCGAAGTGTCTGTTCATGCCGTCAAGCTGGTCATAAGTATTTTAAAGTAAGTATTCGAAGTCGAATTACATGCTTAATGTAACTGTGTTTAATTTAAATTTGGTTATAGAATTCACCCAGAGATATTGGCCGACAAGGATTGTGAAATTGTGTACGAGTTGGTCTATTCATCGCATCGTGGCGTAGCCCAGGCAGCTGCTGAGTTTTTAAATGTTCGTTTATTTCATCTGACCAACGATATGGAGGAGAACAAGACAAAACGTGGCAAGGTACGGCTGCCAAATACTCCTTTGGTGCGAGATTTGGTTCAGTTTTTCATTGAATCGGAGCTGCACGAACATGGCGCTTATCTGGTGGACTCCTTCATCGACAGCAACGAGATGGTCAGGGATTGGGAATGTATGACGGATCTGCTGCTGGAAGAGCCGGGACCCAATGAGGAACTGCTCGACAACAAGCAAGAGTCAACGCTCATTGAGATTATGGTCAGCAGCGTCAAGCAATCGGCGTCGGGCGAGGTTCCAGTGGGACGTGCAAGCAATCGTAAATTCACATTCACCTCCAAAGAGCTCAAGGCCATTCAGGACGAGAAGGCCAAGCTGACGGAGCATTTCATTGTCACTCTACCGGCACTGCTCGAGAAATATCAGGCGGATAGCGAAAAGTTGGCCAATCTCTTGGCCGTTCCCCAGTACTTTGATCTCAATTTGTATACGACAAATCGACAGGAGGGCAATCTGCAGGCATTGCTCGATAAAATCAATCAGGTAATGAGCATGCACACGGGCAGAGATGTGCTGGAGACATGCGCCAAGACACTGGAATGCCTCTGCGCCGAGGGCAGTGCCACTTACACGCGCTGCAACATTGCACGCTCCAACATAATCGAGAGCGCTGTCAATAAGTACAAGGATGTCATCGAAGAGTGGCGCAATTTGATTCAGGGTGAGGCTGATCACAGCCGGAGGGTGCCGTATTTCAATTTAAATGTTGTTTCCATTTATAGGTGAGGAAACACCCAACGAGGATGATATCTACAACATAACCATCGCCCTGAAAGTGCTCTCCATTCTGTACTCTTCACATAATCTCAATCCATGGGATTTGTTTAAGTCCCTGTTCCAGGATGTTGAAGAGGCTCAGTCCAAGGAAAATGTCGAACGTTGCCTACCCAACGAGGCTCTGGCTTATTGCATTGAGGCTTGCTACTTCTCTATTAGCTGGGGCCTCTACTACGTGGAGAACGACTGCGAAGCGCTCAATGTGGCCGATGTGGTGGCTGAACTGCGCAGCAATTTGGATAGCTTCATGTCCGCCTGCTTTGAGCTAACACGCGATGGACCCACAGTTCAAATACAAGAAGCGGTGCGTGCAGAAATATTTCTATAATGATTCGGGAAGCATCTTTTAAATACCTTTTCTTGCAGGCCTATCAATCCATTTGTGATCTGTTGATCATCTTCTCCGATCAATTGGGTCGCAGCGAGATCGAGCACATACGCAGCTTGGAGTACAAGTCGCGCATGGATGAGCATCTCATTTTGGATAACTTTGTGCAGCATTATGTGTTCTCGCTGAAGCAAGATGCCGTACAGGACGAGACGCGCATTGAGGAGTTGCACAAGAAGCGTAACTTTTTAGCCTGCTACTGCAAGCTGGTTGTCTACAACATTATACCCACCATGCGGGCAGCCACAATATTCAAATATTATGTCAAGGTGAGCCAATCCATATGCCCTTGCCCCTTCTTGATGTTGCTTACCAGTATCATTCCTCTTTCAGTGCTACAATGATTATGGGGACATAATTAAGGCCACGCTGGGCAAGGCGCGTGAGATCAACAAAGTGAACTTTGCAATGACGCTGCTCCTCAGTTTAATCACCGTATTTAAAACACTACTCGAGCAGAGCGAAGATGGCACAGTGTCAAAGAGTTCCCAAGAGTTTCTCGACCTTAAGGAGTTGGCCAAGCGATTTGCACTGACTTTCGGCTTCGATGCGCTCAAGAATCGCGATCCAGTGGCGGCCATCCATCGTGGTGGCATCTATTTTGCGGCCAACAAGCAGCCCGACGATCCAGTGCGTGCACCCACGCGTCTGCTCTTCCTGGAGGTGCTCAACGAGTTCAACTACAAGCTATTGAAGCAGGACAAAAAAGTGATTATGAGCTTCCTGGACAAGATCATACCACCGGGCATGCCTTCCAGCCGTGCAGAGGAATGGCAGCCCTTGGTTTTGTATCGTAATTCCCTGCTACATGGCGAAACGGATCAAACAGCTCCAGTTGCCACACGACGGGCCTATGTGCGCAAGCGACGTGATCATGGTAAGAAAGGCAATTATCCCTCATTTAAATATTCAGCAACGAAATCAAAACAATTTCCACTTTTTATTCAGATGAAGACGACGAAGAGGAAGAAGATGACGAGGAGCATAATGATCCCGACTACAGGGGCTAGTAAATATAGCTTAAGAATTCATTTAGTTTTAGGATTAAAGTGCAGAAAGCTTCATACCTTAAAGTTGGACTTGATAAACAATATTTTGGACATACTTTCGGAACTCAGATGCGCCTGCATATCTTTATACAAATGTGCCGATTCGCGCAACAATGCCTCGTTGGATGCACTGGCTGCGGGAGCCGAAAGAAATTGCCGAACAATACCAAACAGGGGACTGAATTTGATGTTTGTTTTCCACCACAACAAAGGATCCATGCTCCTATCAATTCTTGGCTCGGAGTTGTATAGATAAAGGAGATTTTTAAGCTGTGAGTGAGCTCCATCGGCTGTTGGATTGTGCCCAGAGCCAGCGGCCAGTATGTTATCCAAAATGGCATCAATCTTTGATTCAATCTTAATTTGTGTAGGAGATATTTTTACTTTTTGCAACAGAGGCTGACCCACGCCGTCGCTTTGACTGCTGCTTAGCTGCTGCAGCACTTTGTTGGTCACCAGCTGCTCTTCGTGTTCATTAAAGAAGGCTTGCTTATAGCGCGGATCCAAATATGTGGCCACCTGATATTTGATATCTGTGTTAATATGAGAGAACTTCAGTTCAAGATCTTCCAGCAGTTTACGGCAAAAGCTGCAAATGGTCTGTAATAATAATAGATCTTTAATTAACTTCTAAGTTTTCTGTACTGATAAAACATTACCACGGAGGGGACAAAATTGTGTAGATCTGCTTGAAGGGAACCCCTCAAGGCAGCCACAAGCGGAATCACCGAAGACGCGGTCGTTGAAGGTTGGCTCCACATGTTCATGATTTCCTCGACAGGCTGCATTAATTTCATGCACAAATCCATGTCCAGCCATTCATCCGGATAAATTTCGACCAGACTATACTCTTCCGCGTACAGCATTAGGGCATCCTTTAGCTTGAGCACGCGGCCCATCATCTTGAAGGCAGAGTTCCATTTAATGGGACTTTCGTCTAAGATTGAGCACGGCTCTTGCTTCAGGCGCATGCCTTGTATGAACTTCAGATGCTCATGGGCCAGCAGTGAGGATGCAAACTGATCAACAATTTGCTTGCACTTGGAGATGAGATTCTGTAGCATTTGATTATCTTGCAGGGCGAATCTGACGCACATTTGCAGGAGGGAAACACAGCAGTCGGGTGGTGCGCCGGCCAGAACTGTGGCCTTATCTCTGATGATGCAATGTACCTTCTCCTTGGGCAGCTCCAAGAAAGATATTAGATCCTGAATACAGTAGGCAACTCGGTCGGCATCCTCATAATTAAGGGCCTTGCATTTGAGAGTGAAACGCTGAGCCTGGAAATCACTTGAGATGCCAAAACAGGTGAAGCTAAGGAGGCCATCGTTATTGGCCCACCGCAAACTGCTGCTCAGGGAGATGGCATCCAGCAGATCCAACTTGAGCTTCACTCGAGTGTGGGCTCTCTTGTGGATATCCTGACACAATATATTCTCATAATAACTCCTCGTCTTGATCACGTAGCTCGAATGCAAAACTTGTACAAGGTTAATGAATCCGGAGCTATCTAACAAGTCGAAGGAGTGATTGAGAAATATTTGTGCTAAATGTTCGTCGCAGCGTGCATACAACTGTTCTTCATTGCCCGTTTCCAAGGGATCTGCAGCAATCTTCTGCCATAAAATGTAATCTCTAATTAGGGTAAATCTTTGGTAACACAAACAAAACTCACCTGCAGCAGATTGACTTCTATTTGCGATGGTAACTGCTCCGTTACTTCTTTTTTTACCATAGCCTGAACGTCTTCGGATAGTTCGCGGAACTCCGCTCTGTGTTTGCTCTTCAAATGATTCCTCAGGCAGGTGGTCCCTCGGCCCTTTCGGGAGTAATCTCTTTTGCACAGGCAGCATGTGGCCACCGTGTCGCTGGTCTTGCTGAAAAACTGCCAGACATTGCTTTTCTTGCTCATTATTTTTGTATCAAAATTTATTTTGCGGATGTATTCACATCCGCCTCTACATCCGTTTTGGTGTGGAACTTCTGCAGCCCTGTTTGTTGAGCCATCGATAGCTGGCTCCCATCACTATAAATTCTGCGATACATGTCACTTTTGGCGCGCAATCGGCAGCAGCTGCTCAGTTTTGGTTGTTGTTATTTGCGTATTTGTTTAAAATACATATTAATGCCCTGTTTAATGGATGTGGCGAGCACTTTCAACAGCCAGAGGGATCCTACCGAGCTGAAGGAGTCCCTCAAGGATTTATACGCATGGCATGCCATTCCGTTGCTCAACTACACGCCGCTGCATAAGCTGAAAGATCAGTGTTTGGTGCGCTTTCGCGGCATGATTCAGGACATGATGGATCCAGAAATCTACTTGGAGTGCTATGAGGTGAAATCCACAGACGGGAACAAGCGGGTGCAGCACGGCAAATACCACGATTGCCTTAAGCTAGCCGCGGGCGAGGCGATCGACTACAATGCCGACAGCAATGTGCATGGTGAGCGACGAACACTGTTTGTAGTGTCAGTGCCAGGCCTAAATGATTGGACCAAGCAGCACGAGAGTAAGTGCAGTCCGCAGCCACAGTTGGTCAGCCAAACTCAATGGCCAAACAATGCCAAAAAGCGAACATTAGATGACCAGGAAGCCATGGAAGTCGAAGATGATAATGATGCGGCACTCAAGCGAAAATGTGTGGAGACGACCAAGTCGACATCCGATGACGCAACGGCAGCTGCTCCTTCCGTTCTCGGCTCTGAGTATCTGATAAATTCACCACTTCCCAGTCGACCCAGTATGGCGTGCATGGTGAAAGTGTACGAGGACTTTGATAGCTACAAACTCAACAGCCTGGTCGACTTTGTTGGTATCCTGTCAGTGGATCCTTCACTGGATGCCGCAACCATAGATACAGAGGGTTTTGATAGCTTAAGCGAACTGCAGGCCACACATCCATCGCCGTTCCTCATACCGCGTTTGCACGCCTTTGGCGTCCGACAGTTGCCGCACGCCAATCCCCTGCTGGACAAGAGCCTGCAACAGCCAGCGGACGCTGGTGCCAGTGAAGATCCATCACAGAGCAGCGTGCACAAAGATCTACGAATGCTACTGAAGCTCTGTCTGTTCGATGATGACTTGGCGGCCGAGTATTTGCTTTCCCATTTGATTTCCTCGGTTTACAGTCGCTCCGAGATGCAGAGCATTGGAAAGTTTGCTCTAAACATATGCAACTTGCCCAAGGATTCCCTAGCCGAGTATACCACAAAGTTGTACCAAGTGCTGGAGTTGCTACTGCCAGCCAGCCACTACCTGCCCATGACCCTGGAGACAATGAACACGGCAGCCTTTGCACCCAAGTGAGTAGAGCCAGGATTTACTTTTTACTTTTATGATAAATTAATCCCCCAACAGAAAGGATTATGAGACCAACAAGCTGGTCTCTGGCATGCTGCAGCTGGCACCACACACGCATCTGGTGCTGGACGAGACGTGCATGCAGCAGGGCAAACTGGAAGCGAATGGCGTCCATGCCGTTCAGCACTTGGCGCATTTGATCAACAGCCAGGAATTAAAGTGTGATTTCCAGTACTATCAGATCGACTATCATGTGAACATCCCAGTGCTTGTCCTGAGCGAAGGACGCAGCATGTTACCGGTATGGGAATATCCATAATCCATTTGGGATTCGATTTCTAATCTCTCTCCCTTTGCAGAGTGACTTTGTTTTGCCGATTAATGCCGATACCAAGGCCGTGCAACTGCTCGATGAATCCTTGAAGGCTGCCCATCACTATCTGCAGCCAGCACGCCTGCAGCAATTCCGCAAATATTTGACTTTGGCACGCATCAGTCCGTTTAACGTCAGCGACGAGCACACGGAGATGATTCAACAGGATTTTGTGGATATGCGCAAGGCGAATTCCAAGAGCAATGCGGATGATCTGCACGGCTTGCTGGTGCTCTCACGCCTGCTGGGCATTGCACGTGGTAAGGATGCACTGGACAAGGAAACTTGGCAGCTGGCCACGGAGTTCGAGGCCAAGCGGCGCCAGCGGCTGCAGGCATTGCCCAAGTCAGCTGCTCAGATACGTAATTAATTGAATTTGTATTCCTTTTCTAATGTTTATAAACTATTATTACTTGCTATGAATCCTCATCGACAACCACTTCATGGCCCAAATGCTCGAAGCGTTCCTCGATCAACTGGCCGGCCAGGCAGTCACCGCATAAATTTAGGTGGCAATAGCAACTGTCACAGCGCCAGTTTGTCCTCGTCACAGACGCCGCCTCACACTCGGCGCACTTGGGCGCCAGCGGATCGGGATTGTAGCCAGCCTCGATTTGCTGCTTCTCCTCGAGCACTGCCGTCAGAAGTTTCAGACGCAGCTGGTCCTTACGTTTGGCCTCCTTATCCAACTCGCGGTCCAGGCTATCGGTCTCGGCCTTGGGTTCCAGCTTGACTCTTGGCGCTGCCGGCGACAAAGAACCAGCAGGAGACAGACCACGCAGCTCGTCCAGTGTCATATCGTCCTCGGGCATTTGCAGCGATATGTTCTGGGCAGGAAAAAACGTTGATCGGCGAATATTGAACTTGGGCTTCGTGTGGGTTGTTCGTCGATATTTGGGCAGGCGACCGGGCACAGGCATTCCAGCTTCGTGAAGCTTCTGGAAGTACTTCTGAATGCGGCTAAACACCTGCTGCGTCGTTCGATTTCCCAGGGCCTTGGCTATCTTTGCAAAGCGTCGACTTTCCACCTCCTCCGGCGGATACTTGATTAGCAGCTGCTCCAAATGTCTTTGCTCCTCGTTGGTCCACAGGCGGTTTTGGTGTTTGTTCGACCGTTCGCTGCTGCTGACGTTCGACGTCTCGGGGGACGGCGGCAAGGAGGAGTGAGGAGTGTATGTTGCCATCTGACTTGTGGGCAACTTGAAATCTACTTCGCTTCCATCCACCGCCTTTGCCAGCAGTGTGTGTAGCTCTGGCAAAGGGGCTATGGCTATATAGTTGTCCGATATCAGCGGTTCGTTACTGCTCAGTTTGTCCAGCAATAGCTGCGGATTGCTCAGGTACATTTTGCGAGACGCTTCTAGCTCGTCAATCTGCTGGTGAACCCGAATTCGTTGGGCTTGCAGCACCGCTATGGTGCGCAGCAAGCTGGCATAGCACTCATTGCCACGGAGGGCCAGGTGCTCTGACTCGAAGTGGAACACATTCTCATCCTCCGGGGCAGAATCATCCAACTGTTCCATTTGTTAAACCACCACGCAAACGAGAAAAAACAAAACAAAAACTAAATGCATGTGCATTTGAGATGACACAAGACAAGTATCCAGCTATAATTATTACTATCGATATTTATGGGAAACTCCCATCGATCGTGCTGATAAGAAACAGCTGTTGGACAAGTGGAAGGAAAGGGCATACAAATACGTAACATTTAATTTTAGCAATGCCAATTACACGGATTCTCCGCACAGCACACCGATCTCTGGCTTCCTTTACTGCCAAGGTATTAGCATAGCCAAATCGATCACACACATATGTACGTACATTAACCCTACAATAACACACGCAGCGCACGGCGGTTACAAGTCAAACGGACAAGGTGCGGATTGTGGAGGTGGGTCCTCGGGATGGACTCCAAAATGAAGCCAAATTGCTGCCAGCAGCAACGAAAATTGAGCTAATCGATCGTCTATCCGAAACCGGTCTGACCACTATTGAAGCAACAAGCTTCGTGAGCGCCAAATGGGTTCCCCAAATGGGTGACAATTCCGAGGTATTTCGTGCCATTCGCAAAGTGCCTGGCATCAGCTACCCTGTACTTACGCCCAATCTCAAGGGTTTCGAGAGTGCACTGGCAGCGGGTGCCAAGGAGGTGGCCGTCTTTGGAGCAGCTTCCGATGCATTTTCCCTGAAAAATGTCAACTGCACAGCCGCCGAGGCAATTGAACGCTTTCGGCCGGTACTGAAAGCAGCCCAAGAGCATGGAGTGCGTGTCCGTGGCTATGTATCGACAATCGTTGGTTGCCCATACGAGGGAGCCATAGAACCGAGTGCTGTGGTCAGAGTTGTCGAGGCTCTGCATGAAATGGGCTGCTATGAGATCTCCTTGGGCGACACCATTGGAGTGGGCACACCCGGCAGCATGCGACGAATGCTGGATGAAGTTACACGGGCTGTGCCCACTGACAATCTGGCCGTGCATTGCCACGATACCTATGGACAGGCACTGTCCAATATCTTGACCTCACTGGAGTACGGCATACGAGTGGTGGACTCCTCGGTTTCTGGCCTTGGTGGCTGCCCCTATGCCCGTGGAGCATCTGGCAATGCAGCAACCGAGGATGTGGTCTACATGCTGCATGGCATGGGCCTCCAAACAGACATCAATCTGGAAAAACTCATACAAGTTGGGCGCTACATCTGCGGTGAGCTGGGCCGCCCCTCCGAGTCCAAGGTGAATCGCGCCTGGAAGGGGCAGTAGATAGATCTGGTCCGCTTCTGGGTACGGCAAACGATGGCATTTACTAGCAACTAGTTACACAATACATTTATTATTCAGAACATTCAGAACTTGCGCTTATTTGCTCGTAAACTTCTGAGCATCGCGTAGGGTATACATGGAAATGTCGCCGGAGGCTAGCGACAGATCGGCCAAACTTTGATTGGCACGTCGTGGAATATGCGATACAGCGCCAGCATCACTAGGCATCTTCATTTTACCATCGTGACGGAATACTTTAGGCTCCACGGCAGTGTTTAAGTACTTTTGAATTTTCTGCACACTGGGCATCGGTATGGGCGTGCGTTCATCAATCACCTGGAGGTTTTTCAGGGTTAACATTAGCTTGTCAACGTTTACAATTCCATTTCCTCAACTTACGTGCTGCAGCTCTGATGATATGTATGCCTTTTTGGGCAGCAGGCGAGCTTTCGAGTCAATGTCCAGTTTTTTGCTGCTTCCCGACGCGTTGGTAGCTGTGGCTGGCGGCATTCTGTGGCACAGACGGGATTCCTGCTCCAGTTCACTGATGGCCAAAGTGCTGTAGACATCTGTGCTGGTCTGCCGGAAGGTACTCATCAGCGGCGCCGTACCAGACATCTGCGTGTACGTGCGAATGGGACTTATAATGTCGTCATAGGGATGTTTGAGTTGCCGCTGACGACGCTGCGGTATGCCCGTGGGTGTGCCAAAAAATGTGGTCTTGGGCAGATCCATATTAATGTCATATCGAGATGGAATTTTGCTTTTACTTGGCGACTGCTTTACACTTTGTGGCGGCTTGTTGCTGGCGCGCAGTGGCAAAGCTGGCTGCATAAATTCGGCGGCAGCTGACTTGGGCAACCGCTTGGAAGGCGACATGACAAATGTGTTTTGTTTCTGTAGCAATGGACTCTTTGGCTTGGCTGGCGCTACAATTGGTGCTGCGGCAGCCATGTATTCCATTCCCTTTTGCATCATGTATTGCATTTCCTCGATGGTATCATTGAAATGCATGGAATTCTCCTTGTTATCAGCATCCTCTTCCTTGATATCAAAAGTAGAAGCCTTCTCCTCCTCCTCCTCCTCCTCTTCTGTTGATGATAATTCAATTATTGTATTCTCAACATCATCCGCTTCTTCATCATTTTTGGTGGGAGACGCTAGCTCGATGAGGCTGCAATGCAAATCGCCCAGCAGCTCCAGCTTCTCTTCCTTGGACATGTTCAGCGGCTTGGCTTTCTCAATTGCAGCATAGAAAAGATCATCGACATTCAAAAGAGTTCCACCAATGGCACAACCAGACTCTGTGGCCGTTTCGTAGCTACTCGATGCATTTGTCTTCAGTGTTTGGGCACTCTGAAAGCTCGTTTGTTCAGACGACACATCCGATTCCAACTCACTGGCCTCGATAATGGTTGAGGGTCGCAACAGACCCACCATCTTGACGGGCGAGATATTCTTTTTGGAGTCCTCACCGCCTGCCAGTGTCTGATCGTTGTCCCAAAAACGTGAAGGTGCCTCAACGTCCTCAAGCTGTGTGCATTCCACACCCTTGAGCGGACTTTCGTTATCCAAGTGTTCCTCCGCGCCGATCTGTTCCAACATGCGACGCAAGAACTCAATCTCCTTCTGGGCAGCTACAAAAAAGAAACAAAAATATAGTATAAATGGAGTAAATTCGCTTCTGTACTCACTGTCTTCACCACCACTGTGATCTCGACTGCCACTATTCTCCTTGGCCTGGGCTAGCACATAATTCTTATCCTCACTGTGCATGTACTGAAACAAGGTGCTATCAGGATCGGATGCTGTCTTATCACACATGCGCTCAAATACATCAAAACTTTCATCCCCATGCCCCGCAGCATTTGTGGCCATGGACTCGTACATGGTATCTTCACACATATTGATTGTGGTTGCAGCTTCCTTTTGCTCCTGGTTTTGCTTTCTAGCCTCCAGCAATTTCTTGAGATCCTCATCAATGTCCAGGCTGTAGCGCTGTTCCTTAGGTTCCATTTTTGTTGCCTTTTGAGGTGTTCTGAAAAGTTGAAACTTTGTTAGAATTCAGAAAGCAATACACTCAATAATACACTAATAATTCCAAGGTTACTATGTCTATATGGGTTTTACAGAGTAATATTTGTTGTTGTTTACATGCAAACAGCCGAAAATGATAAAAATTCGTATAACTATCTTGTAAAACTAATTAAAATATCACTAACACTATCCAATGCTAAGGGGGGTATGGTGTCTGGTATTTACCGATCGGCCATAAGGTGATCACGCAGTTTCTGACGCCAAGCCTCGCTGTCTTGAAATTTAGTTAGACCAGACATATTCTTGAGCCTGTTTTTTGTTGTTTGTGTGCGTGCTTGAGTGTCGCAGCGTCCTTGGTTCACAAATCGAGGGAGTATCAAGTGTAAACGTTACAAGTAAACTCAATGCGCCTATAGTTTAACGTAATCGGCTTTACTCTTAACAATTAACATACCTGCAATTTATTTATAATGCCAAGCGAAGTTTAAATGTTTTCCTGTTGACGCGCTGCGGATCGGAAAGGTACTCACGAGTAGGTATCAAACGACGCGCTGTGGCGGTCGGTATATTTAAATTTGATGCCTTCTTTAGTAAATATTAACAAAACACAAGTGGATTGAATTGCAAATGCTAGGGCTTCTTTGTTAAAACATATCAAGTTAATTTTACACTGTAAAGCATTTTTTAAACAACGAATTCGCGCAATATTTGTTAAAAAATGTTGGTGAGAGACCAGGGCTGGAGAATTACTTTAACCTATCGATGGCAGCCTACAAATGCCAGTGGAAAAAATATAAACAAATTGCAGTTACATAGTGTCAGTTTCATAGGTAAAAATCAAGTTGAGTTTACGCTGTAAAGCATTATTTTAACTAAGAATGCGCACAATATTTGTTAAAATTTTTTGGAAGCATACCAGGACTGGAGAATTACTATTACTTATCGATACATCGGTTGCAACCTTCAAATGCCGGTGAAAAAAAAGATAACAAACAAATTGCAGTTTTTTCAGATTGCTCACTAAAATTTTGAAGTAGGCTTGAGCAAGATGAACGTAATTCGACACACGATGTCCCTGGTGTCGTTGGGCGTGTTTCAGCTCGGCCGAAGGACCAGGAGCCAGCATTTCCGTGGCTTTCTGCTCGGCACCGGGCTGGGGCTGACGGCCTTTTCTTCGGTCACGTACGCACAGGCGGAGGCCCAAAACGCAAAGGTCAACAGAAAGCTGGATACGTCCAGATTCATGGCCGAGCCGATAACAGATGCCACAGTCCTGCTGGGGGACAAGGCCAACATGCGGCACCGAATGGAGCTGATGATTATGGAGATTCAGGCAGAGTTCTGCCGCGCCCTGGAGTCGGAGGAGATGTGTGGCAAGAAGTTTCAGGTGGACCGTTGGCAGCGCGAGGAGGGTGGAGGAGGCATTACATGCGTCATCCAGGATGGCGATGTCTTCGAGAAGGCTGGAGTCAACATATCCGTGGTCACAGGCTGGCTGCCACCAGCGGCTGTGCAACAGATGCGCTCCCGCGGCAAGGACCTAACGGAGGGCGTCAAGCTACCCTTCTTTGCCAGCGGTGTGAGCGCTGTGATCCATCCACGCAATCCACACATCCCGACCATCCATTTCAACTATCGCTACTTCGAAGTGGAGACACCAGATGGCAAGAAGCAGTGGTGGTTCGGGGGCGGCACAGATCTCACACCCTACTATCTAGACGAGAAGGACGCCCGTCACTTCCACCAGACTCTAAAGTCTGCCTGCGACGAGCACGATACCACCTACTATCCCAAGTTCAAGAAGTGGTGCGATGACTACTTCCGTATCAAGCACAGGAGCGAGAGTCGTGGCATTGGCGGCATCTTCTTTGACGACATTGAATCCCCGAACCAAGAGGCTGCCTTTAATTTTGTGACCGGCTGTGCCAAGGCCGTCATCCCGTCATATATGCCGCTCGTGCAGAAGCACAAGAACCGGGAATATGGCAACAATGAGCGGCAGTGGCAGCTACTCCGCCGCGGACGCTATGTGGAGTTCAACCTCATCTACGATCGCGGCACTAAGTTCGGACTGTATACGCCCGGTGCGCGCTATGAGAGCATATTAATGTCACTGCCCCTTCATGCCCGCTGGGAGTACATGCACGAACCCAAGGCCACGTCCAAGGAGGGTGAGCTAATGAAGGTTCTGAAGAACCCAAAAGACTGGGTCTAACCCATGACATGAGTTATTTTTTAAGTGGGGAAATGGTGCCTTGCAAAAAGCAATATTTAAAAAAAACATATTTAAACTGTTACCAATAAATATGAACAAAATTATACGTTTTACATAATACAGTTTTCATTAACGGTAAAGTCAAAACCTCTACAAGTCTCAGCTGATCTATTATCCCTATTTACATACATACATGTATGTATTAAAGTATTCCAGAAGAATCGAAGCAATGCAATTGCACGTGCGCATACACACACATGCACAAGCATTCATCTGTGTGTCCATCTACGCATTAATATGTTTTGTCGCGACTGTACATTATTTTTCACTTTGAAATAGTAGTCAATATTGGTGTACATACACAACTACATCTGATGTAGATTTCACCAATACTATTGCACACCAACACGCACACACACGCATACATATGCACTAATATTTCAAGATGGTGGATTTCGTAGGTTATGTCCGGCTATACTATATTATCTAGAAAATTCCGTGGTGACGTCACCTAACCAATTTTAAGGTTATGCACCAATGCCCATGCAACGTGCATAGTTCTCCATCAAATGGGGCGCTACGTTCGGACCGATTTTGTATGTATACCTATTTACACGCATATGCCTACCCTCCCGACACTTGCATTTCTTCCCCCTTGATAAACTTCTCAGACTGTGCCCGTGTGTGTGTGTATGCGTGCGTCTTTACACGCGCATAAAGCGGGAAATTCGCGCCACCGGCAATTCCTAATGTCGACGACAGCCCATGCCGTCCAAACAAATGCCAAGAATTCCAAAAAATAAATTAAGATCATGCAATGGTCAATGGAGGTTTACATAGTATTATAAAAGTTTTATTTTATTTTCTGTATAGCATACATTTTCATCTGTGTTGTTATGTTTTGTGTATCGAGCTCATCTGCTCATGTTTCTTCTTTATTTTATGTTTACTGCTTGTGGTTTGTTGTTGTTTGTTTTGTGAAATGAAAACTATCTTAACTAATGGGTTTAATAGAAGCCGCCGGTCTGTTGTTGGTAAACTTCGATGGTATCGCCTTCCTCCATCTCCAGCGAAGTGGGGGTATCATTCTCGTTTATAGGCTGGCCGTCAAAGCGGAAACGTACAACCTGCATGGACAGACCAGCCCGGTCACAGTATGCGTTCATCAACTTGCGTAGCGGAGTGTGTTTTTTAATCTTAAATTGGACAACGGCGTTATCCTGTCCTAGCACTTTTAAATTAATATGCTCGGTCTCTCCCCCTTTCTTTTCGTCAGACATGTTTTTTTCGTTCGGTTTCTGAGCGCTTGACAAGAGTCAGAAAATAATGCCGGCGTGCTGTACAAGAAAATTTGCAAATATCACACAAATTAGATACTTAATATCACACACTATGTGCGCGGGGCATGCTTGCAACCACGAAATGAGTTTTGTAATTACATGTATTTTGCGTTCTTACCGTTTAGCAGCTCTTTTTAGGGTTTAATGCAAAATTTTTCGCCGCGGCTTCCCTTCTACACACGCCAAAAAAATGGTTGTATTCAGTGTGACCAGACGGGCACGCTGGATATGCCTAAAAATGACCAGAGACGCCAAGCAGCGACAAGGTTGGTTTTTGTTATCGATTATTGCAGGAAGTAAATATTTCAATTTGTTTCAAGTGAAACCACTGCAATGATTATTCTGGATTAATTTTGTTTGATTTAATTTATAGAAGTCTTGTAAATGAATTGTTTCTAATTAATATTTAACATTTGGAGAAAACATTCTCAAAATGTAGCGATACATTTAAAACTCAACCGTGAAATTTGACACATTTGTTACTTTAAATTTGTATGAAACATCAATGCAATTTCTGAATTTCTCTTGCTTCGTGTTGCTAATTTATTACCGAAGTTTCCACTCACCCCGCTCAAACCTGGTAATATAATTCGAAAATGCAACCGTGCACCTAGCGATATTTCTCGCGAGCTCAAACTACTCTTCTTATCGATAAATAAAACCGTAAAACTTCCGTAAATTAAAATTATTTTTTGAAAAATCGCTCGAAGTCAAATTAAATTTTTTTTTCTAAAATAATCTACCAGAAACAATTGTATTTTTGCTAGCTTTTTTTCCACGATAGAAACACTTTTATTGATCTGATTCAGTTAAATACATTTTATTAACTGACGAAATGTTGTTAACACATACCATTTGACTCTTGCTATTTGACAAATCCTACTTATTCATAAATTTATTCAATTCGAAGTTACCTAGGTAGTTTAGATCTACCGAAATTTGGCAAATGCTGCTATGTTGAAGCAAATACAAAATAAAAATCACATTTTTCCCCCAAAAGCAAGCGAATCACTTATGATTGTCGGAGCCAACCCCTTATAACTTGTTTTTTTACCAGTTACCAACATCAAATCAAACCTTTTGTGCTGTTTTTGGCTGTCTTACATTTTCTATCCGCTGCTCTAGCTCCTCTTCAGTACGATTCAGAACCAGCAAAAACGTACATGAAACGATCGAAATTGTAAATTGATTACAAACATAGTTGATATGTAAATTGCATCATTCCATTCCACCATTAAATTAAAAGCATTTCCAAATGTGTACCAAACAATGGAAAACTCAACTCACAAACCTCAAGACTCACTCACACACTCTCGTCTCGTAGGATTCTTACCCGGAAAGAACTTACAGTCGGAAAATGGATAGTAACTTACGAACACCACAGAACTCAGCCCGAACGGGGCACGAGGTGAGAGGAGAGGCTATCGTTTCTAGTGTCGTCCTAGAACGGTAAACGCATTGATTAGTGGGTTTTGTGCATAAACTAAATTACCTGTAAGACTTTTTCTAAGCGGACCAAATAACGGAACTAACTCCCGCGTGTTCTTTGCGTTTATAATTATACTTATGCTTTTGTTTTCACATTGTTTCAGATTTTCAATATTGAAAACTGCAAAAAGATAAGAGAAAATAAAAGGCACGGGTTAGTGCAAAAGGTACAAGAGGTTTTTTGGGATTTTTTGTTTTGTTTTTGTAAGTAATAAGAGTAAAGAGTGTGTGTCCCAGGAACCACCATGGGATTGATTTAATACCAAAATACCGCAGGCCTCAATCCGAATTCCAGACTTCCAAACTTCCCTTTGAACCCCCTTACCAAAGGTGGGGAAACAAACACATGTAGGGCTAGCTTTATTTTTACTTACTTTTTTCTTTCATTATCAATTTGTTAAGAGTTACTTATAAATTAAAATGTTTTTAAGCTATGCACATTAGTGGATTGGATTTTTTGCATCGTTATTTTGGGTGTTTTCCTAATGTCGCGCTGCTCTCTGCACTGCAAAATTGTTGTTTAAAATGGAACCATGTATAATTATAATAATATTAATCCAACCAGAATGGATCTCTGCCGTGAATTTTGCAAATAAAGTTGAATAAATAATTACAACCAATAGACGGCTGAATTTTTTTCACAATTATTAACCTTTGTTCCAACTCCTCATCAGTGTGGCCTGAAAATAGTCAGCGTGAAAGTGTCTGGGTATGAATGGGATGAATCCTCGCTCGCTCGCTCTACTGACGCCACCAGCTCTGCTCGTTGGCATTTTGCTGGCCATTGTCGGGATTGGGTGCTGGGTTTGCATTCGAATTATTGCGTCCAATGATGGGCGGCGGAGGCACACTGAACATGTTGTGATGAACAGGCGGAGGACGGTACTTTTCCTCGTGCTCATCCTCAATCTCGCGCTTGATGGCTGTGTTCTGATAGTCAAACGATGGATAGCCATCATCGATGGGCTCCTCCTTGATTTTGATAATGTCCATTTCACGGAAATCGGGCTTGCGTTCCTTAACATCGCCGGCAGCACCGCTGCGCTCGCGCTCCTTACGGTCACGCTTGCGTTCGCGTCGCTCCCTGGAGGACTCGCGCTCGCGCGACTTGGAACGCTTCTTCCTCTTCTCACGCTCACGATCACGGTCACGATCGCGATCCCGCTCACGCTCCCTGTCCCGCCTGTCGCGGCGGTCGAACTCATCATAGCGTTCCCGGCTGCCGGCGCGACGTTTTCTGCGCTCGCGGGACCGGCTGCGGGAACGATTGCCAGCCACGGCGACGCGTCCACGATCACGCTCCCGATCTCTGCGGTCTCTGGACCGAGACCGACGCCTCTCTGCCCCAAAGGCAGGACGTCCGCCGGGACCGCCTCTGGGCTCCACGCCATTGTTGCTGCGACCGCCCGCTCCTTCGCGATCCTCGCGCTCACGTTCCAGGCGGTAGCGTTCGCGTTCTCGCTCATTGTCCTCGCGGCCAGAGTGCTTGATGTTCACGTCATTGCCACCACGCCGAGTGCCGCCCAGTCCTCCGCCCAGGCGACGCGGCAGCCAGCCCTTCACTGTGCGGGCCCGTTCCACATCCACCAGGACACGCTTGCTGTCAATCTTCTTACCATCCGCGTGCTTGTAGGCGGCATGCATGTCGCGCTCGTGCTCGTACTCGATGAAGGCATAGCCCTTGGGTTTACCTGAGTCCTGGTCGTGGATCAGGACTATTTTCTTAATGGGCCCATAGAACTCAAACTCACGCCGTAGCTTCGACTCGGATGTGTCGTAGTTTATGCGCGCGATGAACAGAGTGCGAAAGGGATCCTCAGTGGCGTTTTTTATCTCGGTGGGGTCCCACAGGGCGATTTCTCGCTCCAGCTTGTAGGCCACCTGCTCGGCCTTTTCGCGACGCCTTCGCTCCAGACGTTCCTGCCGTGTCTCCACCGTTTTGGGCAGCGGCGTGTCCTCCGGATCCTCGAAATCACTCATGAAGTGGGCCACTCCCAAGTAGCCTCTGGATTTTTTTTCATGTGGCAATTTATCCACCGGCGGCATAAACGGGATGGGATCCCGTGCGGCGAATAACGCCAACAAATTCGGCGGTAGATATTGGGTCATTTTAAGTAGTTTTTATTACCTTTTCTGCGTCTCGCCGTTTTCAGACCTGTGAGAAAAAAAAAACATTTAGGTTATGTTACGCTTTGTTTACCATGAAAATCGTGCAGGGAACCAACTTTAAGCATCCATCCGCCTGGCCTGAGTATAGTTGAGCGTACTTAAATTAAGTACAAATTTCTTAATCAAATATTCAGTAATTATTTTACAAATTTTCTTCACTTTTTTCGCCTGGCTTGTGTCTTAGGGATGATACATCGGGCGTATCAGTATATCGATAAGTCGGCCTCACTTTCGGAGCTCATTCATGGTGACGGTAAATCTACTTTAATAGATTTCAGAAAATATTCGACTGTATTTATAGTTGATTCATAAATATCTAACCGCGGACCCTGATTATACTTGCATTTTATGTTTCATATTTTCGGTGCAAAACATATCGACACTTTCGTGCGATAGGCTATTGTAAATCATAGTATCAAGACTAGTATCAGTTCTGAAAACACTTTTGCTAGCTAAATGCATTGATAGATCACTGTATTATTGGATGAATCCTCTCCTGAAGGACAGAAATGCTGTTAATATTAATTAATATTAAATATCAATATACATTTGTATTTTGTAAATGAGAAGGTATATTTTGGTTTATTTTTGAGGTCTTGCAGTATTTTTATCGATAAGTCTTCAGTCACACTGCCTAGGAGACCAAGTAACGGAACTTCGGACCGATCTTGTGTAAACGTGATTTCGTTCTTTTTTGCAATATTTAGTAGGAGTTATTGATAAAATCAGAAAAGTGCTCGTTTTAAATACTTTTAAATACAATAAATTATCGTTCTTGTAAGTAAAAACTTGATAATAGTAACGATTCGAAGTGAATTAAGCGGCTAAATAAAGCAGGTAAAGTGCAATGCAAATGGCTGAGACTAACCAAGATGGCGCTGGCGCCCTGAAAATTTCGAGTGAAGGACCGGAGAAGCCAAAAACTGCTCGCCAACAAAACTCTGTTCTGGAAATGACTGACTTGCCGTCCATAGAAGAAGTAGTCACACCCTGCGAGAAGGATAAGGACATGTTTGTGTATCCGCCGCCACCGCCTCCGCCAACACCTGTTCAGGCGAAGCTGCCTTCCAAAGCAGCACCTCCCCTGTCGATGCCGTTAGACCACGAAGAGGAAAAGTGGGAAGATCCCTGTGCCCCGCCCCCACCGCCTCCAATGCCCTCGCATGCCTTCCTGTCCAGCGGCTTGGGCTATCTGAAGCTGACAGCCGTCAAGCTGAAGGATGCCCTGGAGGAGGCCATAACCAAGAGAGAGACCAGCAAGCGCCATCAGAAGATAACCACCGAAGTGAGTGTCATCAAATTTGCATTCAAACAATTACGCACATCGATGCAAATGCAACATGAAACTGTTTATGAGTGTCTGTCACAGCGCACACACACACAGCCCCTGAGCTTGTATTTTCTGTTCATTTTACTTATAACATTTGGTTTATCCCTCATTTTTTATTGTGTAGCCATCTCACCAGATAGATAACGTTAAATGGGAGGCAATTGAAATGTTGCCAAGATGCTCGTGGGACATGCTGGATGCCAGAGGCGCCTCTTCGTGCATGGCTCCCTGCATGGATGTTATAGTGCACCCGAATAACAAGAAGCCGGCCATCTTTGCGCAGCTGGAAAGGATTATAAAAGTGCATCGCATACTGGAAAAGCAGAACAAGACCCAAAAGGCCATTTCCCGAGAGGCCATACCGCTGTATGCTGCCGTCAAGCCGCACCACGAGGATGAGGGACTGACACTGCAGGTACTCTCGGCTAGAGCTTCCACCCCATATACTCAGCCCACGAGCATGCTGTCGTGTACGGCTGTCAGCTGTGACCTGGAGCATGACTCGCCCAAAAAAGACCACCCTCTGGAGCAGCGTCCTGCAGCGCAGCACAAACGTGCTCCTGCCTTAGTTGCCAGCAAGCCAGTACACGTGAATCCTCACAAAGCACCAGTTCGGCGTTCGCCAGTGCCGCATCGCACCCACTACACGCGTGCCAGCCTGCTCGATATACGCGGTGAAATGTTGAATGCCCTCATGCATCGTTCCAAGGAGACCTTCGTCATGCCCCGTATTGCCACCTGCGACGCCATTGAGTTGGAGGCTCGCTTGCGGCGAATGAATCTGTGGCGTACCACTGCAGATTCCACTCGCTTTAGGTCTCGCTCGAATCCCACGTCCAATCTCCACCCCAATAACAACCACAACAACAATAATGAGTGCATGCCGGCGTTCTATAAGAACAAGAACAAGCCGCAGCTGATCAGTGACGAGTCTATCATACAAAGCCAGCCCCCGCAGCAGCAAACGGAATTTCAGGTGAGTGCAAGTGTCCATCTACAATTAGATTAGAGAATATTATATGGAAAAACATGAAGGCAGGGCCATGGTGAAATTACTTCACCGCAAGGCACTCTTTGCGGGGACCATTGCTCTGTCTATTCCTCTCTAGCGCTTGTGTTTTTGATCGTTGTGAATAAGTTAGTGGTCCTCGCACAGCGGTCAACGTCACCTTGTTAGTAATTTCACCATGGGCATAGCTATCTAGGAGATCGTTCGTTCCGTGACACATTTTACGGGTTCAACTAAAAGATGGGTGTGGTGATCCGATTACTCAAAAATCTGGGAAGAGTGATTGCTGCTCCCACTTCAAGGGTAAATAAACATTTACTCAAAATATGTATATTATATGTTTATAAAACAAAGTTCCCAATCTCATACATATACTCATTTCGCAGCTTATCTGATCAAATAATGATTACTATTGGCTGCTGACCTCCAGGGGTCGTTGTTATCATGTTCAATCGCTCTCTTTTTTCTTCGTTCTTCTAGAACTTTTTATTTTCAATCGTAACTTTTCTTTAGTATTTACTTTTATGAGATTTTGTTCCCTTGTTTGTTGCACAATACAATGTGGATATATCGACTGCAGTGCGCAAGGGGCTGTGGCCAATCATTTGTCTAGATAATGACACGTTCCATCAACTTCTCGTAGCCTTTGTGCCGCCTGCTCGGGCGTGAGATCCCGCTGAGCCATAGCCAAGAGCTCAAATCCAACCATGAACTTGCGTACCGTTGCGGACCGCAGGAGCGGTGGATAGTAGATGGCATGAAGCGTCCAGTGTGCGCTAGAGGCGTGGGCATGCTCGGGTCCCGTCGGTGCACCATGCCAGCCCATGGAGTAGGGGAACGAGCATTGGAAAAGATTGTCATATTTGGTGGTCAGCTCTTTGATGGTCACGGCCAGATTGTAGCGCTGATCCAGGGTCAGATCATTGATGCGCTTGTTGTTGTTGCGCGAGATGAGCATCGTCTCGAAGGGCCAGGTGGCCCAGAAGGGAACCACAACCAGCCAATCGGGATTATCGATGACGATGCGCTCTCTCCGTTGCAGCTCCCGCTCTACATAGTCGCCCAACAGAGGTCTGTCGTTTGTGGCATAATAGGCGCGCAGTCGCTCCTGCTTTAGCTGCGGTTCTGTGGGCAGAAACGAGCACGACCAGATCTGGCAATGCGGATGGGGATTCGAGCAGCCCATGGCAGCTCCCTTATTCTCGAATATCTGCACCCAGGCATACTTGGAGCTCAGCTCGTTGAATTGATTGATCCATCTGATGGGCGGGAAATTATGAAATTAGCATTTGGAATTGTCTTATCTCCAGGCCATATAACTTACTCGTTGATAACAACGACAATTTCCGCGGATGTCATCGTAGGCAAGGTGAGGTTTGACTTGGGATGGAAACACATAACGCGACAATTCCCATGCGCTGGAGCCACCTGGAACAGGGGATCATCGCTGTTGGGTGGTGCCGGTACCTGCTCCACCAAGGCCGGAAAGTCGTTCTCAAAGACGTAGGTGCTCTCGTAAGCGGGCGTTTGCTAGAACAGGGAACACAAAGACATGTCAGACAGTCAATTATTGAGTAGGATTTAAAGGTTTTTTACAATTCCGTTGGGTCGCGTAACGCCAGGACAAAGGGGATTGGTGGGATCAAAGTCGGGAAGTTCGTTCTTCTGCGCCTTCTCCTGCTGTCCCGACCAGGGACGTTGCGTGCGATGAGGGCAGACAAGTACCCATGTTCCGTTGAGGGGATTTAGCCGCCTATGCTGGTGTTCTGCAGAAAAATAAACAAAAAACGGGACTTGGCTATGAGAGAATATTCCGTGTCCATTTCTCACGTTGTGCCTACCAGTGGCAACAAACTGCATCGTGTCGAACCTCTCGCACTCGTATCGGCCTCAAATCAGATTATGAAAACTGTTTACAGTTACTTTTGCGCTATTCCGTTCTGTTCTGGTCCGCTCTGTTCAGCATTTGGGGTGGTCCACGAGACCGCGCAATGTCAAGTAACTGACCGAGTTACGATTACGCTGGCTGCGGCGGTTTGTTCATGCTTCTGGAGCAAGCAAAGTTGAGTTTTTTTCGATTCGCGAAGCGCACTTTTCCCTTTATGCATGATTATTGCTCTCTCCTCTTTGCTCTCTCCCACTCTCAGTTGGTGGAACTGTTTTTATTAGCTGTATCTCTCCTATACATCGCCACACACAGCTGGCTATGCTTATACGAATAGTTTTACTTTTGTGGATGTGTGCGTGAGCACATTTGCGCGCAATTAGGGATGAGCTACAGGCGATTACCGTTTCTTTCGGCATATCAAATTTGCAATCGAATTTTAAATTTGAGTGTGAAAATATTTTGTGTTTAAATTTATAATTGTTTTACCTGCAAGGATCCGGCAATTGTCAATCAAAGACGCATTGGCAGCGGCCGCTTCAATCATTCCACAAAGTGGCCCTACAGCAGTGCGGACTACCATCCATACAATAAAACCAAACCTCATCTGGATGAAGGAAACTTGAAGCATCAGAACGGCGGCAACATGACGGTTCTGCAGTTTTTCGACAACGGCGAAATATCCAGCTCCAAGATGAGCCAGCCAAATGGTCGACCCAATACACCGGTTATGGGTATGGCCAACAATCGCTCGGATAACGAGACAATGATGTCCAATGAGTCCAGCGAGGATCTAAGCCGTGCCAACGAGAATTATGTGAAGCGTGTGATGTCCGGTTTTCTGGTTGTGTCCAAGCCCAAGTCCCGTGAAACGGAGGAGCGTCACCACCGTCGCTACAGGAACCAAAACGAGGAACCTGAATGGTTCAGCTGTGGCCCAACCTCCAGGCTGGACACTATTGAGTTGTGTGGCTTCGATGAGGAGGAGGAAAAGATGCTCAAGGAGGGTCATCACCATGCCGAAATGGACAGGGATGCACAAAAGCATAAGGTAAGTGGGCCTATTATGACCAAAATGCTCGTGATCTTTATATTTTCGCTCTCTATTTCCTTTTTTTATTTTTTTAGATGGATCAGCACAAGTACAAGTGGACGCATCCGGATGCGGGCATTTCACGTAACAAATTCATGCCCAAACATGATACCAACAACAATCACAGTGTGGAGAACATGAACAAGATGGGCGCTGATCAGCATTCGCATCAGCATCAGCATTCACAGATACCAAAGGAGGATAAGCGTTCTGGCGGCGGCCGTTCATTCCAGTTCGATAAATTCAATCAGAGTTTCGAGAACAACAATTACATAAACAACCAACAGCAGCAGCAGCCACAACAAGGAATTCCAATGCAGAAGCAACAGCAGCAGACGCCTCAGTCTGAAGATAGCAACAATTCCAAGTTTATGCCCTTCTTTGAACGGGAAAGAAATGGCTCATCGTCATCGCTAAATGAATTCTTCAAGCAGGCCATGACCCATCAGCCGAATATACACAAAGAGCAGCCCAAATCCCTACCAGGCCACATGCCATCGGTGGAGCAATTGGAGGCCAAGTGGCGTCGCAATTCACTCACCCCAAACAACACTTCTGCTGCTGCTGCATCTGGGGAAACCATTCAACAGAATAATAATCCAACTGATATATTCCAAAAGCTAATTGGCTCGTTGAGTGCATCGAAAGCAGCAGCACAGCCGCAGCCTACTGATGCCATTTCCACATTCATTTTCCAGCAGCAGGCATACCAGCAGCAGCAACAGAAGCAGCACATGCTCATCCAGCAGCAACAGCAGCAGACTGCCTTTCTGGCTGGTCTACAGCTGAAGGCAATCCTTGGACGCGCCGATACCCAGTTGCTCTTGCTACGTCTAACCAAAGGTAGGGAGTAATATTTGGACGTAGAATCAATGCATTAAATATTATTTTTTTAGGTGAAATTTCCAAGCATGGCTTGCTGGTGCAGTTGGCCAATCCGCGTCTTTGCAACACTGATCGGGAGGCCATTACGGCTGTGCTGCAGTTCACCAATACACAGCAGCAGCAACAGCAGCATCAGCAGCAGCTGGACATGCTCTCGAGCACGGTGATTGCCAGCCAGTTGCAAAATCTTCATCACCTGACCATTGTGCAGCAGAGTCTGGCCGCGAGACAGCAGCAACAAAAGCAACAACAACAGTTTCCTCATCAGCCGCAGCAGCTGTCGCAGGAGGATCTGCAGGCTCATGCCAATCTTATAATGAGAAATGCTGTGATGAAGCGTAAAATGGAGGAACAAACATCCATGCTGATCAATGGAAGTGCTGCCGTTGGAGCCAAGACTTCGGCACAGCAACAGCAATCTCGCGGGCAGCAGCAGCAGCGTCAGAATCGTTTGGATAGCTCGGCCAATGCTTTGCTCAATGCGCTTATATCTGGCAATGGTAATGGCAACGGGTCGCAGGCCCCAACTGGCATACCCATCTTGGGAGGAGGACAGCTTCCTCGACGTGCCGCTGATGATCTAACGCAGCAGCAGTCCCACTTTGTGACACAGTACAATAATAATCCATATTATCAGCAGCAGCAGCCACAACCAAATCGCCAACAGAACAACCAGATAGCACAGATGCAGGCCCAACCTCCCATGGCCATGCCATTGCCAAATGGCGTAGGTGAGTGATAAAATAAATAAGAGTTCGAAGTGGCAACATAATGCTGTGTTGCCTCTCTTTATTTGCGGCCCCTTGGTGCCGTGTCTGAGTCAGGGCAATCTTTTTTTTTAATACCCTTCGAAAGCCGAGCAAATATTCATTAAGTGCACTTTCACGTAGTATTGTTTGAAAACTGGTTTTCTGGCGATGCGCCTGCAAACATTACAAACCACACAGTGTTGGCAAAATGCATGTGGAACTCGCAACTCGGATCGTTTGTATCTGTTGATTCAGAGTGTGTATCCGCCTCTTAAAGTTTAGTATCGTTTTAAACAATTTATAACAATCGTTTTTACACTGGAGTCGAATCATGTGTGAAAAGTTTGCACGAAAAATGTATACAGGAAAGGACAAAGAAAGCGTCTCAAGCTGCTTCAATGATTCCAGCTTATTTTCTAATTTAAATTGACATTTGGAACTGGTACATTTTCGGACGTTTCTCCTTTTTCTACATGATTTATCATAGAAATATTTGAAATGATTGATAATATCTAAAAAGAGCTGCCGATAGCTTCCCTATTTGTGCATAGATCTTAATTTGCTGTGCAAACTACTAAGCCCCTGGGCAAAACATCTTATTCCCGTGAGTCATAAGTCGTGTTTGTGCATAAGCATCTACCAATAGAGGGAGAGGGTAAAGTAAATCGTTAAATGTTACGTACATGGGACATTCCCCAGGCCTAGGGAGAGCTGAAAAGGCAACTCTCAGATGATTGCGTTCAATTGTTTAAGGCATGCGCCTGTCTGCCATAAGGCAGTCTCATAGAGTCTCATATATAACGAAAAAAAAAACTTTAACGAAAAGTGCCTCTGGCTTTATCAGCGAACCAAATGGAATTGGAATGACTATGGGGGATTGGCTTGGAGAATTGCCGCCACGCACGATTACTGCCTGGAACTGTGAAAGCATGTCAAGAGCAACAATTTATGTGTATTTCGATTCTTAGTTGTTTATTGCATATTAAAAGATTAAACACCGCAACGAATGTGTAGCTTAGGATTAGGTTTAGGCTTGGGGATTGTGAACCTTTCCGGCAAATAGGATATTCCCAGTGGACTCCTCCTCGATGAAGAACACAAAGGGACGATTCACATTGAACTCCTCGATGGTTGTGCTGCCACCGAATTTGTTCTCAATCTCAACAACGGTGGCCGCAAAGGCCTCAGTACCCTTTTCGTTTACATTGATGCCGGCCTTTTGTAAGATATTTGAGACCTTCACCTTGCCGGCCACATCGGCGCCTCGCGTCAGTCCGGGTAGGGAAGCGCTGTCTTCGAAGATCTCACGCACGCCCAGACTCTTGAGAGTCTCTTTGAAGTTTTCCTGGTAGTCAAAGTGGAACTTGGGCAGCGTCACCTTCACTTTAACCTCCTCCATGGCCCACTGGGCGCCCTTCAGCTCGTCGTTCTCCAGCGTGTGGACCAGCTCGTGGATGCCATCGAGTGCATAGGGCAGCAGCACGAACATAGAGTTCTTTCCCTTGTAGGGCAGTCGAAGGATTTGAGCCTTTAGCTTCTCAGAGTTGTGGTAGTAGAAGAAGTCAGTCTGCTCCATGTACTCCACTCGCGACTGCTCCTTCTGACTGCGGAAGAAGGCGCCCTGGTAGGTGTTGGCAAACTGCCGACGCCACAGTCCATTGAAATAAATGAGATTTGTGAGCAGCATCACGCTACTCCGCACATTGTCCGGGACAACCAGCTGCTTGAGTCGACCCTCTGTCACGTTGTTGGCCCAACTGTTGATGGCATCGGCCGCCGCCTGGGCGTTGCTAAAGTCCAAAGCCTCGACCTCGCTGTCATAGAAGTGCTTCAGCGTGGCCGTGAACTTCTGCTGTGTTTCGATGAAGCTGTCGGTAAAGAGCTTGGTTCGCACGCTGAGTGTGTCGTGGAGTTGGTTTTCCTTCTTGAATGAGTTGAGCGTCTTGCGGTAGAACTCGCGCACATTGTTCTGCGACCTGATGTCTGTCTGGGTGTTGGCCAGCTCCCGCTGTGTCTGGGTATCGGCGCCGGCTGCCTCCGAGAGCAGGGCCAGGACCAGCTTAATGGAGAACGGTGATATGATCACATTCTTTGCTGCCGTCTCGTTCTGGAGCACTGTCTTCAGCAGCTGCCACGAGAACTGGTCGTGGGAGTCGCTTCTGAATGGCACAAAGGTGTCAATGTCATCATAGCCGCTGGGCACTGCTGGCAGCGCCACCGGCCTGATCGGCACCTTGTCCGTCCGTGTCTCAAACACGCCCTGAGGCGTCGTTATCGTTGGTATAGAGTTGCCATTCGCCGACGCTGATGCTCCAAATACCAGCAAAAGACTTGCCAGCAATCTGCTCAAATCCACATTTTTGCTTATCATTATTATTGTTAATGTTCTCCAATCGATGCGATCAATACGATTTTCTTGTGTCTATTTTTCTCCTTTTCTCGGCCACCGAACCAACTGTTAAATAGATGCGCGCTGCTGCTGCGGGAGAGAGACTTCCACCGTCACACACAGAACACAGAAGATGAGCGAGAGAGAGAGACTGATTGGAATGACGGACGACGATAACCGTTGTGCGCCGCGATTCCAATTGGATTGACTCAAGACTCTGAGCGGGCAAGCTTAAAAACCAGCTTCAGAGCTTGCTTCTGTCGTCGCTGTCGGCGTCGCGGTGGCTGTGCGCGTGTGTGTTTTTGTTGGGAGTCCCAAACGGCAGTAGCGCACGTCACAGTCTCCTGAACATGGCCAGTTCTTTTTTTCCCACTTCTCTTTATATCTGCTCTTTTGCCGCAAGAATTCGATGTCAGCCATTTGCATATTGTTTTCCCAAACGTATGAGCTGTGTGAATGATATCCGTGGAGAATACCCATAGTAGACGGAATAATGACCAAATGCTAGTCAATTAATGTTTTTTTTAGCTATTTGAATATTTAGTAATATCTCGCCAGTTTCATTAAGCACATATGGCAATGCTGTGAACAGTGCTGTGAAACACGTGTTGGGTAACAGCTGTTTTGCGCTCATGTAACCGGCTGAAAGCATTGCATTTAATATTAAAAATCTAGTCTCGTGAAATGCAAATTCGTCGTCCTCGTGGTGTAACAATTCCTCAGTTAATGGTGGTAACAGCTCTTGGGGTACTAGGCGGCATATACATTTGGCAGCCACTGATATTGAAATTCAAAGACGAAAAGAAAACGGACACTGAACCGAAGTCTCCATTGCCAGACGCAGCAACAAAGTTCGAACGATTTTAAACTAAATTGTGTTGATTTTTAAGTAATTTTACTGTTTTTTTTACAGATGAGTTTCATTAACGGACTCAAGAGGTTCGCCACCACCACCGTGGGTCTGATGGCCATAGGCATCGGGTCCACAGTCCTTATTTTTGCCGGCCATCGGTTTATTGTGAAACCCTACCAATCCAAGCAACGACGACTCGAAGCAGAAGCCTGTGCGGACTATCTGTTTCAGCAGGAGGTCCATCAGCAAAGAGCGAGCACTGTGACCCAGTAATTTTACCACATCCATCAATATATAACCGAAAATCCTTTTACATAAACCAGAGGGAACAGTGAGTGAAGTTTAAGTTTCATAAATTTATCATTGAGGAACGGAGACCTCGACTTGTTTCAGTTGAGTAAATGCATTAGGGTATTTTATGGAATTTTAATGGAAGCAAACATGAATTGAATAAATAATGAAAACAAAGAGCTAGCCTGCCAGCCAATAGATATGTTTAAACATTGAAATAAATTACACTTAAAATATTTCTAGCGTTTCATTCTGCTGCATTACTCAGTGGGTACATTTTGCTTCAACGAATCCCTCGAAACAGACTCAGGGAACTGCACTTTTCCTTGGCTTCTTGGGCCTGCCTCTTCAGTACGGCCTCCCTCTTGTGGGTGGGAAAGAAGCTCCACAGCGAGAAGGTTTCATCAAGACCACCCGTGGCTATGTTTGTGCCATCCGGGCTCCACATTAGGAACAGAGTGCCGCGATCCTGGTGGGCCAGCAGGTCCACCACTCGATTCAGTGACGCAAGAACCAGAATTTCGCACACCAGACATTCCATTGGATCTGCAGATAACGATATCGCAGAGTTGCTTGAATTATGAACGAATATATTACGTACCACCCCTGATGATGTTGACCAGCAACTCGCCTGTGATCTTGCTGTATGTGACCGTCTTGATATTGATCCTGTCGTCCTTGCGCTTATACGAGGCCACAAACTGCCGATGCGGAATGTTAAAGATGAAAATAGAAGCGGGACATCTTTCCACTGCAATAAGTATATTAAGGATATTAAGGGTTTATCAGTGCTTGGGCCAAGATCTTACCCACAGCCAAGTCCACGCCTGTCCAGGGATGCCAGTCGAAAATGACGGCCTTCGATCTGCAGCCCAATTTCAGGAGTCGCTTATTTAGCCTCGCATCCCATATGAAGATGGTGCCATTTGTGTCGCTCGATGCAAAGTATCGCATATTGGGTGAGAACTTGATCATGGATATCCGATGTCTGTGCTCTTGCAGCTGTTGCGACTTCATTTTGGGGCGGGTGAGCACCACAATAATGCCACAGTTGGTGCCACACAGCAACTCGTTGCCGTCGTGTGACCACTCAATGCAGCGTATGCAGCCCATTGACTTGAGGAAGTATTTGCGATAAGAGACAATGAACTCCATCGTAGATGTGACTGCCCACAGGTCCAGCACTGGATATGTGCCATCCATGCAGCCAATGGCCAGGTATTTGCCATCGGGTGAGTATTTAAGCGAGGTAGGTGACTCCACACTGAATATCATGGTACTTTCCTCCAGATTGCGCCATATCATGACGTCCTCGCCGGACGAAATGGCCACCAGATCATTTGTGGCCCAGTCCATCATATTATAGTCGATGGGGCTGCATATGCCAGACATATCGTGTGTGGCATTCTGAAAGGCTGTCGGTCTGCTGCGTGGCAAACAGGGCCAGTCGGCATCAATGCTAACCATGCCACTCATCTGGGAGCGGGATCTCTGCAGATTGCTAAACTGCAGCAGTCGCCGCTCTTGAATGTGAAAGGCGCTGTTGATGGTCGAAATGAAGCTGCTCTGTCGCCAATAGCTAGAGGTTAGGGTAATGCCCTACGTGTGCAACGGAATCAGTTTACAGTCCCTCAAAGAAAATCCAAATTATTATCCTCACCGTTTCCAGAATATCCTTCTCCTCCCTACGTCCCACGTACTTAAGATTAAAGTCAATATTCTCACGCTCAAATCGCTTCGGTATGAAGCGTTCGCCGCAATACGAGACATTTTGCTGCCCATTCTTGATGCCTAAAGATTTCTCGCTCTGCTTAAAGTAAACCAAATTAGTGAACCAGTTGACGTTCGACTTCGGTATTACTGCACCTTATAGGCCTCCTGCTGCCAGGTCTTGCGTCGCACTTTTGTGAATGGTGTCACGGACTTTTTGTCCATTTGTGCACATTTATTTGGACTATCACACACACTCATCTCGACGAACATTTAAATATTACTGCCTAGCATATTGCATTAGGCTTGCGCCATTTTGGTATGTCGCTGCCCTCAAAGAGAGCAACTACAGTTAAACTGCAGTGCGGTGCACTCTCACCCAAAGTGCAACTGTTCTTGTCTGTGCAGTGCTGCGAAAGAATAACTGTTGTCGGTTTTGCTAAACACTCGTTTTATTATTCATGGCTGGGGTGTAAGCTATCGTCGCCCTTCTATGGACGCCCGCAATGGCGTTTTCCACAGCTCGTTGCAGGACGGGCAATTGGAGCGTTTCTGCAAAAACTTGCGTATGCAGTCTCGATGATACTGGATGTCGCACGATTCACATCGAATATCCCATAGCACCAGGTTAGAGCACAGCTTGCAGCTGTCGATGTTTTCCGCGTGATTGGTGCGCAAATAGAAACTCAGTTCCACAAGCGTTCGTGGCCCTAGGTATATGTTGTCCTCCGCCTCCAGAAAGTATCCCATTTGGCACCATTTTTGGATCAGCTCCTGCATACGGACCTTCTTGAGCGGCTTCTCAATGCCCAAATCCCGGTAGGCACCGTTCCAGGCCATGCAGCAGTTTTCTTCGCCAGCTATTTTGTCCAGCAGCTTGGCAAAGTATTGGCATTCTTCTGCCACCAGACCTGTGTTGGCTATGGTGTCCGGAGTGGCATCTGTCTTGGCGTACACCAAGTACTCCTCGTTCTTCAGGGCATGTTTTACGAAAACCAGCGTCTGATCAAAAACACTAATGGAGGCGTCGATTTCGCTGACAAAGGCTTTCACTGCCTCCTTGTTGAACGGCTTGTGTACTTTATGGAGTTCGCAGAGCGGTGTTAATATTTGATCTATCAACTCATAGCTGAGCGCGCTGTGGTTCTTCGAAGCACGTAAAAATGCGCGCTTTACCAATTCCATATTCAGTTTGTTTACAAATCAGTGACCGCGAAATTATTGATCAAATATACCAAAATATGCCCTTTCATTCTAAAAATATACTGTAAATATACCGTAGCTCTTACAAAATTTTCCTCAACTTTGATCTTTTGTATAATTTTACCAGCTGGTTAGAATTTTCGGCTTTAAAACTGTAATTTTACTCGAATCATCATTTAATTCTCGACAATATTAGCTGATTTTCATGACTTATCTTTGTTAGATTGATTGCAAAATGAGGTTAAAACTAAAATGGTCCATAAAAAAAGGAATTGAAAGATTCATCTTCACAATATACCAACAGTCAACTATGCACTTATCCCACTAAAGCCCCTGACTAAGCCTATTGAAAATAATTAAGTTTGTAAATTTATCTTGTAGACCCTAGGCTAAAAGTTTACTGTCCATGGCCAGAAATATTCCACTATTTTGATATTCCTATTATTATTACCAGCTGGATAGGACTCCCAGCCCTGAAACTATAATTTTATTCGATTGATGACTTAATTTTTAGTCAGTTTAATTTTATTACTCCAAAATAGAGTTTAACCAACACATTTTTGGTTTTTGTATATTTATTTTTTATTTATTTTCGACTTAAAAATTAACAGCACAACAATTAATATATTCAGAGAGCTTCGCTTTAATTTAAATATAGTATATATAATAATACGAATTTTTTCCGTAGATATATTATGAACAAAAATACGTCAATTGGAATAGATCAGCAACTCGATCAGCATTTAAGTTTGAAAATAAAACTGATTATACAAACATCACCTGTCGAAAATATATAATACATACACTAGTTATTTTTCGCGAAATTGAGAAAGCATTTCCTATAATTTTATTTTGTGTAAAAAGACTCGCATTTCAAAAATCAAACACGACTGCTTGTGTTTTTTGTTGTTTTTTTATAACTTTTTCCCATAAAATCCTAAAAGTCGGACTCTCGTCGAGACCGGACTTTGAACGTGCTCCAGAATCTCCATCTAGATATATATTTATTCGAAGTTGAGTATTATTAAGGGTTTGCACATTTTATTAATAAATGTTGCAGCGATTTTCAAGTAAATAAAAAGAGAAGAAATATTTCCATGAGTGCTTACTTTTTATTCGTATACAGATATAGTATGGCAAAACTAAGTAATATATATATTAAAAAGAATAGAAACTCAGAGACGGTCTGGTATAGAGATTCAGCTGCAAGGGGCCTCTTTATACAGAAAAACCTCTTGATAAATTAACAAACGTTGAGGTTGTTTAATGTGTGTTTATTTCATGTTTAGAACTAAGTTTCCGAATCACATTTTCGTAAAAAGAGCATAAACTGAAGATTAATTGACTAATTTGTACATGTTTCTATCATTACCATTTCAAATGAGACCCGATTACAATAAATAACAAACGAAAAGGAAAAATGTTTTAATAATAAAACTTATATATAAACTCTTCAATGATCATCGCCTGTGGCCTGTAGAAAATAATAATCCAAAAAAATAGACGTAAAAGCATAATTATTTTTGTGTGTAAATAAAATCCTATAAATAAAAAGCAGTAAATGGATTATGTGGAGAATATCTTTTCATACGATAATTAAATGATAGAGAGAAACGAAAAAACAAATGTAAATTGCTGAAAAATTGTACTTACATGTTTATTCGCGTGTTAGAATCTAAGAAATTAGATTACGAGAAACAAAATACAGAAATTAAAAGTGTAAGAATAATACCAACGAACATTTGATCAATTTTCTGTGTGCTATAAGAAAGCCACTATTAAACGGGTATAGATATATCATTAACAGACAGAAAGCCTGGCTAATATACGATATTAACGCAGGAAAAATGGTCGAAAAAATAGACAAAGAACAGGCGTAGAATAATATTAAGTAAATTATATTTTTACGAGCTGTCCAATTTGTTTTGAAAATGTTTACATGAAATTATTTGTGACCAGACTGAGTTCGTTTGCAATGCGATTGGATTCATTCAATTGGATAGACTTTCAATTTAAGTATTTTATAAGTTTCGTGTTAGTTTTCAGTAGAGAGAGATGATTGTTAGAGCAAACCAAAGAGAAATATATATTGATAAACGAGAAGAGTCCACATGAGTTGGTTAGATGATGGTTTTGGTTTTTGGTTTTGTTTCGAAGGAAAGACAGAAAGAAAGAAAGAAGATGCCGCAGAAATGAGAAATAAGTAAATTAATATTCATCGCTGTTTAGAAGAGTTGTTACATTTTTTTGTTTGTATATTTTTGGTTAGCATGCATTAAACAGTAGTTAACAGTCAAAAAATCAATATATACAACGTACAATTTAAGACTAGATCAAATTATCAACAATACACAATAGAAAGTAGTGGAATCAGGCACAAAGCAGAGTCCCAGCTTCCTTTCTTCTCCTTTTCCTTTTTCTTTTGCACCACAAAATCAACAAATTATATTTTCAACATAAAAAGTGTTCAACATAATAACATAAATCACATTTTGTATGATCTGCTGTCAGATTCTATTGGTTTGAGGTTTATTTTTTATCTTATTTGGATTTTGTTTTGGCAATTGGCAACTGCTGGGTTAGTGGTTCGCTTGCCTATAGCTGGCTATTGTTAGTTTAGTCTTTGTTTGTGGGGGTGCACTCATTCAATATTGCGGTAGCTAGCCAGTAGATTATGAGTATCTCCCGTGTAATGGATACTTACGCGACTTAATGAGTTGCGCCGCCCTAACGGGGCACCAGCTGCAGCTCCTGCCAGCCCATCCTGGCTGAGACCATTCCCAGTATCGTTGTCTATGCAGATATCCGAGTCAGAGTCGACGCGCCTAAACTCGCTACCATCCTGCAGAATATGGAATTCATTACAGTATTATCTGACAACTGATTTGTAGTCGCGACTCACTTGTGTTAGCTGCTGCGTTGTAGTGAGCAGCCTGGCAATCGGATTACAGCAAACGGGCAGCGTCTCCAGCAGCGTTGGACGCGAATGCGTCAGCAGGGGTTTCATGTACCTTAATTATATTATTCATTTAAATTTTAGATTAAGTCTCTTGCTAAATCACTCACTTGGTGTCGAAGCTACCCCAGATCCTAGCCAGTATGGCCTTCTCATGACTATTGCGACGACGTGCGCCACCTGTGGTGCCCAGACTTCCATTCGGCCCGTCCACAGGCGTGTCCACACTGGGCTCTGTGCCGCCGCCAGATAAACGAATCTTGCCACGACCCCCGGCGCCACCGCCACCACCGCTCTCCACGTCCTGCAAATAACCATCAGACTGACGAAAGAATTCAATCAAATGAAATTAGCACTACGTTGAGCAGGATAATATAAAACAACAAAATATTAAGCCAACAAAATACACACAGGGACCTGCCAACAATTACGGGGTTGAATAATAAATGGAAGCTACAATGGCAAATTAGGTATAGAAAAAAACTGAAGAGTGTACACTGAATGTGAAGCATATTCCAAACGTACCGTCTGCGGATGTGAATTGTCCATGGAATTGTATACCTTTTTATTTAACGGATGGTTACATGTTGTGATAATTGCGCAGAAATGTACAAACAACAAAAATTATGAGTTAAAAATCTATTCTTTCGGAAGCTTAACTTGTTAGAAATGTGGGAAATAAATCAATGTTTGGCACTGGAACGATTCAATTTCAATTCATTTTTGCATTTCAAAATGTTTTCTCTAAAGACCTTTGAGTTAAATAATTCTAATTTGTAATTTTCCTACTTTTAGGTAATATCCAAAGGTTTTTTTCTTTTAATTACAATAAGCTTAAATACTGCAAAATCCCTAAAAGTAATATTTATGAATACTCACACTGTGCACTTGATAATTATTTAATTGTTCAGTCTCATCATCAACGCCAACACTGAGAGAAAAGGGACACAAATGAATGCTTACATTTTGATTTCATATACGCTCGTGCATAACTCACGGTATTTTCAACCAATTGAGCAGAAAATTGGCTGCTCCGCCCTGTATAATGACCGTAAAGATGACAATCAACGATGTGGCTGTCAGCATGGTCTGTCGTGCATCCGAAACCGTATTCCGTATGGCCAAAGCAAAGGACATGGCGCCACGTAGCCCTATAAATAGATAAAGAGTCATTCATTTTGGTGTAGATCTTGCAGAGTTTTCCATTAACTTACCCGCAAAGAACAGCAAATGCTGAAAATTCGATGAGATTTTTGGCTTACGCTTAATGTTGAGCAGCCAGGACAAGGGATAAACATTCACGGCTCTGCCTATGGCGGCACAGACCTGCATAAATCAAAAGAATTTTCCATTACAAAGAAATGTCACAAGGATAATTCAATAGACTCACGAAAGCAGTGATGATGAAACCAGCATCAAAATGATGTTTGGGGAACGTGAACATCGATACGCCAATGTAGGAGAAGATGAAGTTCTCTGCGAGGAAGTTGAGCAACTCAAAGATCTGTTTGGTGCGCTGCCGTGAGTCCTCGGACAGATTGTTGTAAGTGTAGTGCGCCTGACATATGCCGCAGAAAAGAACAGCCACCACGCCCGTCAGCTCCGTGGCCTCGGCCAGCAGGAAGGTGCTGTAGCTCATCAGCACAAAGAGCGCAGACTCCAGCAGTGGGAAGTCACGTACGCGCGTAAACTTGGTCAAGTGTGGCAGGAGTTAAGGAATTAATCAGTTAAAAAATTAAACCTAGAACTATAAAATTATATAAATTATTGTTTAAAAAGGATATCAAAGCCGTAAAGCAACCCATGGCGGCACCAATCAGCAGCGACAGGAAGAATATTGAAAAGAAATCGCTCATTGCCCGCAGAAAGGCTGTCGTCTCAAACTCTCCCGAATTTGAGTAATGTTCACCATAGTTTTGAATGGCACTGCAAAAGGGAATAAACTATAAATATATACAATTGTTTATAAGTTAAGTGTTGATTGTTTTACCCGCTGAGGACAATGGCTACCGCATCGTTCAACACAGATTCGCCCAGAACCAGCGCATAGAGATTAACATCGACCCGCAGATCATTGAATATGGCTAGAATGGTGAGCGGATCTGTGGGCGATATGAGGGCTCCAAAATAAAGCGTGTCCAGGAATGTGAAACTGCTGCTCAAGTACTTTGGCATCAGTTTCACACAGCCGTACATGAAGCCGCCAATCAGAAAGGCCGACAATGTGGTACCCACAATGGCAAATGTCAGTATGGCACCCAAATTACGAAAGAAATATTTCTGCAAAGATAAACAATTAAGTAATTCGTACACATTAAATGAGCGATTGAAAGAGTGGCAAACCTTTTTCAAACTGTAGCCAGCATAGAATATAATGGGCGGTAGAATAATGTTAAAGAACACCTCCGGATCGAAGGTGGCCTTCAAATCGATTTCATTCTCATCCACATCGTACACCTGACCACGAAACACATACGCATATGTCTTAATTCCCTCTGGCAGTTTGCTGCTGTTCGTCTGATTAACCGGATACTAAAAATGAAAGAACAAGTTTTAGCAGCATAGCGAAATTAAATGTAAGACTTACCTTAAACCAGAGCGTATCGGGTGGTAGTTTATCACTGTACGCTGGTATGCCCTGTGGCTCGACCTGTATGTGAACCAAAGGCGTGGAGTTGCCCGCATACCGTATAATGGCACCCACAATTAAGCCTAAAAAGAGATAAAATAAAGTGGTTTCAGTACATATTTCGTTGCTAACTGCTGTACATTAATATATTTATGCCTGTATGCTGCCTGACCTATCACAAACGCGAGAATGACTAATTAGAAGACTGACTGATAAGAGCCCCTACAGCTGCCAGCAGCGACATCTTATCAGCTCAGAACCCCACGCTCAACAAGTGTTTAGGCGCGCAAAAACTACTTATCATTATATTGGTTACTGTTTTTAACAATTTGCACACGGAATCTGTGGTTTACAATTGAAATTTAGAATATGTAGATAGGCACCGAATAATAGCTTTCGCTCCCGGGGTCTGTCGGGGCAACAACTCGCACTTAATAATCAAATTATATGAATATATTATATGCACACGTACACGTCTGTCTGGGATTTGTTTGGGTTATTGTTGCTCCAACCCGTTTTATTGAATTGTTTAATTAGCTTCAATTAGTTTAAAGATATGTTCGCTCACAATACAAAAATATGTTTAGGTCTTCCTCTTGCTTGTGGTTGCAAATCGTTTGAGAAATTGAAATGTATTCTGCGGAAAACCCCAATCCAATGATAATGCATGACTAAACACGACAAGGTCACGTGCGCGTATATAAATAAATAAATAAATAAGAAATTCTGTTTTCATTGCTATGTTTTCCGTTCCTATCCATGCAGCCATCAAACGTATTGTCTGTACATACATACATACATATATTTATACGTACATACATATGTAAGTTTGGTGTATCGGGTGGTTTTACTTTGGATTCCCGTTAATTAATACCGCCTGCCTGCCATATGCACGTAATGACACGACTACGGTGCACACAAAAGCGTAATTATGAACGAAAAACGACAAAGAGGTGACACTGCATATGGGTGTGAGTGGGGGAAACAGACAAATAGACAAATAGGTGACACATCCAAAAAGAGTTCTGAAAGGAGCCCTTTACCCATCCCTACCCCACTGACTCACCGTAGATGACGGCTAGGCCGGTCTCGTGCAGCCAGGAGACGCGATGGTGTTTAAACAGCCAAATGGTGAGGACTGTCAGCGCCAGAAGGAACACGAAGACCAGCAGATCGAGGCTTTGGATGCGATGGTTCAGCGTTGCCTTGGCGTCCAGGGCAATATCCGTGTCCGTGGCACTGCAGCCGGTGGTCAAGGCGCATATTGTTGCCACCACGGCAGCCAGCAGGAACATATTCCCCAAACGTTCCTGTGGTCGCCAGGATGATGTGTGTATGGGACAATGAGAATGACGGACCCAAACTTCACTCCCAGCGGTTAGCGATGCCATTTCTATTTCTGTAACAACATTGCAGTTGGACATATTGTGACGCAGCTGCTTGCACAGCGCCGAGAAAACCGAAATCGATTTTCACGTTACGACGTTGGCCCTGCGACTGTAATTGATTTCGAGCACAACAAAACACAAACACATCAACAGTGCGAGGGGGAAAGGGGCTTGGAGCAGGTGCTGGCTACAGGCCACGCTTGGGCCAGGCCGCAGTCGAATGGCTATCGTATCTGTTGTATTTTTTAGAAATTTATTCTCAAATTCTCAACTAAAACACTTCTTCTTTTAAATTTTCATTTCAGTGTAGGGTTGTCAAAACTATATCAAAACATAAATGTATCGATATATTTTTTTTTAAATAAAATATATTTATATCGTGATATTTTGTTTGCCAAAATATTAATGTTTATATTTTTTGTGATGTTTTGATATATTAGGTGTTTTATGTACTTAATGGAACGACATTAGCGCCGAAAAAAAATCAGATGTCAACGAAAGTGTTCTGAAGTCAAATATTCGTTCAATTTTGACCCAAAAGCATATAGAAAACACGGCTTAAAACGAACTGTCGTTATACCTAAGCTTACCGCTTATCAATTGGGAGAGCGATCCCTTGTAATTTTGGTTTTCCCAATGAGAAACACTGAATAATCTTTATAGGGTGGCAATTAGTTACCTGATTACACCTGGTAGCTCACTGCCATTAGAGAGGCTGGCCTCCGCGACTCTATGTGACTCCTCTATGACACCACAAGGTCTCTGATTTCTTTATGGCAACATGTGTGCGTAATCGATATCAATACTTTGCAGTGATATCTATATCATATTGATATATAAAAAAATATACATATATCACTGACATGATATTTTTTAAATACTTGACAGCCCTATTTCGTTGTGATATGCAGTGTGACCGCGTATTAATCATAAAATATACCGACCCTTAGAAATATACTTAAGTATGCGTTTTAATTTTCAATATATAATATACCGTAAATCTTAAATTAATTCCTCGATTTTGATGTTCTATTTAATATTACCAGCTAGTTAGCCCTCTCAGCTACAAAACCATAATTTTATTCTATTGATGAATCAATTCTGCGTAAGATTGGCTATTTCTGATAACAGTTCTTGAATGAACTGCTTACAAAATAAGGATCAAAAGAAAAGCATAAAGCGTTACTCGAGTGGGGAATGGAGTGTTACCTTAGTTTTCTACTTGTTGTTAGTCGTTACTTTGTATACCCTATTCCCATTAATTAATAATGCCATTTTCGAAGCTGCACTTAAAAATTAATAATGATTTTATCTCAGGCAGACATGCTAGACCGACCTGTGAGACAATTTTTAACCATTTAACCATCGTTACCATCGCTGGAGAATCGCGGGAAAAAGTTTCCATTTAAAAAACGTAAGTGAAGTTTCTGTTGTAAAATGTTTCAAATCATAATCACAATCACTGAGAAGAAACTCGAAAATAGAGTTCCTGTTTATTCTTGTAAGAATTTGAAATGAATTTCCTTACCCGTTATGCAAAGCCAATTGGCGCCATGCGCTTCCGAGGGCTGCATCTGGATTCCGGTGCCCATTCGTCGGGTACCATGGCTGAAAGTAAGCATCTGGAGATTGTTCCACCATCATTTCAATCTTTGTGTGTTTACAGTCTCTGAGAAGATCAAGAAGCAGGTTGGCGTGGAGCCGGGCTATCACACGATTCCCAAGTGCCGCGCAGGCTTGCTCAAGTATCATCCAAAGCTGGAGGATTTGCCGGAGCGTAGCATGAAGGATTCGTACAGAACGGCAATACTGCCACTGGGCTCCGATGAGAGAGTGCGTGAGCATCACGTCAATCATCTGGGAATGGTGCGTAGGGGGCGCCTAGTCGAAGAACTAGACATGTTCGCCAGTAAGTAAATTCCTTTGATGGCAAAATATCCGAAAACTAATTTTCGGTTGCATGCAGTTTGGATATGTCATTGTCATGTGAAGCTGCCCCTGGCGAGGAACACCCCTTTGCCATATACTTTTGTGACTCTTCTGGTGGACCGCGTGGAGATGTTGGCCGACGCCAAGGCAGACATTGATCTTGAGCTGTCGGGCCATGTGTCCTGGACAGGTACCAGTTCCATGGAGATTTCCATCAATGTGCGACAGCAGGAACAAACCATTGCCAAGGCCATCTTTCTGATGGTTGCCCGCAATGCCACAAACACAGCGCCTGCTCCCGTCAATCCGCTAAAGCCGACCTTGGGGCAGGAGCAGCTTTACTGGGAGGCAGCCAAGGAGCGTCACAAACAGAAAGCCACCTCTTCCATGTGCCTGGATAAAAGGCCGCTCACCAAAGCGGAACAGAATCTCATGTATGAGTTGTTTATGCGCAGCACGGGAACTGACATCCTCTGGGAAACGTCCAGCGAGGAGCCGATGGACTGTCGCTGGATTGCGAGCACGCAGCGTTCCAAAGTTCTGTTGCCCTTTCCAGAGAATCGCAACAATCACAACACCATCTACGGCGGCTACATAATGCGCAATGCCATCGAGATTTGTTACATAACAGCGAGCTTCTATGCCGGTCGAAGACCTCTGCTGCAGTACCTCTCGGATGTGGCTTTCTTTCAGCCTGTGCGCGTCACTTCCATACTCAAGCTGACGGCCTATGTGGTGTACACCTCAGAGCAGTATATGCAACTAATGGCCGTGGCAAAGGTACTCGATGCGAACAGCTTTACGGAGATGCACACGAATGTTTTTCACCTCACGTATGTGAGCGAACACAAGGTGAAGGAGGTGCTGCCGCACAGCTTCCAGGAGACAGTGTGGCACATCATTGGACGGCGACATTTTGAGAGCTACCAACAGAGAAAGTAGAGTAGAGATTTATGCACCCAAAAAAGAACCTTTAAACTGTACACACAATGGAATTATGCCGTAATCTTAATAGAAAATATATATATGTAACATTGACTATAGCCCGAACCTGTCCTGGCGAGCACACTCTTTGGTTGTGCCTGCACATTTAACTAATTAATTGGAACGTTCTTCATTCAGCTTTTGCAGCGTGCTGCACTCCGTTTGCCCTCAATCCACTGCTCAATCTCCTGCTTGAGTGCCACATTCGACTTGACCTTGTCCATGGTGAGGGGCTCGCGGTTAAACGGATCCGTCTGATCGCTCAGCAAGTGCCGGGCGATGGTGGAACGATCGACGGTGACCTTTGAGCTGGGCAGTATGACAGGATCTGTCATGAGGCTGGATATAATCGGATCTAGGTAATCCTCGGGTGCATCGGCCAGAAGCTCTTGCTCCTCCTTGTACTGGTCACCCATTTTCTTCACCTTCGCCGCAATATCGGACATGTCGCCGATCAATTGGCCACCGCCAATGCGTATGAGAATGGTCTCGGCGTAGCCAAAGAGCTGATCGCTGTAGGAGCGTCCGTCCTGTGAGACTGCCAGGCAGAAGCTATCGTCGGTACTTAGATTGATGTAAATGTGTGAAATCTCCAGAACGGTTTGGGCCGGATCAAAGTCAAACTCCTTTTTGTCCTTCACCTTGAAGCGCTCCTTGCGCGGACCAACCAAATGCAGCAGAAAGTAATTCAACATCGCTGCAATGCGATCCACCATGCTGTTGTGGCAGAATATGCTTCTGATCTCGGTGGTGAGGAGCTTCAGCAGATTGATGGTGTCCCGACCCAGGATGTTGTCGAAGCGTGCCAGCATGCCCAGATGATGCAGATTGGTCACCTGTTGCTGGCGCTCATTTTGCGCCAGATTATTCCACTCGCCATTGTCCTGGGCCTGCTGCAGCTGCTTGATCTGCTCCAGGTTTGACAGCGACTCATCCAGCAAAAAGATTGCATCATTGATGAGCAAATTGATGAAGCGCAAGAATATTGGTGGCTCAATCGCTTCCATATTCTCCTCCGCTTCGATGGCCAGCTCGCGAAAGCATTGCACATGCTCCGGCTTGGTCCAAAGGAACTCCATGATGGCGTACATGGGTCGGCGATAATTAAACTTTTGCTCAAACTGCACCGACTGGCCGGTCATCTCGATGCTGACAAAGACATTCAGCAGACTCCGCACGACCTTCAAGCGATCCGGGTGATTGTCAAAGACATGCGTGACGAATGCCTGCCGATTGCTGTGAATGCTCGGCGTGGGCAGCAGAAACTCCAGCGCCTCCGCCAGCTTAGCCCTCAAGTGGGGATTCTTCACCAGCCCGGAGCTGCCCATGAACAGCAGAATCATCTTGAAGAAGGCATCGTGAACCGAGTAATATATGTGTATGAACTGATCGCCATTCAAGCGACGGCAGAAATTCAAATATGCCGAAATATTATCAATGATGCTCTCAGGCACCGACTGCATGTAGGGCGCCACAAAGGGTGGCGTGTCCGAGAGCAGCTCCAGATTGCGATGAATTTGTGGGGCAAAGTCACGGTTGTCCAGCGCCTGCTCGTAGCTCTCGCGCGGCATCAAGGCCACCTCTGTGAGCCAAATGGCCGATGCCTCCAAAAACTTGAGCATTTCTTTATCGTTTGTGGGTTCCGAGAGTGTGTTCCTGATGGAGAGCACTTGCTGCATTTGCTCCATTAGCATGCGGTACAGATTCTTGGTTAGATCATTGTTCGGGTCACTGCGTAGCACATCCTCGTAGGCCGTCTGGGTGTTCTGCAGCTCACGCATAACGCGAAACAGGCGCTCAATGCAGGGGCGATTCGCCAGCTCAAAGCACTTGTGGGTCATGTAAAAGATTTCCGTGACAAAGTTATATTTCTCAGCCGTCAGTCGCTCTTCACCCTCGGCGGTGGGCAGCAGACAGGTCTCATCGTGTGCTTTAAGCATGCTCACTCCCTTCATCTGGCGATCCTTGTCGACCACAGCACAGTATGTGGGATCCACCAGCAGCACCTGCAATCAGGAAAGACTTTAGGATTGTTGGAGGTGAAACGCCTTTAACTTTACCTTTAGCGAGGGCACACAGAGGGGCGCACAAAGACGCGTGAGAACCGCACACAGACTGGTCATAAATGCATCGCTAGCTGTGCTGTACATTGTCTGCTCGAGATTCAAGCTCATGCTGTTCCAGAGATGGCCACGCGACACATTCGCATCCAGGCAGTTCGCGATCCACTGCATGGTCTTTCTCTTGATTTCCGGCGACAGAACAAGCAGCTGCTTGAAGAGCTGAAAAGTCGATTGCTGATGATGCGATAGCAGACCCCAGAGAGCAGGATCCGTTTGATTGATCGACAACTGCTGAAAGAATTCGTATTTGCCAGTTTGGGTCTTGGGCAAGATAGATATGCACAGCAGTTGGCCCAGAAGTGTGTCCATGAACTCGCCGCCTGCAACAGAGAGTTTTAACAAAATAAGCCAAGACACCGACTTCAAAGCAAACCTTTTGCCTGTGGATTGGGTGTGGTATAGTCAATTAGGATCTCTCCTAGTACCGCAGCCCGCTTGTCCTTCACAAAGAAGCCCAGAATCCAGAAAATATTCTTCTTGATCGTTATCAAGTTATCCTTGGCAATGAGTTTCTGTAGCTCCGTCAGCAATGGATAAAATATCGCCTTGAGCGCACCGAGAGCTTCAATGGGCTCATCCTCCTGGACCACTTTACAGGCCACAAGCACCAGAAACTCCTGCGTGCTGGTATCATGCTCACTCGCCTGCTCGAACAGCTCCAGCCATTGGGTGGCGAACGACTGGGGAGCAAAGAGGTCCGGCTGGCGCATACAGGTGCTAGCATTGTCCAAAATCAGTTCCTTGATCTTGGCACTGCCCGTCTTCTTGGCACCCTGCATGCGCTCACACCTGGCAAAGGCTCCGTGCAGATAAGTGATGGCTTGCGCCTCCCAGGCCTCGCCATTGCCTTCGAGTGTGTCGCTCATCATCAGTCGCTCGAACAGGGCATGCGCCACTAGGTTCTCGCACAGCGTCTCCTCGCTGGTATCCACGACCACGTCAGACAGGCAGAGAATCTGTTTGCTGCCGCCCTCCTTATTCAGCGTAAACAGCAGAATCTCCTCCACCAATTTGTGTGACACGCCATCGACTGTCGAGCCCTCCTGCAGCAGTGCTGCGAACGGGTTCTGAACGCTCGTCATCCTGCCAAACAGTTGTAGAATTAATTTTAGTTTTCAAGCACCAGTTCTAGTGACAATTAACGCCTTAAAATTTCGGACCCCAAAAATATTTTTTTTCCCCCAACTCCTGGTCAGCAGTGTGACCGCGGAATTAGAGACAAAATATACCGTGACGGCCTCGAAAATATACCAAAATATACTTTTTCATTTCAAAATATACCGAGAATCTAAATTATTCCTCGACTTTGATGTTCTATTGAATATTACCAGCTAGTTAGGATTCTCAGCGCTAAAACTATAGTTTTAACCAGTCCATCAATGACGTCCATGACTTTTTCTTATTGGATCAAACCAACAAGGTAACCAAAAGTTGATGAATCAACTAAAAGATTGGCCACATTTCATGACACAATGCAATTGTCGATGTAAAATGTTATATAATTACATTTCAGTCTATCGAAAACCCGCTATATTGTACATAAGTGTTGTAAAATGATCTTGTTTGAATAAATAAACTTGCCGCCCAATTTGCATGCCGGAAAATGTTTCCATTAATTATTGATAAAAATCTCACCTATTTCTCATATCACCAGTTCTCAAAGTTCGCAGTGGGCTGCCTGCCTGAATATTATCAATTTTATTGCCAACATTGATTTGTTTAATTAATTGCACTCGATTAACCTTCTTTATCAATGCAATGAGGCGATTACAATGCTCATATCTGGGGCAAACCTGAACCGAACCGCAGCCGCATGCACTCAAAAAATAAATCCAAAGCCAATTAAGACAATCAATCGCAAAAGCCACCCATAACGTACATACAACAAATAATGAAATACAAGCGCCGGCTGGGTGTGCCACACATCAAACCCCGCCATTTCCCATTCGCACCCTCAGTCGCCGCATTTCACCTTAGATAAAATGTCTTCGTGCATTGTTTAATCGGCTTATGATCAGCAGCGGCCGGGCCGAAAGAAAAGCAAAAAAGAAAATGCAAAAACTCAATGAAGTTCGTTGATTCCCCATCCCATCCATCCATCCATCCATCCATCTACATGTTATATCAGCTTTGTTTGGCAGTCGTTGAGGTATTTTCAATCGGCAAGCATTTCGCATTTTCCGCTCACAGTTGGAGCAACAGAAACCACAGCAGTTTTCGTTCGGCACGTGTGAGGGAGAAATTAACGATTTTTCACCTTTTATTTGACGAATTCTAGAGCACATTTCTGGCACCCTCCCAGCGAACGTAGCGATGAGTGCGATGCGACCCCTGAAGCCAGCATTGCAGGCGATTGCCATCGAGGAGCTACATGAGGTGCCGCAACGTGTGCCCGCAGACATTGAGGCGCTCAGGGAGTGGGTGTTGAAGCAACCGCATCTGCGTGCCTGCACCGACGAACGCTTCCTCTTGGCCTTTTTGCGTGGCACGAAATTCAGCCTGGAACGGGCAAAAGAGAAATTTGATCGCTTTTACACGCTGCAATCCTCCATACCCGAGGTCTTCAATGAGCGGCGCCTGGCCACTGATCCCGTGGTGCTCGAGATACTAAGGATGGGGTGAGTTTCGGTATTGGCGTGGCACTGGTCTGAGAGATTGATTCTTTTGCAGCGTGTTGCTGCGATTGCCGCTGGCTGCGGACGATCCAGGGCCATGCGTGACCATCATACGTGCCGGCTCCTACGATACCAGCAAGTACAAGTTCCAGGACATCATACGGCTGGGCTCAATGTTCGGGGAGATAATGATGTTCGAGGATGAGAACGCTACGATTAGTGGCTACGTGGAGGTCATGGACATGACTGGAGTCACAGGATCCCATCTGTTTGCTCTCCAGCCGCAGCTGCTCAGCAAATTCTCGACGTACGCCGATGAGGCGATGCCCACGCGCCAGAAGGGCATTCACTTTATCAATGTGCCCGCGGCCTTTGAAACGGGCTTCAACTCGTTGCGCTCCTTCTTTCCCGCAAAGATCAAGTCAAGGGTAAGGTCGCAGCAAGTCGCCATGGATTTACCACTATCGAAATTCCTTTGCAGATTTCTGTTAGCTCTGACCCTCAGGCCATATTCCAAATAGTTCGTCGCGAATATCTGCCCCAGGAGTACGGAGGAACTCGTGGCACCATGCGGGACATAAGTGAGGCCATGGAAGCAAAGCTATCCAGCTATGGCCTGTACTTCGAAGCCGCCCAGCACTTTGGCACCGAGGAGAAGTTGCGGGAATTCGGAGATCGGGTACAGCACAGCCATCGCAGCTCCTTTGGGGCTGTTGGGTCATTCCGTAAACTGGAAATCGACTGAATCTAATCGGATCTAATTGGAAGGGATTAATCAATAATAATATTGACGCTTGTGTATATAGATTAAAAATGCAATTTGACTGTAAAACTGTAAAAGCTGGTCTTATCTTAGCAAATAAAAACTTGTTAGTGGTTTTAATCAAGGTTTTTTATTATTTATTTTAAAGGGGGGCTTAAGTCGGTTAAGCTTTGTAAATAGTAAATAGTATTTTAACAGGTGATGGTATATTTTGGTATATTCGGAATAACCCACTACAAAACAGCTTTTATTTTGTTTTTCATCAGTTGAAGTAATAAAAAGTTAAAAATTATCTGTAAATTGTAGAATATACATTCTCTTTACCAACTAGTGCCGGCCGGTGGGCCATATAACAGCTTAAAGATGAGCATTGTACGATTGAATGACGATTGTCTGTTGTAAGTATAGAATCCTCCTGCGCATTTGCGGCCACCGGAATAACATTTGCTGTTAGAAAAATTATAGAATACCTGGACTTTGATGAGCAATTGGACCTATGGGAGGCAACCGAGGACACGAGCCGCCTACGCTTGGCGGTGGTCTACACCTGGCAGCGCATGTTCCAAAAGTGCTTATACAGAGATACCTTCGAGGGGCGCTTACTCGCACTGGATGGATTTCTGGAGTGTATGAAGGGCACAATGAAGCATCTGACAATCACATATCTTCCCGAGGATCAGATGGAACGTTTTAGCCGGCACGTGTTTCCAAACATGCGCGTCCTCGACTATATGGCAGATGAGACCGATGACTGGATCGACGATTCGGACATTAAGATTCTTGTACACAGCTTTCCTCAGCTGGAATCGCTTAAATTGACTGGCATGTGCAAAGGCAACGACCTGTACAAGATGCAGCACATTCGGCACTTGGACATTGCTCAGTGCTGGAACCTGAGCCTCGAATGCATTTTGAACGTCTGCGCGCATCTTCGCTTGCGTGTGCTGTGTGTCCAGTGGCGACGCTCGGAGGAGAAGGCATACGTGGATGCCATTAGCAAGCTAAAGAACCTGGAAGAGCTGGAGGTTGAGGTGATCCAGTCGGAATCAATTCCCCAGCTAATGCGTCTGCCCAAGCTGCGCAAGTTACGCGTCATCACGAATCACGAATGTGAACTGGTTGGGGATATTGTGCAGTTGCGTGGAAGTGACATCATTTCCGCATCGTTCAATGACAGCATTTGGCTGTGGACAGCCAGAACCTGGACACCGTGTTGCAATCTGCGCAAACTAACGATCATCGATGATGAGGGCTGCAGACGGCCAAAGTTGAGAAAAGTTATCCAGTGCTTTCCACTGCTAGATCAAGTGCATCTGGTGAATTCGCCTATTTTCGGTACAGCCGACGAGCTCTGGGAGCTGGTGTCCATCTGCCCACACCTGAAACGACTGACCATGTCCCAATACACTCTAAACAATTGCTTTTTCAAGTTCGACGCAGCTAGAATGGTGGCCGTCCTGGACAAGCGGAAGCAGCCCTTGGTGCTGCAATGCTTTGAATCAAGCGCCGAAGATTTGGTAAGTAAAACTGCTCTTTCTGTTTCTCAGACGTTTCACACTGTTCCCTCACCCCCCCTTTAGGTTCTTCAGCTTTTTAAACATCCCAAATTGAAAATTTCCTTTGAGGCTTTAGAATATAGTCCTGTTCCTTCTGAAGCCATCGAGTTTGAGTTTCAGCCTCTGGAGGCGTGAAGGGCACAAGTAATATTAATGGATTTTCTTAAACTAATTTTGTAAACTTTTAAATTACGGTGAAGTTTTTGGTTTAACTGCGATGTCCATGGTGAAATTACTAACAAGGTGATGTTATCCACCCTGCACCCTGCTCAATAAGACCAGCGCTATAAATGGACACAGTTAAGTAATTTCACCCTCTCGATGTCCTTCATGTGCATAAACCACTAAACTTTTGATAAAATGAACTGATAAACAAGCAACACGCAAATCAAACTAAATAAAGAGAAGGGACGTGTGAGACGCTTCTTATTCAGTGCTACATCTGTACCTTAGCCTCATTCCAACACGCTCCGTTAGATCGCCCCCCTTCCCTAGACCCACACACTGCAAACTCACGGCAGAGGCAGAGGCAGCGCCCGCGCACACTAAAAAAAAACAAATATAAGCTGCGGGACAGGGTGGGTTAAAAGTCGGCAGAGGCAGAGGCCGAGTGAAGCAGAAGCAGAGTGTGAATGAAAGAATGTGAAAAGAACAACAAAAGCTGCCGGACAGGGGGGCCACTGCAAATTAATTCTTCATTCTGGCTATAATACTGATCCAATCGGATCCCAATTTAGTGATCTGATAGATATGGCCATTCCCTACGGAATGGCGTTTTTAGTATTATAATATAATATAATATTATATAAATATAATATAATTTTTTAAATACACTGGTTTCAGTGTGAGCATACAGCTGTCTGTACCAAAATTTGGTGGCTCTAGCTGTTATAGTCTCTGAGAACTAGCCGACAAACAAGACGGACATACGGACGGACGGACAGACGGACAGACAAACTTGGCTCTATCGACTCGGCTATTGATGCTGATCAAGAATAGATATACTTTATGGGGTCGGAAACGTTTCCTTCTGTGCGTTACATTCAACCGTTATTCACACAAATACAATATACCCTATTTACTCTTCGAGTACGGGGTATAAAAATCAAATCACACAGATCTGGCACATCTTTTAATTAATAATCTTTCAATAATTAATTCATTCACGGGTATTCTTTTGTACCATTTTCTTGTGAGTGTCGAGTCGAACATTAATGTTTATAAAGCAGGGCTCGGCACGGCCCTATTTATTGTGCAGAGGAAAAGGCTTGCCGCTCACGTGCACGTGTTTTACAGTTGCTTGCACCAATGCCAATGCATTGCAATGCACCGTTTTGCGTTCTGTCTTCGCAAGCAAACGCAAAATTGAATGCTCAAGTGCACTTGTATTACAGGTATTCCTACCGATACCAATGTTCCGTTTTTGCGTACTGTCTTCGTACATGCCTATCGAACCTTGATTGCCAAACATAAAGAAACGATCACCTCTCTTGGGTTTTTGTCAATTCTGTTTAATTTTGTTTTGCATTTTCCTCGAATATCATTCATCATTCACCAATTTTAATTCACCAGTAAATTGCTGTTATTGTTGTGGTTGCTTCTCAAGAACGTTTCGCGGTTCGTTTTGCGGGTTCGCCAGACGCAGTCGTGCCCCCCCCCCCCCCCACCCACTTTTCGTTAGTCGTTGATTAATAAATATATTTGAACTAGTTTTGAGTTTAAGCAACTACTCGTACATAATATACTTGGTAGGATGATAGGATTTGGTCGGTACACACCCCCACCGCCGTGAAGTACAAAAATCCGCATCTCTCATACCTCGCTGTATGTTCGCGAACCAGCGCCCGTGCCCGTTCCGCCCGTGCCAGGGCCCGGTCCGTTGCGATGTCCCGACGCCACCGGTCGATGCGGACTGGGAGGCGGACTGTAGTCCGTCTCTGTGTCGTGCCGATAGTTGTATCGACTGTCCGAGGGGGAGAGCGAGCGATATGTGCGAGGCGAATCCCTCGAGTAGGAGTCGCGACGTCCCCGACCCCAGCTGCCACTATGCCGGCGACGGCGATCATCCTCCTCATCGTCGTCATAGTCATCGTAGTCGCTGTAGTCCGAATACCTTTCACGGTCATGATCACGATGACCTCGTGAACCCGACGCAGCCGGCGGCGGGGAACGCATGCGACCCAGCGGCGGTGGTCGCGCTCCACCAGCTGCAGCTGGTGGCAGGAATGGCGGCGGCAGGCCCATAAATGGTGAGAAGGGAGCCGCCAGGAATGGCAGTGGATTTGGCATGTTTAATAATGGCGAGCCCGGCAAAGGCAGCGGCAACGGCAGCGGCGATGGAGCTGTTGTTGCCTTCGACTCTCCCCCATTCGAAGAGATTGACTCCCCTGTTGCTGGATCACCACCTGCGGCCATGGTGGTTAGCTTGCGTCGCAAACCAGCGGCCTCGGCCAGCGCCTCCTCACAGCGTCGCTCCGACTGTCGCGCCGCCAGCCAGGATTCATGCGCACGATTCTCCAAAGTGCCCATCTGTGCCTTGTGTGAGGCAATCTGTGCCTCAATCTCCGCGCGCAGCTCATCGTTCTGAGATCTAGAGGAAGTACAGGGAAATAAATACAGTGGAATGTGTGGGCATGTCGGCTGTGAGGCTGCGACTCACTTGAGAGTTTGAATTTCGTTCTTCATCAGCGTTTGCGTCTCCACGGTGCTGGAATTCTCGCCCTGATGCTGCAGCCACTTGGTCTCCTGTAGGCTGAGTTCCCTGCAAAAATGGAAATCAATTAATTGAATTTTCCCCTCCATCTCCATCGATTGAGTTACGTTTTAAGTTCGTTTTCCTTTTCCCGAAAGTATCCAGAAAGCACCTCGAGACGCGTTTGCGCCTCCAGTTTGTCCCGCTCCGCTTGATTGAAGTCCTGCTTCAGCTGCTCCACATCGGCATTGGACTGCTTCAGCTGACTCTCCAGCCTGCCCTTGTGGACCTGCTCCTGCTCCAGCTTTAACTGCAGATCGCTAAACTTCTTCTGTGCCGCATTCAGCTCGCCTCGCGTCTTGGCCGAGCTGATAAGCTCGTGAACATTGAGGTTCGCATCCTTCTTCAAAGACTTCAGACAGTCCTCGAGTGCCTCGATCTTGGCTAGACTGGTCTGCAGATCCCCGTGCTCCCTCTCCCACTTGGTTGTCAGATCGAGTATCTGATTCTGCAGACGCTGCATCTCGTAGTTACGAGCCTCCAAAGCCTTGGCCAGCTCCTGCTCGTTCTCCGCTTGGATATCCTCAAGTCGTGTCTTCAGCTTGGACTTTTCCATGTCCAGCTCATAGTTATCCTCCTGCAAAGCCTTCAGTTCGCTCGACAAACGCGCCGTGGACTCGGTGTACGCATATTGCAGCTCACTATTCTCGCGGCTCTTCTCGGCGAGGCTCGAGTTTATGTCCTCAATGATCACTGTGAAAGAGGAATAGAAATTAGTTCAAGAGCAGTTTGCACGCTCTCTAGGGATACTCACTTCTCTGATCGTTTATCTGCCGCTGCAGCTCATCGGCTGTCAACATTATGGCATCATTGCCATTCTGATTGCCCAGCACATCAGACAACATTGTGTTTAGCTCTAGCCCAGCCTCTGCGGCCTTATCCAAATCCCTTTCCAGGCCGCTAACTTGTTCCTGCAGCTTGCCCTTCTCGTACAGTTCAATCTCCAGCTGCTTCTTGAGTGAGGCCACCATGTCGTTGGATCCAAAGGAGTTGTCCTCAATGCTGGCCAGTTTGGTGCGTGTCGTCATCAGATCGTTCTTAATGATGAGATTCTCCTTGTGTGAGGTCAGCAGGCTGCGCTCCAAGTGGTTCAGTTTCGACAGCAGTGCACCCTCTTGGCTGCTGTTGCAGAAGCAATAATAACCAAAGCTAAAGAACAGCGAAGAGGCGGCCGCAATGACAACACATAACAGCAGCTGGCTGTGATCCACCAGCTTAGCGGCCAGCACCTCCACAAAGTTGTCCAGCGAAATTGTGCGATGGCAGTGATCATTAATGTTGGACTGGTAACGAGCACAATGGGCATCAGCATCACCATGAATATCGACATCAGCTGGGGACACATCTGCAAGGCAAAGTAATGACAATTATTGGAAAGAAAGGAACAAAAAACACTTACCATTGGATGTTTTTTCACCCATTCCCGGATACAGAATTCGCTGCAGTTCATCGCTGCTGCTCTCTTCCAATGGCACATTCTCCTTCGTTTTTGAACCCTGACTAGAGATGAATGTGTTGACAGTGTCGACAATGGTGGCAAAAAGACCTCCACCACCGCCACCGCCACCCAGGCCATCTTCCTTTATGGGAGACTCTGAGGCGGGAATTGCTGTCGAGGGCAGGGCCAGTGGTTCCACTGAACCAACTGCCGCACTCTCCGAGGATACCTCCTCGCTGTGTGGTGCTGCCGTCGGTTCATCATCAACTGCTGCATAGGGCGCTTCGTAAGAAGGTGTGGGTGTAGTTTGCTCTGGCAACTGATGATTGGATTCCTGCTGCTTTTTCGCTTGCTCCTGCTTCAGTTGCTCTTCAGCTTCCGCCTGGTGCTGCTGCTTCAGTTGCTCTTCAGCTTCCGCCTGCTGCTGTTGCTTCAGTTGCTCTTCAATTTGCGCCTGATGCTGCTGCCTCAGTTGCTCCTCAACCTTCGCTTGCTCTTCCTGCTTCAGTTGCTCCTTCACGTTCGCCTGCTGCTGCTTCAGTTGCTCCTCCACGTTCGCCTGCTGCTGCTTCAGTTGCTCCTCCACTTTCGCCTGTTGCTGCTTCAGTTGCTCCTCCACTTCCGCCTGTTGCTGCTTCAATTGCTCCTTCTCCGCTTTCTCCTGCTGCTGTTTGTAATAATCATTTGGATCATCAATGGAGGCTTCACTCGGCTGCCGATTCAATGCCTCCTGCTGTTCTTGCAATTGTTTATAATACTCGTTTGGATTGGCAAAGTTTTGCTTATCGAAAAGTGGCGGCAGGCTAACTGAAGGCTCTGCTGCGACTGGAGGCAGCTCCTCGATGGGACTGACAGTGGTGGTGGCTTCGACTGGCACCAGAGGCTCAACCTTTGCTGTCTCTTGCTCACTTTGGACTCGAATCTCTGCTGCTTTTGGTTGTTCAACAACAGTTTCTTTCAATGTTTCTTCAATCGATGGAATTGTTGGCACTTGCGCCCCTTCGGTTACCGCCTCTACGATTGGAGTCGTTGTTTCAGGCACCTGCTCTGGTGTAACAATCTCCTCCAACTGTCTTTCAGTAGTGTCCACCTTTGGGGCTTCCTTTGCGGACGCAATACTCTCAAGGATCGATGGAATTGGCTGCTCATTCTTCTGATTCGCTGCTGGTACCTCCGCCTGTGGCTCCACTGGTTTCTCCTCAGTTTTAGGTTCTCCCTCGACACTACTGGGGGGTGCACTCTTATCTAAAGTTTGCTCCACCAAATTGGGCTTCAACTGGGTTGTTTCATTAACATTAATTGGCTTTTTATCGTTCGCTACTTCGTTCAATGTTTCGTTATCTTTTTTGCTAACTATTTTCAGTTCATCATATTGATCGCCTTCTTCGTCGTCGTCCTCCTCGTAGTCGAAATCATCAGAGTCGTCGTCAATATCAGTGTTGATAGCCATCACCGGTGCAACTGTAACTGGCTCCGACTCCTTGGTGTCAGGCGCTGCTTCAGTTGGCTCTTTGGGTTCAGCTTCCACCTGTTGTAGCTTCGGAGGTTCCGTCACTGATGGCGTTGGCTCTTTTTGATCAGCAACTACTTTCTCTGGTAGTTGCTGCTGCTGTGACTCATTCGATTCAGTCGTTGCTGTCACCGGCTGTGGCTCTTTCGTGTCAACCGCTGCTGAGGCTGCTTGAGATTTATCGACCTGTTGATCCTTTGTCCTCTCGGTGACAGCTGGAATTGCCTCCATGGGCAGCCGAGTGCCATCTACCAGTTGCTCTACTTGTGACGACGCTGTTGGCACATCCGGCACCTGTTGGTCATTTACCTTGTCCTTTTTCGTCACAATAGCATCACCTTTAACATCCAGCGGGCTGGTTGTGGTCGTTGCCAACTCATCGGCTGACTCAGAGGCATTGGGAACGGGAGGCTCTATCTCTGTTGCCTTCAGGGGAGCTTCTGGTGCAGCTACTGGCGGGCTACCCGGCCCAACCACTGGCACTTCATGCTCCAAATCTTTTTCACTTATAAGAATCCTCTCTTCCAATATGAAATCCTTGTTGGCATAGCCACGACGTCCACCAATATCCACGCCCCAAAGCTGTTTATTCGTGCCAGCGCTTTTGGACAAAATGCGCACTGGGCTGTTGATCTTGAAGGGTATCAGTCCCTTGCCGCCAGAGTTGTACATTATCTTCGTTCTGCCCATGGAGATGATTCCTAAAAACAAAGGCCGGATAACGATAAAAAATGTAAATTATGCTATTTCCAGTTGGAAGAGGTCCTCAAATAATCAAAAAGCGAGTACCTTCCAGTAGATTACAACCTGAGCTCAAAGGCCACGCACTTATTGTCTACTTACGTTCACATTTTGGGTCAGCGCACAGTCTCTTGTCCGAGAGAGTCGTTGTCTCAGCGGCCCACGTCGTTGGAAGACAAATGTAGATTGTTAGGCTGAGGAAAATGGCCAAATCTCTTAGCATTGGGTGGAGTTTCACGTTCTCGTTTGTCAGCCGCATTTTGCATTGTGTGTGGGGCGCACTTTAGTATGGAAAATTGATTAAAACTCCTGCTGCACAGCCTTTTTTTTGTGTATAAAAATTTTAAGTTTTAGCTGAGTTGGCTTTTCCAGCTGCTTGCCAGTATGACCGCGGATTTATAGATCAAATATACCGCCTGACTGATATATAATTTTAACTCGATTTCGACATACCAAAGTATGTCGGACAATTGGTATATTTTGAAAATGAGATTTTACATTTTAGTATATTTGTGAGGGTCAGACTGTTGTTTCGCGGAACGGGTAGTTTCGCGGCTCGGACGACCCTTTTTTTAAAACATCAAAGCAAATTAAGTGCAGTGCGAAGTAAGCGAGTTGATACATTAATTGAATAAAAATTATCTGATAATAATTGTACCAGCTATGTTTATGTGTAAAGAGAGCAGTGAAAACTGCGAGGGCAAATATCAACAGTGACCTTGAAAGTTGAAGTTTTGTTTCAATGTGTGTACTCCACCGTAAACAATATAATGCTCGCAGAACGTGTAAATCTGCCGAAATATCCTCCATATTTGGGAGCTCTCCCACTGAAAATCAGTACAAGTTTGTTAAACTCCAATTCGCAGTTTAAGTTTTTGTTGCCCTGGCGATGGAGGTGAACGAAAAAGGTTTCTTCTGACATCATATTTTGTGTTTGTCCAACATACTGTGTGTGTGTGAGAGAGGGAGGGGAACCGCATGCAGTTGTTGTTGTTTGCCCGTAATTGTGTGTAAACATATAGTTCTTATTTTGATACATTTAGCGCATCTGGGTACTGGGATTTAGAGTGTGATTGTTATTTTGAAATAAATTCACACTCTCAGATTATTTAGATTAACATTGAATCCTCCAAATATTCTGTTAAATATTTGGCTATTCTGCTAAATATGTTTTTGGTATGTAGAAAATGTGTATTGGTAATGTCATAAGGTCATAGGTTTACAATCCAATAAAAGTAGTATTTATAATTGATTCTTAAATCGCATTTAATTATTGTTTCAGTGTTAAAAGTCTTTGCAAGCTAGTAATATGAAATATAACATCAAAATCGAGGAATGTGACTCAGGACTACGGTATATCTACGGTATATTTTTAAAATGATACATTTTTGAATGTCTTTATGGTATATTTCATCGATAGTTCCGCGGTCACACTGATCGGGTCGCGGATGCCTAAAATTGGTTTTGCGTTAAATGATGGTTAAAATGTTGAATGTTTGAATGAAATGCAAGCTGTGTTGATAACTGAAATACTCGTGGTATGCAGGGGAAAAAAAAATAAAAATCCATTCCATTTGACTGAATGGACCGAAAGTTGTCCGTAATTGTGTAACAAAGAGAGGGGAGTGATAGAGATATGTACGACGAGTATGTGTATAAAAATGCGCCAAACCCAAAGTTGGCCATTAAATGCCAAAGTGTAGAAAAGCAAATGCAATGAAAACGTGATGTGTGAGAAAGTATACGTATGTAAATGGAAGATATAAACTATATCATATTTTTCAATCGAGAGGTGATAAAACACTATCTATCCATTTAAAATCGCAAACTCCACGAAGTTTCCCACGCAAACAATGACGTAATTTTTGTATATATTCTAAAACTAAATTCAGCCTTTTAATTTGAGTTTTGCATGCAACAGGGCGCGTGTTACACAAACACATAGACACCAAATCTACACTCGCATACACACACAAACAAAAACAAACGCGTGAAAACAAAAAAAAAACGGGAAAAATGCAAGAAGGGGAAATATAAATCGCACTGCTCTCTCTCTCTGCAAAAGCAAAAGCAAACAAATACAATAACAATTAGGTAATTTTTTGTTGGCGGAGACGGAGAGGAGAGCTCTCTCACTCATTCTCTTTTTGTCTCTTTCTATTGTATTCGTTTGCCTCTTGTTTTGAAAAATTACATTGAACAGTGGGACAATAAAGCCCTCAAATAAAGTGTCGCAGTAAATAAGTATGTAAATAAAAAAATAAACAATAAAAACTAATAAATAAATTCAAAGAAAACACATTAAAGTGAATCAATCTTTAAATATCGAAAAATAATGCAAAAGTGTAACCAGTATTCTAGCTAGTAGTTCCACTGTTCGTTTGGCGGTGGAAACTTTTTGAGCGGAAAATTTTTAGTGTTTTTTGTTTTCTGTAAAGTTGACTTCTCTGATTAAGCCCAAGAGTTTGCCGATGTCGAGCAGAATAATATCAATGCCGCGCTGACTTGGCTTCGATCCGAATCGTGCGTTGAATACAGAATTGTGTGTTTATTTTATATTCATATTGCAGTGAGTTTCATATAAGCCAACAAATTGATTAAAAACAAACCCCCGAAAATGTAAAAACTTAAACGACGCAGAGGAGAAGCACTCACACACACACGGAGGACACTAAAGCTGGTGCCATATACACACACACACACACTGTAAATAAATAAAGTGATTTGATGATAGATATTGGAAAAATTACAATTTCGAGCCATACGTGGAACAACAAAATACAACCACAACCTTTTGATTAAACCAACAACACCTACGAATACGAAATTGAAGCAGAAAGAGGCAGAATTCCTTTGCCTCTTAACATAATTCGACGACCACTTGAAACATACCCCGTAATCAATTGTCTATTCAGAAGATGATTACGGGCCATGAAACGGAGCCAACAAATTCAACGCACTTTGCGCCAACAGCAGTCGCCGACGCCGCTGCCGTCGCCGCGACATCTGTGGTGGCCCGTGTAACGGAAACAGCCACAGTGGCGGCAGAGGCAGAGGCAGTTTCCTCGCCGCCTCCCGCCGCACCAGCAGCATCGCCAGAAGCAGCAGCCGAGGGTCATGCTCTGACAGCTCCACCATCGACATCGTTGTTGGGGCTGTCACCTGTGGCCGAGAGAACCGAATTAGCCATAACAGCTGATGTCGCTGCAGCTGCGGCTGCTCAGCAGCAGCCATTGTCATCGGCGGCACCGCGAACGGAGCCCGCATTCGACGTTCAGATGCGTACGCACCAAAGACAAAAGATAAAGAGCTACCACGATGCAAAGCAAACAGCGGTATGGCGCACCGATTCACTGGTCTCCAATCCCAACTCGACCATGTGCCCCGACTCCTCCCTGACACCGGCAGCGGCAGGAGTGGTGGTAGGGCTACCCATGAGAGGTGTAGTCCTGTCTACAGCGCCCAGTATATTGCAGCGCAAGTCGTCGGACAGCTCGTTGGTGAATGCCATACCACGTCGGGTCTCGTTTCCGGACAACGCCTTGGTCACCGGATATCTGGAACCAGCCAATCCATGGAAACAAGGTGAGTGGATAACACAATCGATAAATATAATGGGGAGAAGCTCACACAGTTTCCGGTTATTCTACTTTAATCGATAAATGTCCGTACCCGCTCTGCCCATTTCCAATTCTCTATTATATTTCCTACTTCTACGAGTGAATGCAATTTGTCATTCTACAATCGAGTTGCGAACACGGTAACGGAACCGTGCCCGGGATCTTATCGCTGCTAACGATACAAAGATCAATCGTACAAACACGGAAGCCAAAAGCGAGACACTTTGTTAACACTTCTCATTTATTACACACTTCCTGTGATTTAATTCAATTAAAGCGATTAATTTGATTGCAAATTGAAATGCAATGCAAGAGGAAGACATATCCTACAGCTAATTGAGATACAATCAAGAGCAGCAACAGCAAAAGAAACGTCAGAGATCAGCGTGATAGTATGAATGGTAGGAGGTAGAGGAAAGACTGGTGGATACCCCACCCACCACATGCTTGCCGGGCATGGTTATGGGGCTGCCAGTCGATAAAGTGCGCAAAATATTTATTTGCTTTTGAGTGAGCTGTGAAAGGCTATGGGAATGGGGATGGGGATGGTTATGGCGCTGCAGTCGATAAATGCTTGAACATCTACACATTTACATGCATACGTGTAGATGCCACAACAAACTGTTGCTATGCACAAAGGCGCCATTTGTTGTTTGTTCACGGGCCCCATTCAGGAAGAGAAAAACACAATCATGCACGTGTATGGGTCATGCAAAGAACTGACAGTGATTCCTTGCTGAAAACTGCATTCTTAGAGAGAGAAGGGCCCTTGAGAAATACTCTTGGGAAAAATCAGCAAATATTAATAGTGTTATGATTATTTGCAGATCAACTCTGTCTGGATCCATTTCGATAAAGCTCTTAGAAAATACCTTTTGGATAAGATTATATTGCTCTCCCCTCCCCCTCCCTCCCCTATTGTCGGATTGTAGTTATAGCTTTTCAGTTTCTTTTGATTTTGTTATTTGTTATTTTCACGTCAGCGATAAGGAAAGAAATCGCTGATAAGATTACGGCTCTGTTCGTATTTGTTTTTAGTCGTTTTCTTTTTCGTTCATTTCCAGTTTGCTTTTGCGCACTCTTCACATTATTTTTTTCTTTTATTCTTATTGTATTTGTATATTTGCAATTGTATTTGTGCTTCTGTTAGCCGGCATTGCTTTTGCGCTCTGCTTTTGACTTTGCCATTGCCTTGGACTACGACGGCAATCGTAGGCTCGCTTTGTGCTCGTTTGTGCTGTTGTTCAAACGATTACGGTTGTTATAGTACCCTCGGTACGCGTATAATTGAAGGGTTTATCTGTATTTTATAGAGGTATGTGACAGGCGGGGATGTCTGTGAGAAAGTAGAGACGATTTTAGGTAGCTTTTGTTTTAATAGCACCAAACTCGATTCGCTTGTAATGTATAAAAGTCATCGATTTACCCATATTCACACTGATCAAATAAATATTGCAACTAAAAACAGTTGAGATCAAAGTAATGGGTATCAGTTTGTTTAAATATCGCGAAAAATTTAGTTTTCTGAATGTTTTTGGTTTGTCTCCATGTTTACCTGTATACCTATGTACACACACACATATAAACATGTGTATGTAAATGATATATATTTATGTTTTCTGGTACGATTGTTTGCTTATTTCGATTCTTTTCTTGCTTTTGTGTTTATGGCTTTGTGCGTGTGTGTTTTGTATTTGTTTTTTGCCTTTGGTTTGCTCTTCCTCTGTCCATTCTGTTCGTGTGCCCCACTATGAGTGTGTGATGTCATCGTTTGCCATTTAAACAAAAGCACAAAAGCCCCCCACTCCTCCCCATAGGAGAAGACATTATGACAGACACATAATGAAAGAAAGAAAGAAAATAACTATAAACTGACATTTGTGCAAATACACAAATTCCGTGCATTTCAGTAGTTTGGCGGAGGGAACTTGAGTTATATGAGTGGTCAATCGATACTGTTTCTCGGCTTGGGATAGGGTTGGAAAAAATAACCTTAGTTCGCTGAAATACGCGTACACCCCGCGTGTTCCTCGTCTGAAAAAAACTCTCTTATGTACATAAAAGTTAATAATTATAGGAACACTTGCAGTGCAAAAATGTCACGAGCTCGATTAATGCTTGCTCGCTCGTTTCCGATGTAATTAATTAATGCAATTCCAATTCAAAATCCATAAACAAAGCAAAGCGAAGCAAAGAAAGGGAAATAGAGCCTGATCCGACATAACACACTTACGGATATACAGAACAGAATGGGCATTTTATATATGCATTTATTTGTACATTTTATAACGTATGAGTAAGCTTTTATATATTTTTTGCAAATAAAGCAAATTGATTGCATTTCGAGTTGAAATGTCAGTCGCATCACAATATGAATATTGTTAATGAATATTATTGAGTGCGTGCGTTCTGGCTTGAGGTATGATCGAATTTTATATTGTATTTTATTTTTTATATTTATATTTTATATTTATATTTTTATTATATTTATATTATATTTTATATTTATTTGTCTGGCTATAGGCCTAAAACGCTTATCTTATTGGCCCATAATACCTTGCCTCTCGATGCGACTCCAAGTTTAGGCTTCGATAATGACAAACGAGCGTCGGTCATGGCGTCAGCCAATTTGTCAATTCAAGTCAACAGCAGGCAGCAGCAGAAGCCGCCGCGGTTTGATATCATTAATGAGATAAGGGCAAAGATACGCGATACGTTTTCGGAAACAGGTTGGAAATCCAGAGGAGGAACAACAAATTGAATACTCTGCCCTCAAGCTGTTTGTGGAAACCCTTTGGAGCCAGTGGGAGAGGAACGAAAATCTGCATAAAACTCTTCGACCATTGTTCTTCAGTTATAACCAACATCAGGCCACCCAAGCAATCATTGTGCATTCTAAACACCATTTAAATAAATATTACTCAATCATAGAATCCTCAGGGTGTGTGTGCAGTTTCCACCACTTTTCTTTGCCAAACAAATTAACAGGCTAATGCCACTTTTTTGTGTTCGATTGTCTTTTGGAGTTCCTCTCTCTGGCTCAGGGTTTTATACTCATGTTGGCACTCCAAAATCAACACAAAAAATCATACTGGCGGGCAGAACAAGTTTCCGACATTGTAAATGTTTAGCAGTAAATTAACATCAATTTAATTGAACAATTTTGCTGCTTGTTGTTTGTACGTTTGTTTTTTTGCCTACCTTTGGTTTTTCTCTTACATTTGACTTCTGCTTTGACTTTGCGTGAGAGACGACGTCAGCAAATAGCCATAGAAATGGCAAAAAAATCAATAGAATAATAAAAAATTGAAAAGGCATTTAATAGATGTAATCGTAGACGTAGGACAGCGGCACGCGATGCAACAATGTCTACAGAAAATGACTTATAAGTACTACCCCACTCCTTCTGTTGTACTGCGAATGACGTGGTTTTGCTGCTGCACCAATTTCCCAGAAGCGAAGGTACAACCCATATGATGCCTCAAAGTACTACATAAATACACCCCAACGAAATTTTAACATTATCTGACGGCAATTCTTCATTTCCCTAATGCCAGACAGCAAGCAAACAGGGAAACAGTCGGAATAGTCAGCGATGACAAATAGATTAAATTTAGGAATCTTTTTGCATAAATTTCTCAGGTGGGGATTGCGGCTTGTTTTCTGTTTATATTTTGTGCCATTACCTCAACGAAATCATTATAAATAGATCGCAAATAACAACTTTTAATAATAAATAAATAAATAACAATTTTTAGGCACATTATAGAACAGGTCTTAAAACCAAGGTAGTATAATAAAGGTGAAAAGAACCACTAGGAGAAAGAAGAAAGTATAGATGCCCCTCAGGAATACGTGCGAAGATTGTAAATCATTTTAATTATTGATAGGAAATCTATGCACGTATTTAGAAGACCGGAATTTAAACTCAAAAATAAATAGTTGAATTAATATGAACTATTTTATAATTATTGCCAACCGAAAAAAAGGAGAAACAAGCCAAATAAAATGTCACTCGGTCGTCACATTGTCTGCCCCGATTCGTGTCGGTGTGTGAATTCTTCATAAATCTTTAAATATTCTGAAATATTCGACTCAACGCTAATGAATCACTTAACAGATGTTCAATCCCAAGGCACAATTGGGGTGGAATGGGTGTGTGAGCAGCGGAACTATTATATAGATGAGATAGATTCGAAAAACACTTTTGAGCTCTTGCCAAGAAATTGAAAAGAAAAATCTTTTCTGCACTCACAAAGAGATTTCTTGACAAAATTTCACGTTGTAAGAGTACTTGTATGTGAGTGTGTGTTTGTGTGTATGAGTTGGCAACATCAAACTTTGTGGCAGATCTAAAACGAATCGTATAATTGCCTCTAACACCGATGTGACTAGATAATGCAATGATAGATTAATTTGTTTACGTTTTTCGAACTCGACTGAAATTTGTGTTCGTGTTTGTGTCTGGGTGTTTGGGACTATTTATAAAAAAAAGTGCACTTGGCATTTGGCACAAATCTCTTTTGGGGGTTTCGTGTTCTTATTCTTATTTGTATATTCAAGATCAGTTTCTTGCTAGTTGAGGTTCTCTGAAGAACCAGGAGGAGTCCTGTCTTTTGGAAGATTTTACTTCGGCAGAGGGAATCATTTAAAGCTCCCTAGGCACAGAATCTAGTAAGTCACAACCAACCAAATAATGGTATATTTTACGTTATATTTAAACCTCAACAAAGATCAGATAAAATTATAAAATCAATTATTTTCCATTTGAAAGGCTTGCCCAAAAAGTGCCTCATCAAATTAGAGCCTATCGATCTCTTTATTGTAGTTTCTATATTATATATTTAGTTGCCTCGAAATGATAGACAGACAGTCAGCCCGTCCCACCCAGCAGCAAGAAATGTCCAACGCGAATGAGTTGCAAATTATAAGCTCACGATTTCATGTTAGCCATCCCCATGCCAAGTTTCAGTTCCAGTCCCCAGACCCAGTAAAGGGCAACAAAATCGTTTGGAAATTGCCGCCGCAATTTCATTTAATTTTATTTTTTTGTGTGGACAATTTGTCTATGTCGCCCCGTCGCTATATTTTTGATGCCCGACGGCGGCAAATTGTTGATGACGACTATGACTTGACTGGCTCATAATGGAAGTGGAGGAGTAGTACCCGGGGGGCATAGAATCAAACACACTCGCACGCGCCATAAGTTCTAGTTACGAGTATTTGTCATTATTTGACCATAGAATACGAGTATAATATATCTCGTATGTTTGCCGTCTGAAATGGTGACACTTGATTGGGCGGAACGTAAGAATCGAAAGAGTCCGACCGACGTCTACAAGTTTATTGACTCAACAACAATTTGTATAAAATGTTGTGTGGCATACGGAATCGACACAGATATCATTTTTGCAATTCTTAAGCGCTCTTTGATGTACGTAATAATTAGAGCCAGTCACTTTTTGTTCAACTACGGTGCTTTTTTCGGTTTGCGAGCATCATGCAAAATACATTAATGTTGTTTTTGAATTTTCATAGATTTTCTTTTTGACTTTTCGCTTGTGCGTTCGAGCATAAGTCTCAAAGAAATAGGAGCAGTCTTCCGACTTGATAGTGGTGAATGGTTGCCTACTTTTTTACTTACTGTTTTGAAACTCGAATCTCCAAATGACCCCCCTCTATTAAAATCCAGATCATAGATGCTACAAGTAATTCATCTTTCAGATATTTTGATCTTAGATTTCTACAAAAATCCATTGCATTTTTGCAGCCTGCCTAGTGAGGAGCATTGCCGAGATCGTGGATGAGTATAAACAGTCGTGTGTAAAGCACAGCACAGAGTCGCTACAGAGTATTGTGGATCATCTAAATGGCCTGGACCTGACGCTGCAAACTCGGCAACCGCTGCTCTCCCTCAAAGGAGAGAAACTGACGCCCAACGGTTGCGAGGCCCTCGAGGAGATATTCAAAAGGGTATGAAAAACCCTAGAGATTTCGCTTGCATTCTTATTCATTCCTCGTTCTATTCTTAGATACAATATAAAACCATCGATCTGTCGGAATGCAATCTGGACGAGAGCTGTTTGAGTCCGCTCTTCCAGATGATCGAGTACTATGAGGCGGCATTCGAGTTGGACATTTCGTACAACAAGGCGCCGATGATAAAACGGGGCTGGGAACTGTGCGCGTACATGGTGGAGCGCAGTCAAGAGCTGAAGCTACTTAATGCAGAGAGCAATCAGATCACCCGACTGGGTGCCGAAAGCCTAGGCCGCGCTTTGGAATCGTCCAATCTGCACACGCTCAAGCTGGAGCACTGCGGTCTGAGGGGACCGCCACTCACCGAACTCTGTCGTGGGCTCCACAAGAACAAAATGCTGAAGGAGCTGTGGATGGGCTACAACGATCTGGACTGTACGGATGCCAAGCACATAGCCGATATGTTACGTTACAACCACAGCCTGGAGCTCATCGACATAAGCAACAACAACATTCGAGACGAGGGCTGCAAGTATTTGGTGCAAGATTTGATCCTGCAATCGACTGAACTGGAACGTCGATTGGGCGCTTTGAAGCGTGCGCGAGCCATCGAGGTGGATGAATCGCTGGAGGCGACGGACTACAGTCCATCATTAGTGTCCAAAACGGAGACAAATTTTGCATTCTCTGAGCATGTGAAAGATGTCGTTGACACGGGCAGTGGCGGTGGCTGGGAGTTGGCTGCTGCTGCTGGCGAGCCAACTGGAGCGGTGGAGCAGCCATCAACATCCGCGAGCATCAGCGAATCAGCTGTGGGTATCCTGGTGGAGGTGGAGAATGATAATGAGGATGACAACACCGAGGACGATACTGTGCGTACTGTAAGGAACTGCAGTAGCGGCGGCGGCGGCCAGTCAATGCTGGACAAGCTGCTCTCGATGAATAGCGACAGCAGCAGTAGCATAGAGGAGGCGCCATCCACCGACACACTTGCTGCCTGCTGCTCTGAGGATATAAGCGAGAACAGCAATGACATATTTGAGGCAAGCAGCGGAAAGCAGGCCCAGCAGCAATCGCAACAGTCAGCAGAAGCAAAAGAAATTACTGAAGGAGCAGCAGAAGAAAGCTCGACAGTTGTGGATGCCACAACGATGGTTTCTCCAGATAAGGAGAGCACGGAGGAGAAGCCACAGCAGCAGCAGCAGCAAAGTTCCCAAAATGAACGCAACTTATGTGGTGATTATAGAAATATAATTAAATTTGTAAAAGCACTCTTAAACGTTTTTATTCCATTTTCTGGCAGATATTACTCCCTCAACAGAGGCTAAAACCGTTGAACCGAAACCCAATGAATCCTGTGTACAGAACAACAATATCAACAACAACACTACCCAAGCAGCAGTTGCAGCGCCACAAAATGCTGAAATTACGGTTGCGAGTCCCAGTCAAAGCGGCAGCTCGACGCCGCCAGCAGCTATCTATGAGGTAACCGCCGAGGAGAGCGATTGCTGCATCAATGGCAGCGGCAATGGAGTGGCGGTGAGCGGATCGCGACCACTCGATGTAAATAAAAACGCCAAGAGTGCTGGCGATGACTTCGAGGACACGCATAGCATGGACTCGGCTTTTGAGAGTGCATCAGAGGGTGATATTAGTCGCCACCTGCCTGAGGAGTTTAGCCGGTTGTCCGTGTCGCTGGAGAGCACGCGACTGGACGATATGGTCAAGGAGATGGGCGGCATTGAGACGGCCACTATTGCCACAGAGTCTACAGAGTGTCTGCTGGTGGCAGAGGAGGCTGCGGCGGCGGCGGCGGCGACTGCAAAGGCAAAGGCGACGCCTGTCATCAATGATTCATTCCAGCAGCCGAAGGTGACCATTGCCGAGGAGTGCCGTCCAAATACATATTCTTATACCGGTCCCAGTCCCACGCCTACGCCGCCACCGCCATCGACATCGCCGGGCGGGGCAAGTATCGGAATGCGACGCACCGAATCGAGTTGTGCGTACCTCAATCAGTCCACGCGGAATTGGTCGCACAGCGCGGAGAGTCTGTGCAGCGATACATCGCTGGATGGCAACAACAGCAACAACAGCACCGCCAACGATCCAGATTTCGCGGAGAAGCTCACCAAGAACGATACACTATCCAGGCGACAACTGGCGGAGGCAGCCAACCTTGAGGCAGCCAATAGGTCGCCCAGCGGATTGAAAGCCCTCACCATGTGGAACAATAACCTGACCAAGGATTGTGCTAGCAGCGTGGCAGAGCTGCTGGAGAAGACCATATCGCTGGAGCTGCTCAACATTGGCAAGAACTGCCTGTCCAATGACTTTGTGAGCACCATTAAGGAGAGCCTCACCAAGAACACGACCCTCACGACGCTGGGGCTGCAGAGCGCCCATCTGAGTGCCAAAGGTATCGAGACACTGGCATCCATACTCAGCTTTGGGGGCAACAGCAAGCTCCAGCGCATCGATATACGTGACAATAAACTAGAGGTCGAAAGTCTGAACATAATCGCCGAGGTGCTCAAGTCCAACAAGACCCTCACACAGATCGACATCAATGATGAGCCAAAGCGTCTGACGGTAGGTTTGCTTTTAACACTTTACTGATAGAATCCACTCCCCATTTAACCATAAAAATTCTCATGTGCTCAGCGCGCTCATTCGAAAGTAAAGTAGAATTTGAGTTTGTGGTTATGTGTTATGTTATGTAATTGCAATGGTTTGCTCTCTCATTTTGTAAAGCAAATTTAAATGGGTTAATTTAGACACGAGAAGTTTAGAGATTCAATTGGGGAATTAACTATACATATGTGGAGTACGAAAATAGTGCAGAAATAGCTTTTATAAGGAAGAGATTCCACTATTCTGTATTATTTTGTTTTATGGTTTAAATTTGCTTTACAAATGATTTGCGACAAGGTTCTGTGGGAACGTTAAATGTACATTTAAACGCTGTATCCTTGTAAAAGTACGTAATTGTCTATACATTTGCAAGGATATTTATTGTACGTTTCGGCTAGTCCGAATTTGTAGCATTGTTGATTGCGTTTGTGGATCATTTGTTTTGGAATCATTTTTAATTGAATCATTTTCATTTGTGGACACCGTGTCTTGTCGTTGTCGCCACACTCTCTCTCGTCTCTCTTCTCTCATCAACTCTCTGTTAAAGTTGCCAATAGTGCCGATAGTAAATGTAATACCGCCATCGCCATTGCCCCAGGAGTGCGTAAGTAGAAACCCAAATCAATCTCTCTAGCTGCTGCTGTTCCTCTTCTTTCTGCCACTCGTAGCAGCTTGGCTTGTGCATCAAAAGTTTTTAACAATTCTGCTAATTAACAAAGCCACAATATTCGCTCACATTTGCTGTCTGGTTCCGTACTCCTTTTTCCAGAACTAAAAAACACAAGCTAACGTGTGGCACAATTAGTTCTTAGGATATTTGTTTATATTTTTTAAAGGAAACTCCCACTCATTTTCCACTGTATTCTCTCTCCCTTTCTTGCAGATTGGCAGCGATGCGCATTTGGACTACACACGAGTACTGGGTACAGTGCGTTCCATGTGTTCGCGCAACGAGAAGATGCAGGCCCAGGAGCTGGCGGAGAGAGCGGCGGCGATTGTGGGCGGCGCCGGCATCAATGGCAATGGCAGCAACAGCAGCAGTGGCAGCTTCTATAGCGGCTATCGGTGTCGCGGCGGTTACTACTTGGGCTCGCGGAAGATCTCACTTACCTGCCAAAGCAGGCCGTTTGTGGATGCCACCACAGGCACTGTGACGTCCGTGGCAGCAACCGTCGCCATGCCCACACCGGCCGCCGTCCTACTGGAGGTGAAACGGAAGACGGGTACACGTCTCCGTTCGCCGGGTCCCAGTCCGCCCACGATCTCGCCGTCGTCCTCGCCCAATCGCAGCCGCTTTCATGTGTCCCGTGTGGCAGAGGTCAGCAGCAGCATCAACAACATCAGCAGTCCACTGATCTCGCCGCTCGCTCAGATGCCACCCCAGCATCCGCCTACGCCGCGCACGGCCAGCAGCTGCATGTCCATACCCACCATCGGAGGCTGTTCGCCCAGCGGCAGCCAGAGCAGTCTCAACTCGGTGGGTGTGGGTACTCTGCCCACTTCTAGCTCGCTGCCGGCCATGGCATCGGCTACATCCTCAACGCAGACCATAAAGCGGCTGTCGGTTTCGCCCCGCTCCCGCTTCCATGTGTCGCGCATCTACGAGGATCCCCAGGTCCCAATGGCCAATCGCCAGCTGCCACCTATAACGCCGCATACACCACCCATCGATCTGCCGCCCACACCGATGCTAAAGTCATCCCGGAAGGCGGTGCAGTTATCGGATGCGGTCGAAGCAGCAGCAGCGGCTGCCACTGCGATTAGCAGCACTTTAGTGACCATCAGCAGCGTAGTGATTGTGGAGCCCACCGTGGACGAGCCAGAGGACAGCGACGCACAGCGAAATAGTACAAATGCCGACGAGGCTGCGGGACAGAAACTCTCACCGCATTTCTCCCATAACTCCCCTCCATCATCCAACTCATGCTCAACATCTCCCGGCAGCAGCATAAGCAGTGGCAGCAGCACGAGCTCCAGCAGCAGCACCAACGCTTGTGCCAGCAGGAGCAGTAGCAGTAGCACCTCCACCGACATAACAGACTCTATTAGCTCTGGACCATCATCGGGTTGCTCGGAAACAGTGCCACGGACATGTCCGTTGGCCATGTTTGGCGACAATGATATAACCCTAACCAAGGAATCGGCTGCTGTGGTTGCACTCTCTGTGCCATCAGCTGTAGATCCAGTGCCAGTTCCAGTGCCAGAGGCAGATCCAGAGACAACAACAGAACCAGAGCCAACGCTGGTCAGCAATCCGCAGCCAGCGGCGCGTTGCCGCAAGACCTCGTGGATAGCCAACCCCTCGGCGGTGGATAAGCTTCTCACGCTCTTCAATCCGGGCACGATTTTCCAGCGCAGCTCATCGCCAGAGCCAAAGCCCAGTCAGCAGCAGCAGCAGGCTGCAGTGACCAACAGCGCACCGAACAACGCACAGAGTTAGTCATTTAATTCGTTTATATGCAGACCCAGAAGGATTATTGATACAGGATTTTAATGCATTTTATATTCTTTCTCAGCAGCAGAAGACGATGGCAATACCAAAACCCAAGCAACACAAGTTCTGTCGGTGTCGCGAAAGAATTCGCCTTCATCCTGGACCTCTCTGACCAACTCCAACTCTTACTCCACCTCAAACTCAAATTCCAATTTGGACAGCGTTTCTGGTACAGGCAGTTCCTCATTCCTGGACGCGGCCTCGCGTCAGTTGCGTGACTTCAGCAAGCAGGTCTTTCGGCAGAACATTTCGTTCAACAACAGCAGCGATTGTGCAGCCAGCTCGGTGACAACCGCCGTCCAGTTGGATGGAAACGGAGCAACGGGTACGACGACAACGACGGCCACGACCACTTCGTCATCGAGTAGCACAGAGTCAGCCTCGCCGCCGGAATGCAATGCGGCTCATATGCTACCGCCCAGTCTGAAGCGTCAGCTGAAAGAGAACATTTCCCCAGAGCACACCATCAACGAGGAGACGCTGCACACGCTGCAAAAGCTATCGCGAGTGGATGATGTGCCCACAGACTTGGGTGACATTAAGATTGTGATGTACAGCGAAGTGGCGCATTGCCTGCCAGAGGAGCAGAAGCAGAAGCAGAACTCGGAGGCGGAACAGGAGGCCTCGAGCCTCGCACAACACTAAGAAGAATTGAGGATCGGCTACTTACAAAAATAACATAGGATCTAAGCTAAATAAACGTGTGCAATTGACAATGTTGAGCGGCAGAGAGAAATGGAAAGGAAAGGAAGGAAAATCGACTAAAGAACTAAAGAACCACCCACCACCCAGCATTCCCATGGCGCTCCTTTGAACCGAAACCAGCCCACCCGCCTTGAAAAAATGATGATGATGATGGAAGCATGTGGAACCCACTGTAACTATTAACAGAAACAACAAATATGAAGAAGTATGTACACACAAGTTATTGCTAACTATGTTTTATTTTTGGTTAAATTCGTTTTAAGTTTAAAGAAAAAAGAAAAGAAATAATTATCGACCAGAAAACAAATTACACACAAAAGAGAGAAAATATAAATATATTTTAATTATGAAAACTATATATGATATATGGCATATGAAATGCAAAAAAAGTGAAGTATGAATGTATAAAAAAACAAGCTGAAAACCTGTACACACACATAAACACACCTGTAAACACCCCCAAGCAAAAGCAAAATATCCATTCGCATAGCAAAGTGTCGCCCCGATTGCTGGTTATTGCAAAGTTGCACAGATCTTAACTAGGGAAAAATCAAGTGAAAATTTATTTGAAACCCTAATTGTAGTTATCCCATCAACCAGGAGACAGAGCCACAAAAAAAAAACACACTTACTTAAGTTAATTTTAACAGAAACGAAACAAAACTTAGTTAGGGAAATCCTCCCACCATATATGGAATGCCAGCCCCACAGCCGCTTTCAACTGGAAGTTTGGTTAGGTTGTCAGCCCAAGTATTATGAATTGGAATAACTTTCAACAAACACTTAAATTAGGTACTTAATCCACACACCCCCAATCCTGTAGGCGTTCTTAAGTTCAATGAAATTGTGCAATTAATAATAGTACATTCTTACACACACACACACACATAGAAAAACGAAAACTATAAACAAAAACAAAAAACAAAACAATACAAAACGAAACGATACAAAAACAAGTACCCAAAATAAATCCAATTGATCTCATTATGTGATATTTGTCGTAGTGCCCAAAGCGTTCACTGTAGTACGTGTATCTTACATATAACCAAAACATACGAGTTAAGTACATGGTGGTACGGAAACGGAAACACTTTTTGCTCTAAGTAAACTTACTTAACAAACCCAATACCCAAAACACAAACCAATACCCAAAACTCCTTTGAAACAGATCCCCTGAACAGCAGCAACCATGGTGAAATTACTAACATGGTGACGTTTTTCGCTAAATTATTCACCACGCTCAAAAAGACAAGCGCTGGAAAGAAATAGAGATGGAGAGAGTGCCCTGTGGTGAAGACTTCACCTTGTAGATAATTTCACCATGGCATCAACTATTTGAGGAACTTGAAACTTTTCAGCAATGCCAGCACTCGACTGAGGCGACACAAACCAAAAAAATCTAAACCCTACATATATCCACCACACACCACACACATATATAAAATATATAACGATTCAATGCCCAGATCTTGTAAATACCGCGTGTGTGTGTACTCTATTATAGAATGTGTGAGGGGAAAAAACGCCTCTAGACGGGGAGCTGCACCCAAGAAACTTTGAGTTAATTTTATATAAACAGATATCTATTTTTTATTTGCTCTTTGTTAATGATTTTTGTTTTTGTTTACACACATATTATTGTTTAAAACTATAAATGTAAACTATATAGATATGTATGTATATGTTATATGTATATCTATGCGTTAAGTAGTCAAAAACGAGAAAGTTTTTCATTCAAATATCTAATATTTTTCCAAACATGCACCAAACGTTATCTTCTTCTCCTCCTTAAACATTTGATCATCATTAACGTACTTAATTTACAAAAAAACATTTCTGGTGCTTTCAATGCCTTAATAGCTAATTTCGGCAATCGAAACTTAAAACCATTTAAAATGATTTTCTATACTTTGATTACGGAATTCCTCTGTTCTGTTCCCTATGATTTTGGAATAAATATTGGCAAATTAAACGTATTTTTCATAATCTAAGTTTATAAATTAGTAAAGAAAACAAAACCCCTACTAAACAGATAAATTTACTGAATAAACTTTTGAAAGTTGTAATGAAAATATTTATATTCTTAAGGATTATCTCTGGAGATTCTCTGCCAGTTAAACCTCTACTCAAAAATGTTATGTTAACGTCATGACAACTGTTGATATGGGGGGAAATGTTACACAGATGACAGGTAAAAGAGGAGGCACGAGTGGGTTGGGTAGCGTACAACCTTTCATTCATGAAAATGTCGCGCTGTAAATGTGCTGCTGGGTGTGGGTGGGCTGCTGCCACACAGTGAGGGTGGCTTCTTAACAGAGCTCTGTTTGTGGCAAGTCCTTCGCTGCTGGGCCCGCTTCGCACGCACACAGATGGCAGGCAGGCGGCAGGCCGAGCTTCATTGTGTTGTGGATGGAATATCTGCGTTCAGTTCCACTTCGAACGTCGTTCGGTGCGGATCGCAGCAGTCGTTAAATTCTGTCTTTTGGTACATTTAGTGAAGGAGAAAGTGAAACGATGGCAACTGTGGCACCTAATGCGGATGCATCTGCTGCTGCTCCTGCTCCAGTGGAGTCCAACGTCAAGCCCAAGTGCGCCAATGTGAACAACAACAACAGTGCCCGCTCCAGCCGCTTGGGCAGTGCAGACCAAGATACGGACACGCTGGTGGACCAAAGATTTGGATGGTGCAACTTCCAACCGCAGTGGCTGCAACGCTTCTGCACCGCCAAGTGGGCACTTTTCTGGCTCTGCTGGGGCGGTGCTTTGCAGGGTGAGTAGTCCAACGAAAAATGTTTCTTATTTCTTGTGGAGGCTCGCCACTTAATTCGTTTAAATGGTTTGTCTCGCACGAATTTTCCACCCACGCGCGCATTTTATTCATTCATTTTTGTTGTCACGTACTGAAGGTTACACTTGAAGCACCGAAAAAACCAGATTAAGATATATTTAAGCGTGAAATTTAAATTTATATGAAATAATATTTGTAGGATATTATATCCTCACCTTTTAAATACTTTGTAGCCAAGCAAACATATTTTTATTTGAATTATTACACAAATAAAGGAAAACTTTCCTGGACAAACTTTCAACCTGGAGTCTGTACTGCTGGCCTCTGTACAACGCAAGACAATGCCATGCAAAAGACGGAGAGCACATCCGCATCGCTTCATTAGCATCCTAAGCAAATCCTGAGCCCCGGCTCACAGGTCTGTGTGCAACAGATAAGAATTCGCTTCGCCCCAAAAAGGGTTTGAGGTTGGAGCAGAAACTGGAGCCGGAGCTGGAGCCAGGTAGCAGCTTGAAGTTGCAATGAATAGACGCAAATTAAAAATTAATATCAGCCCGGAGCAGCCAAGGGAGTTGGCTTTTCTAGCCCGAGGATGCATTAACCTCAAAAAATCCACTCACTTTGAATAGTTTGAAAGGCCCCGTTGAAGTGTAAATGGCTCGCCACAAGAAACCGAAGGCGGCCGAGTGGAATAGAAGCTCTCTCGACGTTGTCATAGGCATTATTGGTAGGATGGGCGAACAGAGATTCTACTGAGGCTGGTGGCATAAATCAAAACAATGTTAATCGCTGTTTACCCAACCACCCACAGCCCATCCTCCACTGCACAGAGTCCATGGTATCCATAGCTACGGGTAGCTTTCATCTTCGGGCTCGGCTTCGGGTTCACGCGGTTAATTAAAATTCGCCAATTTACCCAAAACTGTCGACACGTTTATGCCTGTTTCGAGGGATTAGGCTGTGTTCCAGGGATTAGATGAGATGAAATTTGCAAAAGTGCATTCTCCCTGGATGAAGTCAAGTTTTGGCAATACAATTTTTGGTAGCCTGCCAAAAGCATATTTGGAGATGAGCTCGTGAGCGCGTGGCTATAGTTATCGCTTGTGTTCAACAGGAAATTGGCTCAACAGAGTAGAATTGTGGAGGATATTCATATGACTCAAGGAATCAAAAGAACTTTTCCTGAAAGATGTGGGGCTTAGTAATGGTCTGTTGATATTTATTTGTTTTTTTCTACTGCAGAGGTAGCGCTTTCTTTTTGTGCATAACCTAAGAATCTTAGATCTGGTTGAAATTAAGTTACCAATTCTCAAAAGCTGATAAATGAATCTATGTATAAAGTAAAAACACTGGGAAATATTACTTTAAAACTCAGACAAATTCGAAAAAAAACTATATTCTCTGTTCTTTATATTTTGGTGCAAAGGTGCTTAAATTCGGCGTCGTTTAAGGTATTGCTCATTAATTTATATTTATAATTAAGGTAAAAACAAGTATTTTAATTCAAATTTTCTGAAAGTAATTTCAACAATTTTCCTCTTGAAATGTACACCCTTCACTATCGTTTTTGAATATTTAATATGCTGCATCGAAACGTTTTGTACATTTTGAGGTCATCACGTGGTCATCTCTGGTCGAAATTTGTGCCCTGGCCCTGGCCGTATTTATGTCTTGGCCGTGTGCTGTAAGCAAACTGGATACTTGCATGCAGCCTATGCTGCTGCATGGATGAACTGCCGGCATCTGTTGCACATTGCTGCCCACTGACCCACGACGTGAGAATGCTTCCGTTTCCTGCTTTTGGGTGTCACATAGAAGCAGAGTGTACCTCCAGTCCTGGTCCATTCATTGGGCCCCCCGCTGTGTTTGCTGTATACGGATACGGTTTCGTGCGGCACGTGACCGAAAATATTAATCAGTTGACACGGAATTAACATAAATCATCCGCAACAATTTTGGATTGTCGCGTTCGCTTGCCATGCATCAAGTTTAAATGATTTTATTGTTGTTTGCCCCGAGTATCTTTCTATGCAACAAAACAAAACGCATTTCTGGCAATGGGGGAGTGACGCGCATGCATCGGAGTGCTTTGATTCAAACGTTGATCCCACATAAGCAGGCAATGGCAGAGGTTGGGTACGTGAATATTTATGGACATTTTGCTGGAACTATAATAGATTTTACCCATTATAAGGAGGCATTAGGAGAGCTCTCTAAATCCCCCAATTTTCATCAATCTAAGAGGCTCACAAATGTTGCAAATATTATTTTCCGGAGAATTTATTTCTATATTTAATGTGGCTTTAGTCGCATCTTAAAGCTACTAATTAGCAGCCAATATGTAGCCACAAAAGGAGCTATTTTAATCGATGTTCATGCTAAATAGGAGATTGTCACGTAGTCATAGCAGCCGTCGGCACTTCACATCACACACATTCAAAGGTCACACATGCAATTCAGAGTCTCCCTCCTCTAAAGTCTCCTGCCAGAGACGACTCTCCATGCCTTAAGGTCTCTGGAAAATATTAAATAATTGCACTTAGTGGGGGTAAATGACTTGTAAGTGTCTTCGTCCCAGCTCGACACCTTTGACCAGCAGAGGGACCGGCAGCGGCTTTCAGAACTCGAGACGATTATTGGAAAATAAATTGAATTTGTTGTACCACAAAAAAATAATATTCTAAGCAATACAATGGGGAAGTGTGGGTCGAGCAGGGAGGAACTAACAGATATTTATTTATGATAGAAAAATTGTCCAAGCTCAAAATCAAAATCAATTTGTCGTACAGATATTTAATTTATGAACCGCCTCCGCTGCCCAGTAACACCTCCAACATCTAAAGAAAACACACCACTTGCTTCCGCCCTTGTGTACCAGCTCCTGTCGCATCCTGTCGCATCCTGTTGTGTCCTATATTTTGTATGAAAATCTATTAAGCTGGCAGTCATAAAACCAAAGTTGAGGGATGATCCCTGGGGTTGCAAGGGAAGGAAGCGCAGGGGGAAATCGTTTTAATGTACAAAAATACTTTCCTTTTACAGGTTTGATTGTCAACGGATTGATCAATGTCTCAATCTCAACGATTGAGCGGCGTTTTGGACTGCGCTCCCGACAGATGGGCCTCGTGGCCAGTGGCTATGATTTGGCATCGTTCGCCTGCCTGGTGCCGGTTACCTATTATGGTGGAAGGAAAGGTGCCTCCAAGCCGCGCTTCATTGCCATTGGACTGATGGTGATGGGTCTCGGTTCGTTGATCTTCTTGCTGCCCAACTTTTTGGTGGCGTCTCCCTACCGCGCCACCATAGCCGAGGCCAATGTTTGTGAGTTGGAGAGCAGCAGCCACAATGCGAATCCGAATCAGACAAAGGTGCAAATACTTAGCTGCAGCTGCCATGGAGACTAAACCTCTGATATCCTTCCTTTTGCAGCAATTCCCCTGTGATTTAAATGCTGGGAATGGTGAGCGCGAGGAGTACGATAGTTTAACGTGGACCGTGTGGCTGTTCTTTGGTGCTCAATTGCTACATGGAGCTGGTGCTGCACCCCTCTTTACACTGGGCGTCACATATATCGATGAGAATGTCTCAAAGAAGATGTCATCTGTTTACTTGGGTAAGTTTCAAATGACGCAGCGGCAAACGGCAACGGCAACTCCAACTCTCATTGATAAGACGCGCTCGCAAAAACTTTTGTCTGGAATGGCACAACAAATGAAGGACTATGCACAAATACCCACACTCCTCGGGGGGAATTGGCGTATCAAAGTATCCAAAGTATCAGCTAGTTGCTGCTCTCACACATGCATATTTATTTTTATTTTTATTTGCCATATTGGCAAAACGTCGACTACAAAGGGAAGGCAAATAGTATTTACTGTTTGCGCCCCCCAAGCCTCGAGCCCAGCTCCCAGCTCCCAGCAAATCTAGATGCCAATCCTGTGACGCAGGTCTCGTGCCATCCTACCCCTTGTTGACCCAATTTTAAAGAGCAGACAGCCGGCTGCTCGCTGCCTGTCTGATTGTTGCTGACTCAGTTCAGACTTAGACAGCCAACAGCCAACAGCCAGCGGAAATTTATTGCCTCTTAGTTAAGTTTATCGTGGCATCCGCAAAGTCGACTGTGAAATTATCAAAGCCCGTCCAGCCTCGCTACTCTCTGTCTGTCTGGGCTTTGAGACAATTGAAATTCGCTTTGGCTGAGGCGTTTTTGTGCCTTTATTGAGAGTTTATTGGGACGCAGTATAGGAGGAACATACTCGTATGTCTCATACGAGACAGAGACATTTGGTAAGGAATCTACAGCAGGTGCTGTAGAAATAGTTTGCCATTTTATTTCTTAGGAAGATGGCATCAAATGTGGCACTGTCTATGCGGTAGGCACTGTGTCTGCAAGTGTCTTCAATTTACGGAACGTAATGTACACATTTGCCTTGTCGCAGTTGAAGACTTTTGTAATGCAAATGAAGATGCTACGAGCTAAGCTGGAAGCAAGGAAGGGACATCCTAGAACCGCTTCAAATTAAAGTTTAATTAAAGAGTTTCCTCATTGGTCATTTTGACAGGCATCTACTATACAATGGCCACAGTTGGACCTGCCATTGGCTACGTACTCGGCGGACAATTGCTGCTCATCTACACTGACTGGCTGACCGTGGACCCCGTGCAGTAAGTGTGCAACTCTGTTTAAGCTGGATAATGATTGTTATTAATCGGGGGACTTTAGTAGCGTAGCGTAGCAGGTGGAGGCGGTGTTTGTGCTGCTCCCAGGAGAGCTAGAGTGAGGTATATGCTGGGTACTGGCGGGGCTTATTTGTTACTCTGGCAACGGGCAAATGCCACAAAAGCACGTTGTGCCGTGTAAATATCTCTGGAGAGTAATAAAACAACATTTCGTGCTGACAACAAGGAAAATAAGGTGCGAATGAGAATGAGCATTTGTTTGATTCATAAACCCCTGGAGCAGAATGTGTGGGGGGGGAGTGGAGTCCACGGAGTGGATGGAAGCCAAAGCAACAAGCAGCCGAGCAAAAGCCTGGCAAGCATGGCTACAAATGAGTCGACTCTCGCCCGCATGGCTTATTGTCAAGGTGATGCCATAAGTCATAATGTCTCTGCTCCAGCACCCACCCACTCCGGGAGTTACTTTAACAGCAAGCCCTCCAGTCCGTAAATTATGTGGAAAACATGTAAAATTTTGTTTATGATTTTTTGCATGTTTATGCGAGATTTTTTGGCGACCTTTTGTTAGCGGCGTGGCAAAATATAAATTCCCATTTCAGTTAATTTACAAGGGTACAAAATTCTAATCTATTTCCCATCCTTGCAGGTTAAGCCTGACCAGCGACAGCAAAGTGTGGATTGGCGCCTGGTGGTTAGGCTTCATTTTTGCCGCTGGAATGTGTCTGCTCATCGCTATACCCATCTTTGGTTATCCGAAAACACTGCCGGGCGCGGATAAACTACAGCTGGAGAAGGTCTCTGAAGCGCATGCAACCAAAACAGTCGCGGAACAAATTGAATTGGAGGCATCCGAAGGCTCCGAGGGATCGTGTGGCCATCGGCGACTGGGACAACTGCCTCAGGCGGTGCTCAGTCTGTTGAAGAATCCCACATTCTTCTTTCTCAATCTGGCTGGGGCTACAGAGGGTCTGGTCATAGCCGGATTTGCCGCCTTTTTGCCCAAACAAATCGAGAACCAATTCAGCATTTCGCCCATGCTGTCGGCACTGGTCATGGGACTCATTACGGTGCCGGCTGGCGGCGGTGGCACATTTTTGGGCGGCTATCTGGTGAAGAAGTGGAACCTGGCATGCAGTGGCATCATCAAAATGTGCCTCGTGGCCACCACAGTGGCTGCATTCTTCACCTTTTGCTTCCTGGTTTCCTGTCCCAATCCAAAGTTTGCAGGCGTCACGACTTCCTACAATTTGGAGTCCAGAAGTGGACCACCCGAGCTGCTGTCCAACTGCAATGCGAATTGTGGCTGCAGTCACAGCAATTACGATCCCATATGTGGCATCAATGGCGTCATGTACTACAGTCCCTGCCATGCCGGCTGTGGCCAGGAGGAGCATGTGGAGAGCCTCAAACGTTATCACAACTGCAGCTGCATCGAGAGTGTTGGTTGGGTGGACGATGGTGTCGCTGCCGCTCTCCATGCGGATGCCACCAACTTAAAGTGCGATTCCACATGCCACAGTCTGCCGTACTTTGTGGGTTTGTGTTTTGTTCTAATGATCTTTACGTTTCTGGCCACCATGCCAGCACTGTCAGCTACCTTGAGGTAAGCTCTTTATTAAATTATTCCGCAGAAAACTCCATTAATATTTTCCCTTCCTCCATTTAGATGCGTTCAGGATGAGCAGCGCTCCTTTGCTTTGGGCCTGCAGTGGATCAAGGTACGCCTGCTGGGCACCATACCCGCTCCGCTTATTTTCGGTGCACTGATTGACGAGTCCTGCATTTTGTGGCACGAGCCGTGCGACGAGCAGGCAGGTGGAGCCTGTCTTGTCTACGATAATTTCTACATAAGCCGGTAAGCTGGAGTAGGATGATCTTTTACCTATGATCCATAATTTATTCCTTTTCTCCCACAGCTACATGTGGCTCTTGGCTTTGATTTGCAAGCTTGGATCTGTCATCTTCTTTCTGTGCGCCTGGCTGTTCTATGTGCCACCCAGCAAGCAGCCAGTCAGTGCCAATGGCAAGCAAGATATTTGAAGATCTATAAACAGAAATCAAATTACTAAACCCACCCAGACCCTGCTGCTCATATTGGGCACATTACGTATTGTCTGGTGTTTAGCATTTAGCATTTACGAGTAGAAAGCAATCTAAGAAACCATACGAAATAACATACAATTCTCAGTAGTATTTATAGCCAGTAAATATTTATGAATACTCGTCTAAATTGTAAGTTATTTTTAATAATAAAATGCCATTTTATACCCAAAGTAGAGCGAGGAGAGATTAGCGTAGGTTTTACTTCAAGCAGAGTTTGACAAACATCTGATCATAGGCCATAAGACTTTTGGTTAAAACTAAATGGAGAAAATATAATTTAAGCATTATCAATCAGGGAAACAGCAGCTAGGGTTGGACTCACTCCATCTGTTCCCATCAATCATGGGACACACGCCATGCCGTGTCAGCAAATGTGGCTCCCAATCGTTGTGTATGTTGTACCAGAACAAGGCGGAACCTTTCTTCGGTTGAATGGTGAGATTTATTTTGGGAAATATGGTGGCACCACCCAGCGGCACATCAGTCATCTACCGATGGATTGTAATCAAAATACTCAACTCGAAACATTGCGAATACTCACATAAAACAGAAAGGTAACCAAACGATCGCCTTCCTCCACCAGTTCCTAATTTATATCGTTAATAATTATTCTTATTCTTTTCGCAGTTTACCCACCGGATTGGCTTTGATGTCTGAGTAATCTGCATGCTCCGGAAAATGGCTGCCCAGCCCATAGTTCGTTCGGGCCAAATGTGTGTGATCCCCGGCATTCAGACCCGAAATGTCCGCCATGCGATTAACCAAATCTCTGTCCAACTTCTCGCCACTGCCTTCAAATACCTTGACATGGAACAGACGCTCCTTCTCCACCGTCGTGTAGTTATCCGTGTAGCCCTGACTCATGTCCTTGTAGGTGAGATTTGCTGTCAGCGCTGCAATCTCGCTATCATAGATGACATCGTGATATAGCCAGATGAGTGGATCCTGGCTGATCTCCTCCTCCTTGAGTGGAGCCAGGTGCAGGAATGGAGTTGCGGTGTGATTGTAGCGACAAACCAACTTTGGAGGAGGTGGAAATTCGCCACGGCAGCCACGTTCAATGACACTCGCTGCAGGTTTTGGCTTTAGATATACCAAAGGTACAGCCGGATGCTGCTCCAGCTCCTCAAGATAATTATTTATGTGATCGATGGACCCTGGAAGAGGAAACATCAGTTTGAGTATGAAGCAAACAATTGTTTGGATGGGTCCAACCCTCTTGCAGTCTGCTAATGAGAAACCTTTTACGAACTTCCTCTGGATTGGGGCGATAGAACTCTCGTGCAACAGGATTTAATGGCAGCTTAATGTTATACCATGTCAGTCTGTACCACTCAGCAGCTCGTGTGTACTCCGAACGATTGTACATAAAGTCCGCTAGCATGAGGCACTCTGGTGCGTTCATGCGGGTGCTGCATAATCATGGAATACGCTGAATTCAAAATGGCAGGCTAATTCTTACAAATTCTTACTCGAAATGTCGTCCAGCGACTTGTCCATTGACCATATCGTATGCCCGCAAGTCATAGAATCGCTCTATACGCTCCATGCCCATCAGGGCTTCATTCATGTCCACGGCATGGGGCATGAGTGCCACAAGTTCACCCATTTGCTGTACATCTTGCTGCTCTTTGATGTAGTTCAACCACTTGGGCCAGTCTTCGTGTGCACGTCGCAGCAGGCCCAGCGAGTTCAGTGGATTTGCCACGTATTGAACGCGGCTAACCTCACTCTCCATATTCTCAAGTCTCACAGAGTTTATGTATCTAAGTGTCATATAAGTTATTTATTTGTGGAAAAAATCGGGTTGTCTCCACTTACTTTTGTAGAGTGTCCACCTTTACCTGTAGAGATTTTACGTAGCGGCTTAAGTGTTCCATGTAGAAATTTTCCATTTCCCTCAGTTCGCTAAGTGCCCGGTTGGATGTTGTGTATATCAACACCTTTTTATACTCCTCCTCTCCCAAGATCATCACAAAAAGGGCTGCTGACAAGCATATGAATGTATAAACAACCTTTCGGAGCGACATTGCGGACTAGAATAGAATGGATTATAAATCATAATTGAATTTCGTAAGCTAAGAGGAGCGTTTTCCCGGTTCGTTTGTAACGCTGTGGGCCCCTCAATAAGCGTAAGAAATATAATTATTTGCCAGCAGCGCCGCTGGGAAATACATATATCCTTGATAAATGGAGAGCATTACATCGGGGTAGTCTTCCAATCACTGGTAGCTAACATACGAGCATGGAAGCACGATTAAAGGGCGACGAGAAACCAGCAGAAAGCTACTTTATTTATTATAGAAATGTTACAATACCATTTTGTAATCATGGCGTGCATTGCCCATAGGCACCCACTAGCTCTGTCGCCACCTAGAAATCCCATCAAGACATTGTTCAAGTATCAAGGCCAGCGATCGTGTGATAGACATTCGCTGAATTGTGAGCTACAGGGCTTATCTTAAGATTCCATAATATTAGTAGTTTAAGTTCTTATTCGTCAACAAGAGGAACAGAACATAATAAATGATTGAAGTCCGCCCATAGCCGAATGAGTCGTTATCTTATTGTTGAGCTAATCGACCAACAACAAAATGAGAGTCGGCCGGTATCGGTTAAATTCAAAGCTGGGATACCAGGCGCACAGAAATCAGCAAAAGGTGTATTTTCCTTTTCTGCCTCTAAATCGGTTAAACTCAATTCTGTAATACCAGAATCGATTCTATCTGTATCCTTTATCCGGTTCTGCCTCAAATTCCGAATGCTCATGGCAGATATCAGTTACCAAGTTCCTCCCCGCAGCCATGCATTTTTAGCACAATAAGAATAGGTTCTGGCTTTCGTAACTTTTTTAAATCGATTTTTAAATAAATTCCATACTAATAACTCCGCTAATTCTTTTACGAACTTGGAAACTTAAAGCAATTAAATAGTATTCCTTTTATAAGCATTAATAAACGTTTCCTTCTGGCTGCTCCATGCGAGTATATTTATTTTGACGTATTTATTATACTCCTGTACACTGGTAGTTACTCTATCACAATTCGAGCTAACTCTTCAGTTTTGTGCAGTGAGAGAAATATGCATATGCCAGCAAAAGGATTTCCCCCAAGAGTAGAACAACAACTTGGTTATTATCATAATTGTTATCGCTATTGAAAAGCGCTAATTGTGCGCAAATAATAAGCCACACATGCAAACCTGTTGGGAAACTGCTGGAGAGGCAGAAAAGGATGCGAAGAAATGTGAAAGTTTAGCGGAAGTTGGACGGAAAGATGTGCGAACGTTGGAGTATGTGTGGAATTTTGGTTGGGGTTAATTAGAATGGGTATTGAGAAACAATTCGAAAAGGGAGAGTTGCTAGGGGATGTCTTCATTCGCTGGCATTTATGGTGTGTCCTTTACCGGCTGTCCGGTGTCACAGACTCTTACTCGAACTCGTGCTACGAGCAACAGCGACAGCAAATGGTAAATGCTGCGACGAGCGTCACGTGCATATGAAAATATTACGTTGGGCGCTTTATGAATGAAACATTTACAATTGCATACCTTCGTCTTTGCCTTCGCCTTTGCCTTCACCCTCTGCAATGTCCGCTCGACTCTCTGCCACACTGCTTGGGGCACCTTGACTACTCGCCGCAAAACGCCCACTCTCCACACACCCAATCGCCGGCCTGCCCGCAAGACACATGCGCAACGCCATCGCCATCGCCAGCGTCAGGCAGCATTTGAATTTTGAATATGAATTTTGACACTTGATTATCAGCGGCACTCGCAGTTCGCGGCCAGTTCCAACTGTGTGCAGACGTTCGTCCCCGGGCATCTATCGGCAGCCAAAAGCGGAAAACTTTACCGGAAAAAAATAAATTCACATTAGTGCAGCGGAAACTCGGCTTGGGAGGCTAGTGAAAGTGCAAGATAAAGAATAAAGGATAAAAGATAAAAGAAAGGAGTACAACATTTAGGAAAAACTTTTGCACTTTGGTTGGCCCTTTAGCGGATGTCCAAGGACAGGGAATATGAGAAGAGGCTTCGCTGATATCTGGCTACTGCTGCACTGTGTGTGTCTGAGCCTGGCCAGTTTCTCGGAATTAAACAATTGTAAGTTGGCTCTAAGCTGTAGATATCTAAAGGGAAAAATAATTTAAATTAATAACATTAAGCCTGCTTGACAGCAGGCAATGCTTGAATTAAAAGAACAACAAATAAAGTAAATAAATAAATAGCAAATTTGATGCTCTAAATGGTATGACAGTGTATGGATTTTTTCCTGATATCTGTGTAGAAAATATAAATATATTTTTAAAAGATTTCAAATATTTATAATTTTATTTTAAATCATCTAAAAAGTGCGATCATTTAACGTTTAATCCGATCCCTTAATTTCCCACCCACAAACACCAATGAGAACATTGCGGGAACATCAGTTAAACGGCAGCATAAACTTTGGCGCAAAGGTTCAGCTAATTGACTTAATTTAACGTGGAAAATATCCGAAACAAAAATGCTAACGAAAAGGCGCTATAAATACCAGCAGCAGTGGGCGCCAAAATGGTGGGGAAGGGCAGGGCAGACCCCCAGCAATCGGAAGTCCAACGAGTCCATAAGTGAATAAACTGTGGCCAACATATTCCCCAGACAAAAAGGGATAGGGACAGAGAGGAGCAGCGAGAAGGAGCAACTTCCGCTTGGAAAAATGAGCGCCCAAACCCTGCTCAAAAATTCGCACACAACTCAGTAAAAACAAAACAAATTTCCCTTGACTTTGGGAAGCCAAATGCGATAAATATATCAGAAAATTGTTTTTAAATCAATGTGCCAAATGCAAAATAAACAGAAATATTGGCAGGCTAGCCGCAGTGTGCGATAAGAAAGTGAGAAGTGAGTGGTTCGGGCCAGAAGAATGATGTCCCAAAACTCCCAAACCATAATTCCATCAGCTCGATTCCTCCTCCCAGCAGGCCACCAGACAGACAGACAGACAGTCGCGGAAAGGCGACGTTTTTCCACTTCCTATTGCACTCTGCGCTATTTTCTTTCCACTTTTTTTTGTGGCGGTCGTGCTACTGATTTTCTGCTGCTGCTGCCGCTGAAGTGTAAAGGATAGCTGCAGTCCCTCTGTTTTATTTCTTTTTTTTTGGCAGACATTGCGTGCTGATTGTGTGGCGTTCCGTTCCGCCTGCAAACGGCAGACGGTTGAGAGTGTCTAACAGACAGGACATTCACTTTCCGTTTCAAGTTCAACAGTGTGGGGTGTACGACTGCTGCCATGGTGATATAGTGGAGCCTGCAAGACAAAAGCTGGTCTCCAGCTGTGTGCCTGAGGCAACAAAGATCGAAGCGTAAAGCGGGAATAACTGGAGGGATACTATTACAGGGAATATAGGAAAGGAAAGATCGGCCTATGGAAAATATAGAAAAGTGTATCCCTACACAGACTATAAGTGAATTTCCTGCCACAGGAAAACCATTTAGCGGCCACAAAAGTTAAATGCGAAATTGCATTACCCGCTCAGACATAGCAGACGTAGCACTCGCAGACATACATAAAGGTAATACACCTATGGTTAAAAGTCTCGCTTGTCCCTTTCTTTGGAATGTTTCAATATGCAAACATGCAATAACCAAATTGCAATAACAGCAGCAACCACAGGCAGCCAGCCAAACAATGGCTCCTCATACATTCCTAACCGAACAGCCCAACCATGGGCAGTGGTGTGGTGTGTGTCCCGGCATACCGAACCCAAACATAATCGCAAATTATAGGCTATATAGCATGGCATCGTCGTAGGCCTCACCCCACTCTACTCCCCAATTTGATGCTAGTTTGGTGGAAAAAAAAACGCCCACACTCCGCACCGCAATCAGTGTAAAGAGGTGGCGGGGCCTGGGCAAATGTAAATGTAGAGGTTGGGAAGCCTGTGTAGCCAGCTTTTTACAATTTTCCAGGTACTAGCAGCTGCCTCGCCGCTCTATTAGATTTTTGCATTTTTTCGGGTTATTATTTGGTCATAATTGTAATTTAGGTATTTGCTGTGTGTGAGGAGTGCGGAGGCTCCACTCGGGGCGAGCCACAAAATCATGCTACTTGTTAGGCATGTGATGTGATTTCAATTTTTTTACGCTTTTCCTAGGGGTCTGTATGCGGTTCGGTGTCGGGTTGGGTGTCGGTTTGGGTGGGTGCTTACAGGATGGCGGCCAAATGTCGAAGTCTTGTGGTTGGGCAGCTTGGACTGGAAATGATTGCGCGTTGAGTTGAATTCCATTGTGCCCTCCCAACCCTAAGAAATTATCAGTTTGGGCTACGCTAAGGTGTTTGAACTCTTAAAAAGGGAAGCTAGATATAATTGCAGGCTTTAAAAAATCCTCAGCAAATTGTTCTTTAAATTCTACAAATGGATAAAGCTGAAAATACAAATTCTGCTCATCATTTTCCTTCGTAAGGCAATTTTTTCCTCAAAGTCTGGAGTGGGTTCAGTTAATTTAACTAATTGTTGGATTATTTGCTGTTTTGCTTCGCTTAATGTTAACTTTGGTCTAATTTATGGCCGCTGCATAATATTTTAGAAATATCTTTGACCACTTTGGCGGGGCATCTGGCAAACTTTGACAATTTCTCTCCCTTAGGCTGTTGACATTCTGCAGACACAGCCAGAAAAGAAATTAAATAATTATTATTTAAAATTGTGGATTAGGGCGATGGCCAACGATGACAGGCGACTGAACATTTTCCAAAACAAATTATTGTAAATTCAATTATATTTTCTCGCCCGAGTTTCTTCAAATGCGAACAGTGGCAAAGGGCAACATTTAGCATTTGCAAGGCTCATAAAGCAGCCACCCTACTAGCCCACTGCTACCCCTGCCACATGGCACAGTTACGAGTATATCTACCCCATTTAGTACTCTAATAAGCAGAGCCATAAATGTGAACCTTCGTTTCTAGCGGATCCCAAGTTCAGTGGTCCCATCAACAATGTAACCATACCCGTGGGACGCGACGCAATGCTCACTTGTGTGGTCCACGAGCTGGTTAGCTTCAAGGTGGCCTGGCTGCGTGTGGACACACAGACCATACTCAGCATACAGAATCATGTCATCACGAAGAATCATCGCATTGCCATCTCCCACACGGAGCATCGCATCTGGCAGCTAAAGATACGCGATGTCCAGGAATCGGATCGTGGATGGTTTGTACATATTTAACGAGAAACAAACAAGAGTTTAAATATTCGCCCTTGCAGGTACATGTGCCAAATCAATACGGATCCCATGAAAAGCCAAATGGGTTATCTGGATGTTGTGGTGCCGCCCGATATTGTTGATTTTCACACCAGCCAGGATGTGGTGCGTGCCACGGGACAGAATGTGACACTCACTTGCTATGCCACTGGCGTGCCCACACCCACAATTACCTGGCGCCGAGAGGAGTCCACACCGCTCTGGTTGACAGACGAGGGCAATCGAGAGATCTACAGCGTCGAAGGACAAAATCTCACGCTGTGGCAAGTGCAGCGGACACACATGGGTGCATATTTGTGCATCGCCTCCAATGGAGTGCCGCCAACAGTGAGCAAGCGCGTCATGCTGGTGGTTAACTGTAAGTAAATAGATTTGTTTTGTATATAATTATACTATTTTTATGCTTGACAGTTGCGCCCACAATCTGGACACGTTACGATACCATTTATGTGGGGCTGGGCCAGAAAGTCAGCCTGGAATGCATCACCGAATCGCAGCCGGCGTCAGTGAACTTCTGGCTAAAGGACACTGTGCTGCTGCAGGGCGGCACCTACGAGTCCGTCTCTGTGGATCACGCCCATCGGATTGTGATGCGCATCACACTGCGACCGGTGACCAAGCGAGACTTTGGCGAGTACAAATGCATAGCAAAGAATGCGCTGGGCGAAACGGAGCGAAGCATTACTGTCCATCGTAAGTTGTCAAAGATCGTTCAAGATTTATCCTTCATGCCTCTCTCTCTGTTCACAGATAAAGCCAAGAAGCACGGACAGCACTCACATCAAACTTCCTCGCACGAAAGTCAATTCATTGTCATCGAAGGTCTGCCAGTCAGTCTCAGAGTCTCTCGAATATTCTCTCAACTGCACCTTTATATCTTTCAGAGTACTTGGCGAATATGGCTCATCAGTTGTACAGTTTCAGTTCCGTTTGGCTGCTACTTTTATGTTTTATGAATAAAGTGTACAGTTTTTAAACAACAAAAAATTGTCTTTGAGCCACTTTTGAGGCGTGACTCCATCATTTATATTATCTGTATATATCCTAATTCACAATTTCATATTAAGTATTAAATATAATTTCGGTTAAAGAGTACATTGACCGATGCCGGGATAAAGTAATGCAGGTGTGAGACAATCAAGTGGCTAATCAATAAAATACAATTACGAGCGCAGCGTTCCACTGCGGCACAAAGTTCCCTTAACCGAAAGGACACAAGGATAATTTAAAACTTTGAATATAGTTAGGAAATTCTTTATACTATAGAATACAAGTACATGTTTTGAAGGTATTTTGTATTGCTAGAAAGCAAAAGTCAGCAGCTGGAACTGGTTCTGCTCTTTAGGATTGATTAACTTTTGATTTGCGGGCTAAATAAAATTGTTCTATGTCCTCTTGTCGTCGTTTCATACATTTAAAAATTAACTACAATTCGCTTTAGTTATGTATGTACAATTGGGTTTTGGTTACTTAATCAAAGATCAATTGAATATTTAGCTAAGACTCGAATTGCAAACTTTACGCTTAACATAGAGGAAGGAAATTTCCTAAAGGAGAATCGTCATTAATTGTTAACAAGTGTCTGTCAATAAATGAATGGATGGCCTTTCTATCCTTTTTTCTTTGTTTTTTTTTTGTGGCAATAAATTACGTGTGATAATTGTTAGAGCGTGTCGAGGTCCGTGGTTGGGTTTTTGTTTTGGCTTACAAATTAAGAGCGTGTTTTGTTTGTGTAAGGATGTGTTATATGCGCTAGCCTAGAGAACTGGTTTTTGCTTAGAAGTAACGCTTATGCTCAACTTGAGCTGTCGTGACCGTTCGTGGCCAACTTGTGGGGCGGCAGCTCCATTTTGGGCACTACAATTGCCGGCGGTGGTGTGGCGCCCTTGGCCTTGGCCAGTACATCTCTCTGCTCGTAGATCTCGTTTACCAGCTTCTTCACAAACGGATGATTGAACTTGCCCTCCGTTGAGTCGAAGAATTCCTGATGCTTCAGCAGGCAATTGTCGCGCTTCTCGTACTCAAACGCCTGCATCACCATGTCCAAGCGATCCAGATCCTTGACAAATCTGCTCTCAGCGCTCTCTGCATGTTCGTATTCCTAAAGATGGATAAACAAATTAGTATTAAAGATACTTAAGAGTTGTCTGATGGCTGTCTTACCTCGAATAGTTCCATTATGCGCTTGCCGCGTGGCTCGATCAGCTTGCATATATCCTCCATTGCCTTGAATTCCATGGCCCGCTTTTCCTCCTTGGACACGCCACAGAATGGGGTTATATCACCCACTAGACTCTCCGCTAGATCGTGCACCAGCGCCAGTTCCATGCATCGTATCTGATTGAGTCCCTCGCTGCCATCGAGCAGAAAGGTCAGCATGCTCATCCGATACATGTGACCCGAAATCGATTCACAGTCGTTGACATCACGCAGCACCCAGCCAGTGCGTTTGGTGTGCTGTGGAATAAGGGACGACAAGCAGGCACTGGGTTAGTGGAAATGTATGTCTGTATTGTTGCTGGAACTTTGGCATCTTCCCATTGATTCCATGCCTGCTCCCCCCACTAAGCACTCTGCCTAATTAAAAACATTCGATGGCGCGCGCGACGTTGGTGACATCGTCGTTGCACCCATCAAGGCTGATGCCATCGGGCCGTTCAGGCCTTCAACTTAAACCTGCCATCGAGGGCGCTTACACGTTTTCTAGACTGTTGCTATTTGATCAATAAAAAGTTGTATTTATAGCAACCGTTGCTGCTGCGGTATGCGGTAGGTGCCCGAGGCATTGTTGCATGCCCACAGATGCCTTCCTGTTGCCAAAGGTAAATTGAGTGTTCTGTTACAACCAGAGTCTTATATGACCTAAGTTATAGCTCATAGTCCGTGACTTATCTCTGGCCAATTCCGAGCTGTAGCCACGTAATGAAGTGCAATTGTTTATCATTTATCATAGACCCAACAAGCACACGCTCCCCCAACGCCAATCAGAATGAGCTTTGAGGTTGAAACAACATGCATAAAATTATGCACAAAGCAAAGATAAGAATAGAGGTATCACTAATAACAATAACATGTAGGGCGAATGATAAAATGTATTGTGGAATCACACAGAGAATTAATATTGACTTTATCTATCGAGTATCCAGTAATGAAAGTATTCCTTAACAAAAATGCGTCACTGAAATAGGGAACCAGTTGGAAATCAAATCATTCTCACTCGTATTTCTAAGCTAATGGCTTCACTTCACACTGCCTGAACATATAGAGAATTATTCGTTTCAATTTTGTTATGAAAACAAAACAGCGACGAGTCTATCAACTCAGACCATCCCTCTCCTTCAACCCACATTGTGGAGATGCAACCACAAAATTCTCCCAGATAGCGTCTATATTTTGAAGGCCAAGATCAAAGTCACGAGTTGATATGCCTTTCTTTTCTTTAGCGTCTATGTCACGCTCTATATACGCTCTATGTACTATAAGGAACATTTAGAAAATTGCCACTGGGAATATTTAGTTTGTGCCTTTGTCAAATTCTGTACGTCAATGCTGACGTTTCTGAAATATTGTATTGCTCACTGAAATTCAAGATACTATTTCCAAGATATTTCAGCAAAACAAATGCGAATTTCATGGGTGCTCACGTGAGCCAATGTTTTGGATCTTTGCTTTTTCCTTTTTATGTGTTGTTTTCTTTGTTTCGAAGCTTCTCGGGTTCAGAAATTCTTTTCACTTGAATGGCATTTCCACCGATGGACGGCGGGGCAGCTCGCTCAAACTGCAATCGATTCAGTTTTTGGGGGCCTTGTTGTTCGATAAGGAAATGAGTCCCATGTTGTAGGTGTTTCTCTTCTTCATTTTGTTGAAAGTTTCAAATGAGCTCTGATTAGATAAAAGCTAAGCTATCTCTGGCAGAAGGTTCGGTTCGAATGGAACGTGTGCAGCTAGCACTCTTGACTTTTGCGCTGTTTGCTTCGGATTTTGTTGATTTAAAACAGCTGTTCGTTGTCTCTGGTTAGGTCTTTGTTGATAGTTTAGCGTTGAACTTTGCTCGCTGTCTGCATTTGGCTTGCTTGTGTAATATATTTAAGAATTACCAAGCTAATTTCAAGCAGAAATTACAGTGTATCTTACTTAGAATACATAATACACACGATATATTGTAGATATTTATGTAAATATTATGTATATATTTTTTTTTGGCAACCGACTGTACAAATTCATTTCAAGAGGGACACAATAGCGAGGTTGCCTCACAGATTATACAATATTCTCCCAAAACAGAACGAACAAAAGCACGAAAAGAGAGCCGATAGAAAAGAGCATACAAAAAATAAATAAATATACTTTTATCTTTTGATTTGCTTTCGTTTTTGTTTGGCTCTCTGTTTGCAAATGAAATTTGGGGGATTTTGAGTAAATATTTTTATAGAATTTATGGAAAATGTATATGCACCTATGTATATCTACCATAGATATATCTATAGAATCTTTATCCTCTTTATATGACTCAATCTAATGATTCCTATCTTAAGCAAACTGTGCCAATCATATATGATTTGTTTTACGACCCTATATACCCAGAGCTCTCTCTAATCGCTAAGCACAATTGTGTTAGCCAAAGCCTCAAGGTTGATGCCTCACACACACTCTCCGAACACAAAATATAATCTCCTTCATATAAGGCATGGATTTCACGGCCATTGAAGACTTTAAGTGACGAGACGTGTCCGTCATTAAAAAAACAAAACTAATCTGATTGTCACGCGATGTCGGGGGGCTTTAAACGAGTATAGAGTACACATTGCTGACTAAATCGGAATTCGGTCAAATCAAAGCAGCACCCGGGTGCAAGCACTTCCCGCGCACTGCTTGGCGTCAGGAAAAATCGATGGGAACACATGTATGACGCGACAGTACACAAGCACATCACAGCATAGAAGAGGAAAGAAAACGGGTTTATTTCTTTGGCATATTGTACCTTTAGATTTCCGATGAGCTCCATGAACTGCAGAATCTCGGCGAGGCCTGTGCTGAAGCAGGGCTTCTTGCCCGTGCTGGAGGCAGCCTCGTGGCAGGAGGCGCCCAGGCCATTGCTGGGACTGCTGGCGTCCGCTGCTGCTGCTGCCACATCACTTTTGGTGCTGGCATCTGCTGTGATTTGATCTGTTGTATGGGCCTGGGGTAGAGGCTCAGCTGCTAGCGAGGACATGGCGAACTTTGTGGTCGTCTGTTGTTGATTCTGTTGCTGCGATGATTTGGCTCCGTGTCCACTGGGCGGCTGGGTGTGTATGAGGCGCTGTATGTCCTGTCTGCGTTGCTGCAGCAGCTTTCGGGCGAATTCCGTTGACAAGTTTACGTTCACGCTGTGCGCCGACTCCGAATCTGAGTCTCCGTAACAGCAACCGTTGGGGTTCGAATGGGACGAGCGAATGCCGTTGCCGCTGAAGTTTTTGTCGCTCGACACCGTTGTTGCTTGACTAGAGTGCTTTGGTATTGCTGTAGTTGTAGTTGTGGTTGTGGTTGTGGTTATTGCTGTAGTAGTTGCTGCTGCTGACGTCAGGCTGCCGAGATGCCTGAGCAGCCTGTAGAGATCGCTGCCACCACCCACGCAGCAGTTCCCGCTATTTGCGGTCGCTGCTTTGATTATTTGCTGCAGTGAGAACATCTTTCGGAGAGAAAGAGCACCAGAGAGACTTTTTCTTTCGGAAAGAAAGAGCGCAAGAGAACTGCTTGTTTCGGATAGCAAGAGCAGCAGATAGACTGCTTGTTGCTCGCGCGTGATCGTTGGCTACAAAACTGCGGGCCGAGCGTCAGACACGTGATGTGTGTGTGTCGTTGGTTAAGCCTGTGGGTGAAAGAGAGGGACAAAAAATCCATAAGCATTGCTTTTGTATCATGAACTCATACGGTTTGAGGAGTGTTGGGCTAACAGTTTTGTAGCAGGCCAAGCGCTTTTTGTTTTGGTTTTCGTTTGTCAATTTTCTTCTCATTAGCACCAATTAAAATCAATTAGTTGATACTTTAAATATATAAATGACTCGAATGGAAAGTTTAACAGTATTCATGTAAATGAAAATTCAGTTAAAATGGTAAGTCAGCTGATGCAATGCACTACAGTTTCGAAAGCATTAGACTCACACACTGTTTTGATAGCACTGAATCGAATTCTATACGTTAAAAACGAAACAAAATTTACGCATTTTACATTCGAATATTCACTGCCAAAACACACACATTTGCGAATTTGTTGCTTATATTTATGAACTGTACCGTTCAAAGTGCAATTAACGACAAAAACAAACAATTAATACAGCTTTATCAGCTGCCGTCCCACTTCCCAGACAGCCGTATAAACATAAAATGTATGTGAGTATGAAATGTCTATACTTGTGATCACAATAATAGGTACTCGCGCTAGCTCCGTCTTCAGTTTACTGAGGGAACTGTTACAATTTTATGAACAATTGGTTCAAGGGAAAATGTCGATATCCTCCCTCGAAACCATTCGCAATTCCGAGAATGTAAAGGTTCGTTCCAGTCGCCATTCTTTACGTATACTAATCCCCTATGAAAAGGTACTATTATGTTGTCCATCGGTGTGGTGTGTATACATACTACCATTTGTATGTGTATTCGAGAGGATTTTCTAAAGAAAGTATTTCAGAGCCATCTATACTATGACCATACTATGACTCTCTATTCCTTTCACGCAGTCCCTCCTCTGTGGTAGTGGTGTACCTATTATATTGACCCCATCTGTTTGTACTATTTTTACAGTCCGTGTACATAATATATGTATGTATGTATGAACATGTGTAGAGGATGAACTGTTCTGGCTACCTTGACACCACTAGGAAAGAAGTTCCGTTCCGTTTTGAGGGGCAAAAAAATAGGAAGCGCGATACCGACAGGCGACACTTCAAGGTGAGAAGGCACGGGGGTTTGGTTTGGTTCGATTCGGCTGTACTGTAACTGTGTTTGTGTGCTTGTGTCTTGTGGCACGTAAGCAGCGGCACGTTTCTTTTATCCCCTTTCTCTCTGCCTCTGGCCCGTTTTGATGTAAGCGACTAAGAGCGGCACCCGCCAACGAAAGACTAAAGTTTTTAATGCTACAACACAATGCGAGAACCGCGACGTTTGTAATTAGGAATATAAATAACACTATACTAATATACAGACACCGACACCCACACACAAGGGAAGAGGCACAAACAAATAGTTAGAATTACTAACGAAATTTATGCAACAGCTTTGGGTGCATACTGCGGCTGTTTCTATGCACTTTTGAATTCCCTTAATATATGTATAATGTTCTGCTCTGCTCGTAGTTTTATTCACCGTGAGGCGCGTTCCTTCCGATCGACCCACCATTAACACCGACAACCGATGCCCGCCGAGCAACGACAAAGTTGCATTGCTTTGTTATTTAATTGCACAATATAATACTGCACATCTTGATTTTTGGGTTATTTTAATTTTTCTTGAACGCGGGTGTTGGTGGGGTGAGGTTGGCGGGAGTCAGCTGTTTCGGATCACTGTGGCCGTGTTGGGCAAATGCTAAAATACCAAATAGTCGCTATCTGACTAAAACTCGCTGGCATGAAACGGGTACCAGCTGTTTATGCTGAGTACGATCAGACCCGCTGAATTTGATAAAATCGGATAATATAAAGCTAATTCTTACTAGCTAGTACTGATAAATAAAATAGCAAAATCGTGGACAATTGACGGTATATTTACGGTATATTTTGAAAATGAGAAGGTATATTTCGGTATAGTCCGCGGTCACACTGCTGAGCACATGTTTTTGTTTTGTTCCGTAACGTAAATAACATGCAATGTTGGCGCCAATTAGGCATTTATTAAGCAATTATCGTGTTGTCCTGGCAAGTGGCTCGCCTCGTCGCCAGGAGATGGTAAAAATACTGGTGAGCCAAAATAGAAAGTACAGCTAATTGCGATTTGTAACCAAAAATGTTGTGGTCTAGGGTCTCAATGCAGAGCTTTGCCCCTCCACCTTTGAGGAGAACCTGAATATGGCAGACTACAAGGAATTCTCGGAATACATAGAGGACACAGCCTTGGGCAAAGCGGAAGAGGTCTTTACGCGTCTGAGCGCACAGGGGGACAATAAAAATCTCATTGTAATAGCAGCAGACACCATGGTGACGCTGGGTGAGGAGGTCTACGGCAAGCCAAAGAATGCAGAGGATGCCGTGCGCATGCTAAAGAAGTGGGTACATTGACAGTAGAGACCTTTCTACAATCTACAATTTATTTTTCCTTTAGCCTGTCTGGAGCTTGCAATCGCGTGTACAGCGGCGTTGTGCTCAAGCACGCCGGAGGAGTGCGCAAATTCACGGACACGGCGGACGTTTATTTTAGCCAGTTGCTGCCAGAACAGATACAGAGCTATGTGGACTCCGGGGATCCACTGTAAGTCTCATGAATATACATAAGTTTTAAATGTATTAACAACTTTTCTCCATTGCTGCAGGGACAAAGCTGGCGCTTATGGCATTCAGGGACCTGGTGGCGCCATGATAGAACGCATCGATGGTGACTTTTACTGTGTGCTGGGGCTGCCGCTGAATCGTTTCTGCCGTGAGCTGAACAAGCTATTTCTGGAGGATCTCTCAACATAGCCAACACACGTCAGAGGCTACAAAACGTTTCGTTGATTTTAATCTAAACCCTGATAAGAGGCTTCGTCGGCGTTGGTTTGTTTGCCCATGGCGCAAGTCAATTAAATTATAAAAAAAAAACAATAGCAATGAGCGACATAGTCAAATGAAAAGAGAGTATCGGCACAGTGGGCTAGAAGGCCCCTAAAGTTAACTTAATTTATATAATTTATAATACAATTTAATTGTACAAAGATCAAGCCAGCTGAAACCACTGTAGCATGTGGCAGAAGCGCAACGTTCTGGCTTGTTCTAATCATTTAAAGTTCATATAACAACCTGTACTATTTTTAAAGATAAGCGCTGGAAAAATAATTGTAGTTGTGTCGCTCTTCCCTTGCTGGACTGCCTTTAGTAGTCTTCTATCGGGAATCATGGCAACATCCAAGCACTCCAACTACCAATTGTGGGGCGGACGCTTCAGCGAGCAGCCCAGTGAGGCTCTACAGGCACTGAACATCAGTCTGCCGTACGACTCTCGTCTCTATGCGGACGATCTGGATGCCAGCAAAGCCTATGCAGAGGCACTTCAGCGTGCGGGTTACCTGAACACCGCCGAGGCGGACAAGCTGGTGAAGAGTTTGGAGCTGATTCGTTATGATTGGATTGAGCGCACCATCAAGTTCCTGCCCAGCGACGAGGATGTGCACACGGTTAACGAGCGGCTGCTGGTGGAGATCACCGGGGAGCTGGGCCAGCGACTGCATACCGGTCGGAGCCGCAACGACCAGGTGGTCACCGACATGAAGCTCTGGCTGCGCAGGGGCATCCGCGAGACACTCGGTCGTCTGAATGGCGTCATAGAGGCTGCCGTCAAGCAGGCTGAGCTCCATCTCGGTGTCCTCATGCCCGGCTACACGCACATGCAGCGTGCCCAGCCTGTGCAGTTCTCCCACTGGCTGCTCTCCCATGTTTTTGCGCTGCGCGAGGACTGCCTCCGCTTGGCGGAGCTGCGTGTTCGTGCAAATGTTCTGCCCCTGGGCAGTGGTGCTCTGGCCGGCAATCCTCTTGGCATCGATCGTCTATGGCTGGCCGAGCGGTTGGGCTTCTCGGGCGTCACGGCCAACAGTATGCATGCTGTCGGAGATCGTGATTTTGTGGGTGAGTAGCAAGACTCCTTTAGCTTTCGCCAAAGGCATTTCAAAGTCGTTGGATTGAATTGGTTTATTATCAGCAAACGTTCAAGAATTGGTCGATTATTTCAACAGAGAATAATGATAAGGAAACATGAAACATCGGGTGATTTGTGTCCCCTTTACCCCTCCACTCACTCAGCTTTAAAGTCTGCTAAACTCTTTCTAGTGGACTTCATTTACTGCTGTTCTCTGGTCAGCCTTCATCTGTCCCGAATGGCCGAGGATCTGATCATCTACAGCACCAAGGAGTTCGATTTCATACGCCTCCACGATAGCTTCTCCAGCGGCAGCAGTTTGATGCCACAGAAACGTAATCCGGATAGCTTGGAGCTGATACGCGGCATCTCTGGGGTGATTAGCTCCAATCTGACTGGCATTATGATGACCATCAAGGGCACACCGTCCACCTACAACAAGGATCTGCAGTTTGACAAGGAATATTGCTTTCAGTCGTTCGATAAGCTGGCACAGGTACTCGACATAGCTCGGGGTGTTATCCAGACAATGCAAGTGCAGCGGGACACCATGGAGGCGGCACTCAGTCCGGACATGTTGGCCACTGATTGGGTGAGTAGAAAGAAGCCTTTTCTATGGGGTATACAATGCTGATATCGTCTCTATTTTAGGCCTACTATTTGGTGAAAAAGGGCATCCCATTCCGACAGGCTCATCATTTCATTGGTCGCGTTGTAGCGCTGGCAGAGCAACGCGGTGTGGGCATCACTGAGGTGCCGCTGGGTGAACTCCAACAGATTTGTCCCGCCTTCGGTTCGGACATTGCCAGCGTGGCCGACTACGCCTACAATGTGCAGCAGTACGATGTGATTGGTGGCACATCCACGGGCAGCATTGAGGAGCAGCTGCGACTGCTGAAGAACTTTGTCAAGGATTTGCGAAAACAATCCTAGAACACAGGCGCTTTATTGAAGTGAACGTTGCGTTTGGCTTTGGTTTTTTTTGGTTAACAAATGAAAAAAGATTTACATCGACAACGTGGTGCGGGGGATAATTAATTGATTAGATTTAGATATAGTTCGCTCGCTGGGGTTGGGGCTGGGCTCCTAGTTTACGCTGGGACTCTGTGGTGTGTAGGTGTAGGGTTCGTGGCTGCCCTGCTCGCCGTTGCCCAACTGCTGGTAGCCGGCGGCCGCCGAGTTCTGTGGCGGAGCCATCTTGCCGCCAGAGATGAGTACGCCCAGACTCTGCTGGAGCTGCCAGCGTCGTGCCTCGCGGATCGACTTGTTGCGTCGCAGCGTCTTGGCCAGCATGAAGGCGCAGAGCACACCCAGCAGCTGGACAAAGGAAACTGTGGTGGCACCGGTGGCAATCAGCAGGGCACTCTGCGATATGATAAAGTTCATCTTGCGGAAGCAGCCATAGTCGAAGGTGTCCAGGCAGGTCACTTGGCTGGCATCGTTCAGGTCCTCGGCCAGGCTGCCGCAGCAGGAATTCGGCACCACCACATCGTCAGAGTCGAGGGTTTCGTTCCTGTTGGGGCTGTAGTAGTCCTTCCAGTCCTCGGGTTTGTTCACGCCGCAGCATTGCAGCTGTTTGATGAATGATTAGTGTTTGGATCTCGATCTTCAGCAGAGTTTTTACTCACCCCGGATTGCATAAAGTCCACGCCAGACTCAACATAGAGGTCGGATTCGTACTCAGCCAACGACTGGTACATGGTACGCATCAGCATGTCCTTGACCTGGGCCTGCATCACAAAGGCAGCAATGGCCGCGGAAACCTCCAGGATGAACACCAGGAACAAGCAGACACCATACTGTAAAGAGGCGTGGGAATAGTACCATGAATTTAGTGGGTTTAGGCTACACTCACCAAGTTGATAACCATGACACTCTCCTTGACAGCTCCGTAGGCGCCCAATGTGGCAACGGCAATCAGTATGAATCCAATGGCAATCAGCAGAGCCGGCGGCGATGCAAAGTGTCCATCGATGAAAATGCTAAAATCACCGAAGATCGCTTGGATCGTAGTTCCTACCATAATTAGCAGGATGGCCGTCAGCTGGAGTGGAAAGTGTCGTCGTCATGAATTGCATGTCAAAGCTCATTTTATGTGACTTTTGTGCGTGATGTGCTGGAAATGGGGTGCGGTACGGACGGAATGTAACGGCATGTTATACTAGAAACTTCTCATCCATTTCGTGTGTCGTAACAGCTGTTTGAAATGATGGAGTTTCTCCTATTCCGCTTATTCCGCTTCCTCATACTTTTAAGCGTCTACTCAACTGTTTTACGTGTGTAAATAAATTGTTGCTTCGAGCAAATATGCCTGCACTTTTGTAAGAAGCTTTAATGCGTTTTATATTTGATTGTTCTACAAGTTATCTTTCATTTTGCGTTGTACTAAGTATTTCAAAATGAACAGAGTTTTCTGCGGAGGGATGCATCATAAAGATGTTGATATACTCAATTTTGCACTTTTTTCCGAAATTGTTTCTTCCATAAACAAAAATTGTTGGGCACTCCCTGAACACCTGCGCGGCATACTTATTTCCCGTTGGCGTTGAAAAAGCTGAGAGAGCAGAAGACTAACGTACATACATATGCGCATACCTACATATGTGTGTATATAGGTGGATCAGTGCTCGCTCATTCCATACTCTCTTTTTGCTATTCTTCCCATTCGCTTTCCCATTGAAATTCACACTCACTGAAATGCAATGGAATGGAACACTGAAATGAGCGAACGCTAATCCGCTCTTCCACTTACATTTGTGCAGCCCGTTTTCTATTTGTGCTTCACTTTTTGTGTTGGAAAATCGGGAATATGGTAAATAATTATACGGGAAAACTGTCGCTCAGTTATGTACTGAGCTGATGGGCAGGGACTACGAATGAAAATTGTCCAAATCTCTTCAGTAAGTGCATTGTTTCTTGGCAGTCTCTCTCTCCTGGCATATGCCAACACGTGCAAAGTACTTTAACCCTCTCCCGCTCGCTCCACTGTATCAAGAAGTGGTGAAACGCTCGAACGAAAGATCTGCCAATGTTTTTTGTGTCAAAAGGCAAGTTTTTCATTTGTGTTCCAAATTGGTTTGGCTTCTGCTTCAAAATTCCTAGTTAATTTGCAGGCCGGCGGACTGCCAACTGCTTTGGCAACGAACACACAAACACCGGGTGCGATTTACCAAGAGACCAACACAGCTCGATATGGCCACCAAGGGTCACCCTATAAACAGCGGCAGTAAGAACAGCCTGCAGATGATTCCGAGCGGTTCAACCACGAATAAACGCGCCCGGTACGTCAATCCAATCTCGAAGATCCGTTCGCTCATCCACAATCTGGACTCTGAGCTGGGACAGCTATGTGGCCAGTGTTCGGTGCCAAAGCCACCGCAGGTTGGCAGCAACATTAACATCAGCATCCACAACAGACGCCTCGGAGAATTAGGATCAGGAGCCAATGCCCAGCAGAGAATAAGCAGCCACTATTACCAGGAGAGCATCAATAAATTACTGACACAAACGCGTTCCACATCGACCTCTGGCTCTATCACAACAACACGCATGCCACTGGCACCCGATGCACAGAAGCGTCAGATGAGGAACGTGTACCGAAAGCGGGTCACAGATGCTTATCGCAACCGAAAGATATTCACGGTGTACGGGAACTACCATACAGTGCGCAGGGCGCTGCTGAGGCGGGGCTGGCTGGAGAAGCTCCCAGCTTCGCGGTACACCAATCTGCAGAGCATGTCTGAGGATTCGCTGCTGGAGAATGCGCGAAAAGGCAACGACTACGAGTCTGTCATCATATCGAAGATGATCAACAATTTTCCCTCGTTCTTCATTTGGCAAGGCAAGGGTCAGCGCGATCTTTTCTCGGAGGTGCGGCCATTCCGTAATCGGGTGAGGCGCAGCCATTTCATGGACTTTTCCACCAAGGTGGGCCTGGTCGGGTGCGCGGAGCAGGAGAGCTGGTATCGCGAGGACGGTGTCTGCGGCATGAGCTATCCGCGCTTCTACCGCCTGGGCGGCAACAGTGTGGAGGAGCGCATGACATTCATAGAGGACTACCAGCAGACGCAGGCCCGCTCCCTGCTGCACTACATCATGGAGCACAAGCCCGAAGAGCTGATAGACACCGACAACGGAACTATCATGAGCTGCCACCTGGACTTAGCTCTAACCAAGGTCAAGCAAATGGTGAGACAGGCGCAGCATTGCTCCCTCGACGATACTCGGGCCAAGCCACCGACACCAACCGAAGTCGTGGAAACTCACACGTTCATGGTGCAGTCCGCGGAGGTGCTAAAGTCGATGGCCAAGTTCCGTGTCAACGAGACGGTCATGAGGGAGTACATTCGCGTGGCCACCCAATACATCGGGCAGATCGAGGCACTGCGTCCCGACTATCGCTGGGATGGCAGCCGAAATCTCTGGATCCTCAAGCCGGGCTATCAGTCGCGAGGCATTGGCATTGTCATACGGAACAGCCTGGATGAGATTCTCCAATGGACATCGAGCAATCAGAACAGAAAGTACATTGTCCAGAAGTACATAGGTGAGTGAGAGCATTCAAATGCAAAGGGATCCCCAAGGTTTTCCATTGTGTTTCCTTCGTAGAGCGTCCATATCTGGTTCATCGCACAAAGTTTGACATAAGACAGTACATGCTGCTGACAATCGGGGAGTCAAAGGTAACCGTCTGGACATATCGTAATTGCTATCTGCGCTTCAGCTCGCAAGAGTTCACCATGGACGATCTGCGGGAATCGATCCATTTGACCAACAACTCCGTGCAGAAGCGCTACAAGAATAAGCTGAGCCGCGATCCCCGTCTGCCGGCGCACAACATGTGGTCGCTGGATCAGTTCAAGAACCATCTGCGGGAGGTGGGTGCTCCGGAAAATACGTGGGAAAAGATCTACAGTGGCTTTAAGCAGAATCTGGTGGCCGTGGTGATGGCAAGTCTCGATGAGACGGAGCTGGTGAATAACGCATTCGAGCTGTATGGCTGCGACTTCATGCTGGACGAGCACTACAATCCCATCTTGATTGAGGTCAATGCCACGCCGGATCTGTCGCCCTCGACGGAGGTTACTGCCAAGATTTGTCCCGCTGCCATCAAGGACTGCATACGAGTGGTGGTGGATCTGGCCAAGAATCCCTTGGCACCTACGGGACAGTTTGAAAGAGCCTTTGAGATCAACTACAGCAGCAACAAAGCCCCCGATGTCCAGCATCCCCTGGAGATTAACGGCAAGCAGTTGACCATCTTCGAGGATCTCCCCAAGCTCAAGAACCCAAATCATACGCGCATGCTCCACGAAATACTCAGCAATGTGAAGGTTTCTGCGGGTCGCAAGCTGGATAAAACGAAGAAAGCCCCGGCCAAGGCAATTGCTTTTTCCAAGAAGAAGGTAAGTTAAAGGCAAACGTTTTCTGAATTCAATTGCTTTCCCAAAACAGAAAGTGCCGGAGCAGCAACATGCGGGACCCAAAACGATCTTGAGCTCAACAACTCGCGAGAATTTGGCATTACAGTATACGTCATCAAAGGGATTTCCGATGCCGGAGAGAAGAATGGGAGGCTGTTGTACCTTTTCAAAGACGGTATGACAACAAATGTTAAAAATAATTATATTTTAATCATAATTTACACTGGAGGCAGCAGTGCCCGCACTTTAGAAACTCAAAGATATATCGGAACAGGAGCCGGAATCACTGCCTATATAATTAACTAGAAAGTAAAAACCTTTTGGTCCCCTCGATAAGAATAACAAGCAGAACAAATGCAGAGATAGGAATACCCAGAAAAGGTAACATCGTTAGATAATGGTATTTGGTTATCTGATTATCTTATTATTTTTGCAGAAAATCAACACAAGATCACATCCCTAAAGTTAATAGAGAGACGAGCGTTGTTCTTTAATCATTTCTGGTAATCTCAAGAGAATTCTGTTACGTTTTTCTTAGAGTAGATCTTCAGGGGAATATCGTCTGCTGCCTGTGCACATTATAATTTAATCTGGTTTATCTCTGACAATTTATATTTCTCTACTACCATAACTCAAGTGTCAGATAGAATTTACATTAAACGTCAAGCTCTAAGAATTTCCAGCAAATGTCGTAACAGTTTTACTGAATTGAATTTGTATAGAAAATGTACCAAGAAAAGTTCAATAATAAAACCATAATCATATTTTTCCTCCTTCTACAATATGTATTAAATATCTGGAAATTCTCTAAACTCTGTGCCTTATCCGCAGTAAATATGTCTACGAATATTATCTAAAGGGGGTTTTGTTGTTGTTCTACTCTTGGCGATATTTGTTTTAAAATACAAACAGAAGACATGGAAAACGAAACCGAAAAGAGGCGAATTTAGCTTTTTGTACTTGACCCGTTTCTCTCTTTCTCGCAGTGTCGGAACGCACTCTCTTTGTGGCATTTCAAGAGCTCTAGCTCTAGTCACTATTCTCCTGCTATCTGCGACTTACGTAGGCATGAAATGAATCACAAAACAAAACAAAAAACAAGGTATTACACCCACACACAGGGAAAAACCGAAAGCTGATAAGCAGTCAGACTCAATGAGTGATAATATGATAACGATAATGAAGGCAGGAACGCGAAATGGAATGAAATCGAATCAAAATGGCCGACTTTGTGATTCACGTAGGATGCGATTCATTCATGGGAAGCACGAAAAACCGATCCACAGGACTTACCGCAAACATAAAGCTCACAATGATGAGCATATATTTGGCGCACCGCATGCCAGAATTCAGTTGCAAGTCCCGATTTGCCATACTGTTGGTTGTTCGGTGTTGTTTCTTCTGTTATTGTAAACACACTCGCTGTCTCTCTTTGGTCGCTCAACTGCAATTTACAAATACAATTTACAAGAAATGTTAATTACAGGCTGTACCCGATAGATATTATAGTATTTTTGTGTCACTTGATTTTGTGTCACCGAGCGACACGAGCAGCGGTGGAACGTACTTTAACTTTTGCTAGTCACACGTGAACTGAGCGGGGGCCCCTAAGTGGGCAAAACGGTAAAACGGAATCGGCGTGAGTCCAATTTCGATTGGGGGTCGGTCTCGCTCTCCCACACTCTACGTGAAACGTCTGCGGCCTTGTCGCTGTCTCTCTTTCTCTCTCTCTCTCTGAGAGTGCTCTGACGCTCGTTGGGCAGCTTTCCAAGCGGTGCTTATCAGGTCCCCATAATTGTTCACAGTTTTCCAGTTAGATAAGCATTAGCGATAAGATAATGGTTCTTTTGTTTTTCGCTGCTGCCACAGCTTTCATACATATTTCGCAATATTATAAAAAGAGTTCAAATCCAGCAATAGAATGTCTCCAAAACCCTACTAACCAGATGGTTTCCCCCTGGCCGCCATATACCCCCCGCTCCAATTACCGGTAATAGTACCTACTGTTCAAGTTCAGGGCGCACAAGGCCAAGCATCGAGTACACATTATCGATCTGATTTTCATTTTATAAATGAGTCAACCGCTATGTTTTATCGATTTTTTAATCATACAGCACTTCCATATAGGTGTAAATTATTCATAGGCAAACACAAGCGTGGCTCGCATGGTTGTGAATTAGAAAATAAAAATAGTTGCGGCTGCCCAGACACCTCACTTGTATTGATCAATTTGGAACGTATGGTACTGCTTCGTTAAGCAGTGCACTGCTTGCTTAAAACTCCCAAAAATAATTGTCTTTAATTGCCAAAATTTGACCTTTCCATTTCAACACTTTTCCCTGTTTTAAACGTATTTCTTATTGTGATGTTTAATTTAGAGCAGAAATAAAATTAAACAATTTCAATAATTAGGTATAATAATTAGTATTGAACCCCGCATACGTCCGTTCGACTTACAGGTGTGGCAGACTGCAGTTTTCAACTAGATGTGAGCTTATACCACATTCGATTAGATTAGATTCCCAGAATCTGCTCAATATAAATCCATATCGCTAATAGGTGCAAAGCCTATATAAAAGCAATCGAATATTTGTAAGAGCTAAATTTTATTTACCAATTTTCATATGCTATACACATGCAATATATATGTGAATATATATATATTTTAAGCTGATGGAAAAGATCAAACTATTGACTTAAATATAAATTCCCAGTCAAGGGCATCTGATCCGCAACTCTCTGAGTTGAGTTCCCTTTAGATGAAGCCCGTAATGCCGTTACGGATTTTGATCTCACGTGCCACATAGCAGGCAAAGATAACACCAAAGAACTGGGGACAATGGAAGTGAGGATTAGTCGTAGAGGACAGATGTAGCAGAAGTTTGATCAACTCACCTGAAGGACGGCAATGACAACACCAGCTGCTCCCAGGCTGACCGCGTGCGAGGCAATGTAGCTGGAGAATCCGCCCAGGCAACCATAGGTATGACGTTCAGCCTCACTCGTGAAATTGTTAAAGCAGGAGAAGGTGCCGGCAGCTCCCACGGGAATGGTGCAGCATGAGATCGGCAGCGAGCCGTTCTCGAAGGGCGTCTTCCAGTCCATGTAGTTTGTCACACCGCAGCAGTTGAAATCGCGCTGAACATCGTCCCACAGGGCGGTGGTTGGGTTCTGGTTGAACGAATTATAGTCCTTCAGCGAGCTTTCCAGCGATGTCTTTATCAATGAGGCAGCATCATTGCGCAGCACATAGCCACTGATGCCAGCGGACAGCTCCAAAATGAAGATGATGGCCAGCATGATCGAGAAGCTGAGCACAAGGCAGTAGTTCTCCTTGAGAGCGCCCCAGCAGCCAAAGAAAGTGATCACAATGATGAAGGCACCGATCACAATGAGGAATGTTGGAATCGAGAAGAACTTGGCGGCCAAAAAGAGTTCATAGCCAGTGTAAACGGCACCAACTCCAGCACCAACAGCTATAAGGATAATACCCGTGATCTGCAAAAGGAATAGGAAATCATTTTAAGTCTGTTTTGACAGGTTTCCTTATAGTGCGAGATAAGATAGATAGTTGGGAATGCCATTGATTTTCTTATCGATGGGCTTAATATTTCGCTACCTTTACAGGAGAATAAAGAATATAAATGATATCATTTGTATCTATTTTTGTTGCGATTATCTAGATATTGATTGTATCTGTCTATTGATTATAACTGAAGGGTATTTATATTTTCTTTATATTTTTGTATTATTTATGAACGGATATACACATCCCATTCGTACGTTATTCCCCTCTCTGTTATGTACACAGGAGACAGAATCACTTGGCTATCTAATCTATAACACCATCCTATGGCTGGAGCTAGCTATGACTCATGCAAGCCCATAAATAATTCGTTTACTTACCAAAAAGATAAAATTAAATCCGAATAGAGTGTACTTCACAGCATTTGCGCTGCCCGTTAGTATAGACATGATGAAGCTTTTGTTTTAGATTCTGTAAAAATAAAAATATAATTATTAAAATTAGAACAAAGGGAATGGAGATTAACTAACTGCTTGGGCGGATAGAAAGTTAAACACAACACAACCGAAGCGAATTGATTTGAAAAGTTTAATGAAATGCGCTGCAGGTGAACCAAAGACACCACGGCACAGTTTACTGGCTCGTTTCTAATCAAAACCCATATACGAGTGTGTACATATAAACATTTTTTTTTCTAGTCTTATCGGTAAATGATATGGTAAAATGCTTTTGTTTGAAGCCAGATGTGGTCAAAGCCCCTGCGGCAGTAGTTATTGTTGTTGGTGCTGCTGAGGCCCGCCATTTCAGACAAGATAAATGAAAATTTTGGTAACGCGATTAGATAAGAGCGCGCACAAAAAAAAATTGGGCAATTTATTTTATACCAAAATTCAAGTAAATATTTTGAAATTGATGAATTTAAGGGTCTTCCTTGGAAAAAATAGATATGATTACTTTAAAGGAGCGTTCGCTATGGCAATGACACTGTTATTTATATTTTATTATATGTATTTACTACCGCCCCTTTTTAATTTATTATTTGCAAAATAGTTATCAACCTTTCAACTATAAACGACGCTCCCGAAATTAGTCTTTTTGTATCCAGCTTAATGAACTGTGGTTTAGATATTATGTAATTCAATTGATAGGATTATGCCCCACTCTATGATTATGTTTTGATTTAAAGTTAATAGCTTAAAGTCTTCTGTGTTATCTGCTACACATGGCAGCCTGCAATAGATATTGAAAGTTTGTCACAAACACTAAGTATAATTGGGTACAGACCCCACAACATTGACCCTCTTTGCAAAACAAATACGAATGTGACTCAGTTTGAAACTTTCTTCTTTAACTTTAGCACAAATCCAAAAAATCTTATCACCATTGCAATTCAATAAACAAAGCAATTTTTGATAATCAATCAGCAATTAGATAGGAAAGCTAACTAGTTGTGGGCTCATCGTCTTATCAGATCGATGACTCATTCGTGTGTCATAACACCTGCGGGGCTAGAACCGTTTCGCACTTGAATTTTTGTGTTTAGCAAGACACTGCCAACACGATACATAATTATTGTAAGATATATTTTTTAACTGAACAGTTTTTCCTTATCGATGCCCTCGTTGATAGCGAATGCAGTTGCCACTTGAGTTGGTTTTTCTGCTTCGCTTTACTCACAGCACAGCAGGTTGAGTGGACAATTCTTATTTGACGTGACGACGGTTGGACAACAACTGAGCGCTGTCTACCATTGACGTTCGCCGGTGCTCACATTATAGGATTATCAATGTGAATACACATACATGTATGTATGTACGTACTCATCGTAGTTTTTTCCCCTCTATATACTATATATGTTTGCAAGACCGTCGAGGTGTGGGTGACTTTAGTGATAAAAAATAACATGTGGAATACTTGGTTGAAAAGCTGCGAAAAAGCTTTTTCCGCAGTTAGCACGCTTCGGCCCTTGGTGTGTGTGTGTGTGTGTGTGTGAGCGGAATGGGCAGTGTCGGAGGCAATGGCATCATTGGCCCTGGCCGAGGTGCAAGCAATGTCAATGTGGTTCCTGATCACTAATCGCTTCTCCTTTGATACTTACAGTTGATAACGGAGGAGATGGTGGTGTAGAAGCTGGGAGGCACATGCAACGATTACGATTTCGTCAAGCTGTTGTTCTCTGTTCGGAACCCGCCGATAAGGATAACTACTTCAGCAGCTCCACAGCATTCCTGATAGTACAGGCAGCTGCATTAGCTCTAGTCACATGTTTGGTTGCATGCAATAATGCCAAAGCAACTTAATGGGCATACAAATTCAATTTTTACTGATAGCAAAGAAAGTATAGTTTAAAATATCCTTAAATGTCGTAGCTATAACAATTTTAACAAATATTAAAGGAAATTTCTATAAGCACTTTTGAAACTTACAAACTCGGTTTGAACCGATTACCAGGCGAACAGCACTTCAAATGAAGTTGTTTCACTCTATCAAAAGCTGTCTGCTATAAACTAAAACAAGTAGGAATTGCATCGCAAAAACGGCCCAAAACCAGATTGGTTTTTGTTGCCACTTTAACGTTGTTTTAGCACAGAAGCTCTAATCGGGAGAGTGTCTCGTATCGTTGAAGTCCATTAAGGACTTCAATAACTGTGAGGATATTCCTTTTTAACTCTATTTTGTAGACCTGCTTATAGTGAGTATCTTGAAGTTATGCATACCCCAAAAGAGTGCCACGCATTTTTTACTTGTAAAAAATCGGACAAAGTCTGGAGAGTATTTTCCCAAATTGGTAGTAAAATCAAAACACAAAGCTCAATTATTGTGCAATATATTCAGTTTATGCATGAGTATAATCGAAATATATTTGATGTATTTATTTTAATTCACTTCCACTTGTCGTACACTAAATGCTACCGAAGAATATATATGAGTATCATTTGTTATTTTTAAGTGTTTAGTTTTTAGTTCATTTGGGGAAATTGCTGGCATAATTTTAATACTTGAATTTCGAGTGCAATGCCAAAAGCGCGTTCGAGTATGTGGGGTGGAAGAATGTGGTGGAAATGCGAACAGGAACTGTAACTGGAGCTGGAACATTTTCAAAGTCACATTTTGTCCAATCGAATATGTATGCGTATTAATCAATCAGTTAGTGGGGCGTTCTCATATCGTATTTTTATCAACCGCTTGTAATTTGTTTGAAATTTTGTTCACAATGCCAGAAAATTTCAAAAATTACCAAAAAAACAAATAAAGTCTCATCGAATTTGGGGTTGTCGTTGAAGGGGTTAGTACTCTCGTAAGTATTACATACTTATTGTATGTGTGTGTGATTTAAATTAATTAATTATTTATGTTTTTAGTTGGTCGTTTGCTTCGTTGTAGTTCCCCACATTATTTTCTATCCTTGCCATGGCGATCCCGCTGATGTCTGGAGGCCGCAATGGTCGTCGTTGTCAGGCTGTGCACATGATGGGGCTGTTCCCGATGGCCATGCCCAGTTGATCCATGCTGCTTGCTGCTGCTATGCTGATGATTGTGGTGTCCATTCAGTGTGCTTTTACCGTGTCTAAAGGGAGCATACACAATAAATTGATTAGTTTTGTAATGATTATTTGAGATCAAATGTATATGATTGTATTTTTAATAGTTTTTCTACTGTTCTTAGGCGATAGTACGAGTATTTCCAAAATGCTACTTCAACTACGGAGTTTCAAGGATGCTAAAGAAAAAATAGAACAGAGCTAGACTTGATGTGGTTTTTGGTGTTGTTTCAATTTTTTGATAGATCTAATTTCATTGTTTTGATGATATCGTTTTGGGGTTTCTTTTCTTGTTTCCAGCAACATGTTCATAGTCAGTGTTTAGAGTCGAATACTAGTGATACGATAGAGTGGGTGGGACGAGTGCATGAGTGGGGACAGTCAGATAGAGAGTTAGGATTGAATATTAATAGAGTTTTTTTAATGGTACACAAACATGCAATTCCAACCAGTCGAAGGTTAAACAAATTACCAATTAAGTACGAAACAAGAGACGGTTATTCGAATTAAATGTTAGCAGAATTTGAGTATACTTGTAGGGAAGTTTAATACTACTGATTCCAACCATGCCATGCATTACAATACTTTAGTTCCTGCTTCAATACAATACGCCTTAGGTGCAACCCAACATGACACTACTTGGGGTGTTAGAAAAGAGAACAAAATTTGGACAAAAATAAAAACGCTTACGCTGTGAAAAGTAAAAACAGAACCAGATGGAACAACGAATCCAACAAATGGATTCATTCTCCCTGCCCCTTATTGTGCGTGTGTGCTTTGGCCGGGTTGGGTTTTTGTTTGATTTGTGTGCGCTCCAAAAAAACAATATTCAACAATTAACAACGAAAAATCTCTCTCACGGATCAGTAGTGGTTTTGCTTGGTTTTTGTTTAAGTATTAGTAGGGGGAACACAGTGGGTGGGAGTGGTTGGGATTAGGCATACGGAATATGTGGGGGGAATATTGAAACATTTATCAAACATTTTTCGTGCATTGGGATTATTTGTAAATGTAACTTGTGCGTGACGAGATCCTTGCATCCGATACAATATTTTTTGTTTGTTTTGCTTATTTTTGGTTTCATTTCTCTACGAGTGTGTGCTGTGCAGAGTTGAGCTGTGCTGTGTGCGCCTCCAGCGCTGACTATGAACATGTGCAGATGCCGAAAGGCTGGTGCGTGGAGACACTGCTGCGCACCTGCCGCATCCTCAGACGCTTTGGCCAGCCGCCCAACCGACCCGCACCCGCACCCGCACCCGGACCACGACCAGCAGCCGCACCCCCAGCTGTGCCGCCAAAGAGCTGAGCATGATCATTGCTGAGATTATTCTGATATGGACGAAGTTTTTCCAGCTTTTGGCTGGCACTGGCACTGCCACTGGCACCACCTGCTGCCGTGTACAGCAAATAATTGTCATAGACATGGCTAACACTCGAATTCCGCTTGGCCGCCAGATACGGCAGAAAGGCGAAACTCGAGCTGGTCGACTGGGTGGCCTTCAGCGAGGGCTTCCTCATGTCAGGTCGCCGCGCCATGCTGCGACACCTGAGCGTCGACTGATTCGAGTAGCTGGGCGGAATCATCTCCAGCTTGGTGCGGTACTCATACGAGGCGGTGGGCTGCACGGGCACGGGTATGAGGGATCTCTTGCGCTTGCGACGCGGCGGTGGCAGTGGTACCATCGGACTTGGATTCGATATCTCCTCAATGCTGGCATAATCTGCATCTGCATCGATGGCCTTAGCTTCTGCTTCCGCTGCCACTTCCTCCCCGGCTTTTGTAGGTGCTAAATTCGTTACGTATACGTACGTCAGTTCGTTGTGGGTGAATGGTGGTATAGCTGTCGTGTTGTTGCTGTTGCTGGTGTTTGTTGTGGTTGGTTTATGCGTTGTGGATTTCGATGTTTTTGCTGTGGCTGTTGTGGACCTTTTGTGTGTGGTCACCGCTGCCGCTTCGTGACTGCTGCGACTCGATCTCGTCTTACTTGTTCTGCTGCTCTCCCGCGTTCCAGCCGCCGACTGTGCTGCTGCCTGCTCGCTGCTGTGCCTAGAGCGACTGGAGTGACCTGCAGGAGGGTTACGAAAGAGATTAGCTTTAGCTTTACTTGCATGGAAATAATAAACGACTGTTAACTGGTTTAGATAAAATTGTGTCACGGGAAAGGGAAGATTTTATAGGACTTTCCAAGTGCCACTCAATTTTCTCTATGGTGCCTGCTCTTAATACGTTTTATTTACGTTTAATTACTAACTAAAACAAATACTGTTAACAGTTTTAGAATCAACTTTGGGTGTGTGCTGTGAGTAAGTATTTGTAGGAAAGGAAATTTCATTTATCAATTTAATTTTCAGATATATTGTTGTTCCATAAGCGAAAGGATTGGCATTCATAATTGGAACTGTGTTATTATTTATATTCTCCTCGTCTGTGGTTTGTGTTTATAAAGATAATATGTGTGTTGTGTGTGCTGTTTAGTTTTGTTTAACTAATCTCAACTGATCTGATCTATCGAACCTAAAACGTTTGCTCATCCTCTGGGGCTGTGTGGCACCCATAATGAGCAAGCCCAAAACGAGTAATTCTGCAAGAGATAAGCAATTGATCTTTTGTTCTTTCCAGTCGATCCTTTGTGGTAGAGTTTGTTTTCTATACCCTAAGATCACTTACCCCGCGAACGCGTCAGCTCCTCGCGATGCTTCTCACTGCCTCGGGAGCGTTCCCGTTCACGTAGCGCATTCTGACGTGGACGACTCTCATCGCTGACACGAGAGGATCGCAGCAGACGACTGCCCGAGCTGTGTTTGCTCTCGCTGGAGACGTGTTCCACATCTCGGTGACGACTGTGATGGGAGCTACGCTTCGACTCAAGCGAAGAAGTGGCAGCAGCCCCTGCAGCATGGGTTGTGCTCGATCTGGGCTTGCTGGTGTGCCGACTGGTGCGCTGCTCGATCGGTTCGTGTCGCGACTTTTCGCGTTTTGGGGTGCGCATGCGCAGACGCTCGGCCCGATGTTTGCTGGCCTGGTCGTCCGAGGAGCCGGCGCCTTGGGTGTTCGACTCGCGGGAGCTGGAGCGGGAGCGGTCACGGGGACAGCACTCGATGGACGATTGGGAGGAGCTGCGTGCCCGTGTGGGTGTTGGGGAGGGCGTGGACTGTCGCGAATTGCGACGAGCCTCCGAGGCGAAGGTGCCTCGAGCCACACTCAGCGATTGACGCTCCCCGTTGTAGACCTTCTCGTCGATGGTTTCCAGGGGCTTGCCACTGCGGCGCTGCAGTGAGCACGATCTTCGTCGCTGATCCTTGATGGCTGCCTCATCGGAGAGTGCCTGCAAAAGCATTCGAATTTAGGGCTAAATATACTGGCAAATCCTCAGCACATACCTTCAAAGTTTGATCAGCGTTGCGGGTCATTTCGCTCAGTATCTGTGCATCCCTTTGCAGGTCTGTCTTCCGCTCGTAGCTGCCGGGGGACCGCGAACGCGATGAAGGTGAATGCGAATGCGTTGGCGACTTCACACGGAATGTTGTTGTCAACTCGTTGGCAATGTTCTCATAGCAATGCTCCTCATTATCAGCATCATCCTCGTCGTCGTCGTAGTCGTTGTCCTGCGGACTGTGCCGCAGCAGGTCGGGTCGATCGTTCAGCAGCTGCCACTTGGTGGTTGTCGTTGTGGGTGCCACAGCCTCCTCCGTGTGGCTCAATTTACTGCGCGAAGGCAGCGTTCTTCTGGGATTCGTTGAGGTCGTAGACAATTTCGTTAGCAGCTGCTGTTGCTGCTGCTGTTGCTGGACTCCAAAGTAGGAGAGTTCGTGTTCGCGCAGCTTGCGGGCACCGCGCGCCTCCTTGACTATTTTCAGGGACTCGCTGCCGGAATCGTCAGGCGCCTCCACAGACGTTGGCTGAATGAAGAGGGTACGCGGCTTGGCCACTGGAATGAGCTGGCCAATGCGCAGAGTTGGTGGCGTGGCCTTGGGCTTCTCCACACGCGGAGAATGCAGAGCAATGTTCATGACATTCGATTTGGGTAGATCTGAGAAGAAAAGGGAGCGAGAGAAAGTGATGATTAGACGAGATAGCAAAAGGTTTCTGCCCGGAAATCACTCTTGTTGCCTGATAACCTAAAATGAACTCCACTAACCCGCTAAGCCCTCCCTCCCCCCCCTCGCAATGGATCAACCTGGATGGGTTTACCTGCTCGCTGCAGCATCTGATCTTGTGCCTCAATCTTCCATATGGTGCGCTTGGCCTTCAAGCGGCTCCAGCTGCTCGAGTACTCGCTGCCCTTGAACACATCCGCCTGCGGCAGCGGCAGCGGCTGATGATTATGATGCACTGTCTCCGGCGAGGAGCTGGCCTGTGTGCCGCCGCCGCTGTCGCTGTTGTTGTTGTCGCGAAAGTAACGCTTCACCTCCTCATCGGCACTGTCCTCCTCCGCATCCTGCTCAGCGGCGTCGTACAACCGCCGCAGCTGTGTCAATTGCTGGCTCACGGGTATCTGTGTATTGCCAAGCAGCTTGAGACGTGGCGGGGCCAGCGGAGTCCGTGGCAATGAATCGTACAGGGCACTGCCAAACAAATCGCTGCTCGTTATGGAGGTGGTTGAGGTGCGACGCGAGGATGATGTCTCCTCCTGGTAGCTGTGGGAGCGCAGCATTGGCGTGGGCACCACAATGGTGGGCTGAATCAGAGCGGACTCGATCGAGGCTATGCTCAGGCGACGCATGGCCTCATCGAATTCGTTGGCCGAGCGCATGGTCTTCATGATGAGCGACGTGGACTTGAGGCCCTCATCCAGGATGCGCTGATGATTGCGCAGATCCTCCAGCAACAGCTCCTGGGCACTGGCACGACGATTATAATGATGTGTGCCTGTATGGGAAATGTGCGGAAAGTGTTTTTGTTGGTGTGGTTTTGGTATTTTGGTATTTGGTTTTTAGTTGAGAGACACGCTTGCCAGAGGTTGCAGATGTTGGTTATTCAGTTAGCAAAGTGAGTTTAAATGTAGCATTAGATGTAGGAGTATAGGAAGCAGCGTTGAGAGTGGATCAGACACACACATGCATTACGAGGGAGAGATCAGATATCAAAGATCAAAGAGCAGGAGAGCAGTAGAGTTCGAGTAGAGGAGTCCATTTGCTAATTAACCCATAAATAAACTACAGATAATAACCACAAAATGCTAGATTTTTTGCTAGCCAAAACTACTAAACAATAATCTACAGGCACAACCCAAGGTACAACCCGTATACCAACCTGTTTCTGGCCACTCTTCTGCACCGAGGCTCACATTGATCTTCGTCGAATAGCCGTTGCCTGCGGGCGAGGTTTGCTTCTGGACTTGTTGTCGCTGTTCCACAATTCGTATGCGTTCGGCCACCGATTTGGCGGAGATGGGAGAGTCACTAGTGATGCCTGTGTGGGGGGTACAAATATTTATACACATACTCTTAAGATATTGAAAGATTTCTTACCACTATCCCTGCCTGAGGGACTCTCACGTTCTCCCTTCATTGCCGGCACACTCCACAGGACATCGGCACTCTCGATATTCTCACCCAGATGATAGGGTTTCGGCTTCACTGGCTTGTTCTTCAGTATACCCCGAATGTTGGACAGCTCATCCGTTTCGTTGTCTGTCGTATCCACGCCACTGGTCGAGGTGTAACTGTTCCGCGACGTTGACTCCGTCAGACTGTAGCGTGGCTCCAGCGTGACTGTCACCTGGCTCAATGTCTGGGCTGCTGCTGCTGCTGCTGTCGATGTCGATGTGGCTGTTAATGTGGATGTGGGCTGACTAACCACCTCCGGGGGATCCATGAGTGTGGCTCGATATGCCACTGTGCTGGTGGCTATCGTCTTACGTCGCTGTGGATCATCCCCAAAGTGGGTCACATTGTCGTTGCTGCCGCTCGTGGTGGTGCTGCCGCCACCAACACTGGCCGACTTCACCAGACTCTGAAGCGGTCCGCTGGCAGTGCTGCGTCGTCTGCGGCGAAAGTTGTTCGTGGGCGGCGGCTTGCCATCTGTCTCGACAATGTTCACCCGTCCCGATTCGGCGGCAAAGTGTACCTCTGTCTTGCAGAACTCCACACGCTTCTGGGCGCTGTTCCGATGCAGTTGACTGCTGGTATTTGTGGTGCTGCTGCTGCTGCTGCTAGTCACCGCCCCTCCATTCACATGCACCTGCGATGTCTTGCGTATGTCGCGCCAAGTCTCCTCCACGGCAATGGAGTGCCGTTTGCTCAGCTCCCCCTCGTTGACCGGACTTGCTGGAGGTTTGGCCACACGTCCAAAGTGTATAATGGTGCCTCCACCATTATTCAGTTGAACTGCTGCTGCTGCTGCAGCGGTCCGCTCCCGTTCTCTCTCTGTGGGCGACCAATTGCCTAGCTGCTCGCCGGAGCGTCCCAGGCCACTGTCCGTGGAGGCATCCACCCGGAAGATGCTCTTATCCTCGGGTGGCGACATCTTCTCAAAGCCGTAGGACTTACGCCGCAAATGCCACTCAGTGCTGGTGTCCTTCTGCCGCTGACGCGACTCCAGGCTGTGGGTATTGTGCACAGGGCGAAAGGCGGAGGGTGCCGGCAGTGGAACTGCCACTTGCACGGGAACTTGCACTTGCTCCTCGGACTGTTCCCTGAGCTTGGGTCGAGCCTGGTGGTAGGCCAGGAAGTCCTCCTTGTACAGGCTCTCGTCCGAGAGTTTCTTCAGCTTGCCGCGTATTTCCTGCAGAGATTCGGCGGTGAGGAAAGTGTTCCTCTTGGCCACCGTGGGCTTGGCTGTTTGGGTATTCAATATGGTATCGAGGGCGGCCAAATCCACGTGATTATTCCGCATGGCCGTGTTCAAGCGACGACCGTTCTCCAGCTCCGCGCGCATGCGGGCCACACTCACCGAGTTGCTGGGCAAATCCAGGGGGCGTGGCCGTGTGACGCTTGTCTTGTGGTGATCCTGTGACTGAAAGGAGCGCCGCAGCTTGCTGACACGTCGCCACTCGCCTGGCTCCTCTTCCTGCTCCTCGTTGCGCTCCCAATCCTGGCTGAGATCGTCCGTGGATATCGAGCGTGATCGCTGGAGCAGCCCACTGCCAATTGTTGGCAACGGCGGGGCATACACCGACTGTGACACCTGCTGGCGACGCTGATGCCGTGCGCTGAGCCTGTCGAGGAATGAAATAAAAGTACGAGTAATGTGTGTGCTTGGTATCAGAGTTCCATTTGGATAATGCCATGAGATTTTTGAGAATTTTGTGCCACTGCTGCTCACTCACCGCAAATCATCGTCGTTCGCAGCGTCATCGTTATAATGCCGGAAACTTTCCAAATCACGACGAAGTCGCGTTGGCGTACTACCACCACCACCACCAGCAACAGCAACAGCAACAGCTACGTCAGCATCAGATCCAGTACCAAGCTGAGACTGAGACTGAGACTGAGGCTGAGCTTGGGATACACCCACGCGACTGCTGCTGCTGCTGGCTGATGGTGGCTGGCCATATAAGTCGGCCTGCTGCTGCTGCTGCTGCTGCTTGGCCCAAGCGGACGACGTGGATGTGGATGTGGATGTGGATGATGATGATGATTCTGGTCCAACAATTGCATGTAGGCTTATTTTGCCCGCACTTCTGTGGGTGTTGCCCGCTGTGGCTGTTGCAGTTGTTAAATTTGAATTGTTGCTGCTTTGGCTGGAAATACTCGAACTGCTTTTCTGTAAATGGCAAGGCAAACGTAAAAATATATAAAAATAAGATAAAACATATAAAAACACAAAAGAAGAGCCTGAGCCTGAGCCTGGGCCAAAGCCTGAGCTCAGCTCGAGTGCGGGTGTCTCGTGTCGTGTCTCCCCCTCGTTCTGTTTATATTCCATTTATTTATTTTTTGCTGGCTGTAATTGTTATTTGTATGCTCAAAGGAGTGGGTGCATTATTTGACAGGAACTGCTTAAGGAAGTGCTTAGCACTTAAGTCCCATTTGACTCTATATATGTATATTTGTCGGTGTGTAATTTGTAGCCTTGGCTAAATGAGTTTCCGCAATGCAAGAATCTATATCAAAGTATCGATGATTGTTGGGTGTATGATAAGCATAAGTAATATAGTCTAAGGTCTAGTTATTTGATTAAATAATATTTCAAAATGCACAGATTATGGAATAACAATGTGAAATCCCGTAGAGCTGTAGGCATAGGCATGGATCGATGGTGACTTATTTTCATTTATATAACTCGATAAGCAGTTAATCATCTCTGGCTGTAATTATTTCCCCAGGCAAAACTCAGAAAATCAGTTACTTAAAATGTAAATCCTATAAGTCTTCCAACCAACCAAAAACTAATTGTCTTTTTGCAATAACTATTTTTTTTATAGCTTCCTGAACATCTCCAACTTCTACCCTCAGGAAAACATAGAAATCTTCTCCTACTCTCTACTCGTATATTACTTCATCTCTTTCATTTATATTTGTGCTGAAATAGGGAAAAAACTTGGCCAAAGAAATTGTTTGGTGTCAAGTTTGATGGACCCGAACTGACTGCTGATTGTGGGCGGTTGTGTCTGGCGGCAAGACACTTTCGCAGCAAAGTTTTTTGTGAGCGCTGCTCAATAATTAGACAGTTTTTTTTACTGGTTGGCCTAATGAGCGACGAGAGAGTTGCCAAGAAATTTCCATTGTGGTCATGACCCAAATGTGACTCCCGATTGAAGTGCTAAGCAACGCCTAATTGGGCCTGTGCTATTATTATCGATTTTAATTCCATTCCATATCGATTGCTGACTCAATCGCTCATTAGAACCAGACAGACAGAGAGAGAGAGAGCGTGTGTGGGGGTGTGTCGTCTAGTCTGGTGTTCTTTCTAGACTGTGATGTATGGCATTTTGCCAATTGCAGACGACGAGCTGTGACTTTTGTTCATTTTTTTTGGTAGCCTGTCTGATGTTCTCCTATGATTGCGGCTACTAATCTATTGATAATACTTTTATGGCTGCGTCAGATGACCTCAGCTCAACTTGGGAAAGGAAAACCCCACCTAGAGATGTAAAAAGTAATGTTGGATCAGCTATGGTACCAAGAACTGAAGTTTTAGATCGAAATATGTATTAAAAGTCTTTTGATGCAATGTGAAAATTGATACAAATATTAAATATCATAAAATGAGTCTCTGTTAGTAGCAGAAATGCCTAATATAGAATTGAAATTAAGCAAATATTGTACTCGAGAATCTGATTAAGAGAAAATTCAAGCAGTACACACTTCTGCCACATTATTGTGGACTTCCTCTTGGTTTCTGTAACCCACAATCAGTGGGGGGTTCCTCACTTCACATCAATCTGCTGGCCAATAACATTTTCCCACCCTCTCATCCATGGATCATTACAAGTTTTCACGATGATTTTTCCCGCAGCTCGGAGCATGAGCATTTCCCCCTTGAATAACAACAACAACAATCAGAGACCGTTAACAACTGACCATTTTCGGTCATTGCCATGGCCGTGGCAGGAGATTACTCGTACTCCGTACTCCTCCAGCCAGTTCGGAAAGAAAAATGACTGCAAAAGCAAAAGCACAGGCAAAGGCAAAGGCACAGAAAACACAAGCAAACATCAACTCAGCGCATGCTAATGAGCCAACAGAAAAAAATAAGCAAACAAACAAACAAAAAGCAAAAAGAAAAGCCACAAGAAGCGAGCGAGTGAAAAATTGTAGAGGCACAAAAGCTGGTGGACTACCGCATAGGAGGAGTATTCGGAGTCTAGTCTGTCCAATAGCCAATGGGCATTTGGGCAATGGGCAACGACGGGCGACGGACTTACCATTAGATTGCTCAATTTCAAACTTGGAGCCGTATCGGGTAACAAATTGTGTCCGAGTTTGTGCAAATGAGCGACGTCAGCGTCTTGATCGCTGCCTTCACCATTAATCACAACAAAATCAACATGATCGTCGATGTGCTCCTGGCCATTGCTCAGCTTGCGCAGCGTCGACATGGCCGGGGATACGATGCCAATGTCGCTGCTTAGACTGCCACTGAGACTGCTATCATCGTCGCTAAGCTCACAGATGTCAACACTCTGAGAGGTGGGCCTGGGCCTGGGCATGGGCTTGGACCTGCATCTGGATGCCGGCGGTGACCAAATGGTTGGCGGAGTAGGAACACTGGTGCGTGTCGTGGTGGATGTGGATGTGGAGGATGCGGCCCAGCCGCGCGATGTGCTGCTGCTGGTGGTGGATGAGGTCTTTTGTACTGTCTGTGTGCGTATCACCTGCATGGCGCCGTTGGCGGTGCGTGCCTTCAGCACTTCCAACTGTTTTCGCTGTGTGTGCTGTGTGCCGTTCGGCTGTGAGATGTTTTGGGAATCGGATATCTGCAGGGAGAGAGAGGAAGAGATGGGAGAGAGAGAAAGAGAGTTGCGGGATTGAGTGAATGGCAGGATAATGAGTGGATCAAAGGAATTTTGTTTAATAATTAATTGTGCTATTTTTTGGTATTTGTTTGGTATCTTTTAGTATTTTAGTAAGATTTTTCATCAATTTAGTTGGACGATTGCGGGGAACTGAAAGTGTTGATACATCCATAGTGGGTGAAACGCAGCAAAATAATTTCCATTGTAGTCCAAGAAATACTCAATTATGTCTAATAAAACTTTATCATTATTATTGATAGATTTCTAGTTGAAGTATTGCCACAATGTGTCTTGTATATTCATTTATTATTTTATCATTACATTCTCATTATTGTCCATCCTATGCAAACACCCGAAAGTATCCGATTTCGTTTGATCTAATTTATATCTCAATTACCGGTCCGATAAATGCTTAGCTCTTGGCCATTCCCTGCCTAAACAAACATTCAAATCTCTTACAAATGATATAAATAAAACATTAAACAAGCAATCCAAACCGATGGCGATTGTATGTATGTAGCATACAGATACATATGTGATACGTGTGTGTAGGTTTTACTTTTTTGTGGGTGTGTCCCTCGTGTGGGGCGTTTAAAGTGTTTGGTTTGTCGCATGGCATTCGGCATTCGGCATTCGGCAACTGGGCGTATGAAAGTTGCTAGACGAAACACTTGACCGTCAAGCGTCTCGCCTAGCCGCTTGATCACTTCGCCGTGCTTCATGATCTGTGCTCCGTGGCGGCTCTTATCTGGACAGCTGTTGCTCGCTCGCTTACGGCACACGTGACCAGCCAGCCAGCCAGCCAGCCAGCCACAAATCAAAACGAGAGACTCTCGGCAACTGCACCCTTTTGCACTCGAACAATTAGCAGATCCGTTCATTGGGTCGTGCCATGACACACCACAGAAGAAAAACTAAAACAGTGGAGAGAAAATGTTGAACTGCGGAAACCGAAGCCTGGCACACCCTTTCTAGATTGATTGTTTTATTAAGAGAAATACTTGTTGCACTTTAAATTAGAAAATATTGAGAATTCATTGCCCCAACGTTGTGTGGTGTACCCCTGTTGCAAAGAGAATCTAGAAAATATAGAACACTGTAAAATGTACAAAACACATTTGAAATGGCCACAGATCGATTGTGGCAATCGATTGCTTTGATGATTTATAGTGCTAAACATGTATTATATGCCCCAAATAAAAACTTTAGTCCGCTCCTTGCCACGCCTGTCCGTGTGTCTCCGTGTCCATGTCCAGTTTTTGTGGCCCATTCGCGTCAATGACCAAATGGAAACGGCTGGTTCAGAGTCAAAGTGCAGCCAGCATTGTCTTTATACAAAAATTTGAATGTTCTACCGTCCCGCAGGGCGGTGGAAGAAACAATAAAAAATGCAATGAAAAATTCATATTCTGCGCAATTTTCTTATGCGGTTGAGTCATTTCAGGGGTTTTTGGGTTCTAGATTGTTTGTCTCTTTGTTTTGACTTGGAGAATGGGCCACAGTACGCGACTGTGGTGAGATCTTTATAATTAGCTTCATTAGATGGGAAAATAGAGGGTATTACTTCAGCGGGTGGTGGCACAGTTCTGTGTGCAATAATGGGAACTAGATTCATAGAAATATTTGCAGAATTTTATGCTAATTTTGTTCTAGTTGAATCACATATTTATGCTGATTTTTGTGTGGTTATTTTTTTCTTTAAACGATTCCTTTTCGTTACTCTGTTCCATCAGTAATCATTTTCATTCAGAGATTATTGCGGTTCTTCTATCTCAATCTCCAACAGCCGCCTTATGCTTCTGTTATGCACTGTACCCTGCGTATTTCAGTTCAGGGCTATATCCCTTTGAAAAGTTCTCAATCAATTCGTTTCATTTGTGCCCTTCCATTCAACCTCGAATTCGAATTCTTTGACCTGCAACTTTCAGCTTCTCCAATAACCGCAGGCCCCGAAATGGCCGCGGCATAACAATCATATCTGGCGGTTCCCTAAAGTCACACTCTCATCCTTGAGCACAGACTGTGACCAAGAAAGGGTACGAGTACGTACAAAAAATGTTGCGGGACGGGACAGCAGACATAAATTATTGAGCATAAGCAAAGTTTCGAACCCTTGGGCCATGCACGTTCTGCCAGAGTTTCTCACGCCATATTATAGCCATGGAGTCAGGAGGAGAGGAGACTCTTTTTTTTTTGTCTCTTGGTTCTGCATTTTGTTTGGAGAGCCTGCAGCCGCTGTAGTTCCTGCAGTGTGTGCCTGTCTATCGTTGACCTCTTTTACTTCTAACCAAAATGCTGTTCGATGTTCGATGTTCTGCACTCTTGCTGTGTGCCATTTAAGCTTTCTGTTGGTGGCCATGTGTAGGCTGGCTGGCTGGCTGGCTGGCTGGCTGGCTGGCTGGCAGGCAAGTTTTTTATTTCGTGGCCTGGTTGTTGTCTTGGTCTTGATCTTGGAGTCTCGTTGTCTGCTGAAGCTAATTAAGCTGTGCCAATCTGCATGGCTGTTGAAACTCACAGCTTGCTGTCCCCCAGAGGGGGTTGCCTCAATCAAAGCCACAGCCAGCAGCCAACATCGGCAGCTGGCGAAAGAAAGCCAACTGTAAATGAATTATTTTAGCATGGCCAAAATGATCAGCCGAATGATCAGTGTCATGATCTCGAACTTGAGGCAGCCAGGCAGCTACACTCTACACTCTACACTCCGCTGCAGCCGCTGTGGCAATGCTGATAAAAGCTACAGCCAGAGAGCCTGCAGCAGATCGAAGGTAGCCTCGCAGAGTACGAAAGACAAAATTGAAAATTGCTGAATACCAAAATCCCAAATCCGTATTGCAAAGTCAAGTTGAAGGTTCAATGAAATGCAGACCTCGCCACGACTTGCCACAGAGCGCTTCCCGCATATATTATAACAGCCAAAGTCGTGATGATGTAGAGGAAGAGACTTTGGCTTTGCTTTCGGTTTTTTTTTTGTTTTTTTCCTTCTATTTTTCTTTGCTTTTCGGTCTATGCCAAAATATTTTGTGCCTATGCCTGGGCCATGCTCTGAAACGAATTTAATGATGCTACACCACGATGATGATGATGATGATGATGATGATCATCATTATTATCATCCTCACTGTAGTCGACATCGTCTTCGTCGTCGTGGCCGTCTGTCTGCCTGTCTGTGGCCATAAGATTGACTGTCTATCTCCTGCCTGCTGCTGCTGACTCTGTCTCTTGACTCTGCCCCATGTCTGTGTGTCTGTCCATTCGCCTGTCTTACAGTCTCTCTCAGTCTTTCAGTCCTTTAGTCCGTGGCATGCATGTCGCCTTTTCTGGCTGGGATGGCTGCATGGCTGGCAGCTCTCTCACACACAGATCGCCTGCATAGACATGCCAAAGCGTTGACTCTTTTTTATTTTTAGCTGGCACTGACTTTGGTACTGTGCACAGTGGAATGTGCAGGCCATACATTATTGCATATTGCAGTTAGAGAAGAGAATTGGGATTGAGAAGAATACCCGTAAGAGATTGGATGGTATGCAAAGGAAATCGGTTAGAAATTGGATGGCATTTGGATTGAATCATTTAATTCAAACTGGAAAATAAAGCCTGCATCGTATAGATGTTGGATATGGTACATTTATTCCCTATTCCCTTTATATCCCACACCACTGTTCGGCGAACAAATTGCTCTCCTGCGCCCTTCCTTTTGCACACAGGCCATTTTGTTGGATGCTTCTTTTTGCCCGCCTGATGCCTAAACTATAATAATATACATTTTTATATGCATTATTTCTGTCACGATCTCGTTGGCTTTATATCTCTATATAGTGGAGCTGCAGGAGAGTGCTCGTAGCAAATCAAACGAGTGGAGCGGTATGTATATGTAGCCCGGTTTGCGTCATTGAAGTTGATGCCCCAAGTCGCCCCACCACGCTCCCGGAGTGTCCACCAACCGCAACCAACCATCTCTACATATATTTTTCCGCTGTCTGTTTGTGTGTAGAGAGTTCATTAATGGGCAGAGGAAACACTTAATTGAAGTAAGACACGTCAGTTGACATCCTCAATTAGTTGCAAGTAATTTACGTGTGTGTCAGGCCAAAGCCAAATGGCCTAATGGCTTACAGAGCAAAACTTACACACCAGAAGATACCCACACTTATATCTCACCTACCAGAGAGTCGTCACACCTTGACCACAAGTAAAGAAAATCTCTCGAGTGGCTGACTGGCTGGCTGGCTGGCTGGCTGGCTGGCTGGTTGCATCTTCCCCTGGTACTTGCAGCATCTCTTTTTTTCTGGTTAGACTTGTGCTTGTGGCAACCTAGTGACCCACAAAGGTGGCTGCGGCGGCGGCATTGCCAGCGGCTTTATACCGTTAGACAACTGCAACATTGTGGCAACATGGCCAGAAATAGAGAGACAGTGCCCACAACTCCAACTGCAGGCAAATAATTCAAATGCTGAAGTCTGAGCTTGCTTTTGCGCTTGCATGCTGCAAAAATCGTTTGGAAAATGTAAATGTAAATTTTTGCCATTGCTCTTTGGTTTGGTTTGGTTTGGGTTCGGTTCGGTTAGGTTCTGTTCGTTTGCTTGTTGCAACAATCCATAATGCTAATGAAGAAGTTGTCATGGAGCTATCCATCTGTGTGTTGCCTAACGGTGACTGCCTGGCTGGCTGGCTGGGTGCGTCTGCTCTGCTCTCCTCTCGTTTATTGACTATTGCCAAATTGATTTCATCTGTGATCTGTGCCGGCAAGCAAGGCGCGCATTGCCTTTGACTTTGCCGGCAGCAGCAAGCAAGGGGACCATATCCCGGACTTGGCAATCAAATTCGATTCCGAGCACCTCTTTAAACTGAGACTGAAACTGAAGCTGATGCGGCGGCACTAGGACTGACTACTCTTTGGCAAATTCTTACTGCCTGATCGTTTCCCCTCGATTGTACATTCGATCGCCTTCTCCGCAAGCCTCTTTCATCTTTTCGGTCAGTCTCAGCCGCGTCGTCAGTGGCAACAAAGTTCAATCGCGATAAGCTCTGGCTACAAAGTCAGCGGAATGAAACAGCTTTCAATGGGATTGTTTCTGTTTCTTTCTTTCCTTCGTTACTGTCTGGTGTTTCCCTGTTGCCTCGAATACCCTGCAGTCATAAAAGCTATCAGCTGAAAAAGGGCATATCAGCAGCGATCGGATGAATGTAACAGCCAAATTGAGTGACTGTTCGGTCATTAAATGAGCCGACAATTTTTTGGTTGGGTGCACCAGGAAGATTGCATTTCAAATGTCAACTTTGAACTGAACCGAAGTCGATCATTACAGAAAGTTGTTGGTGCCTTAACTGATCTTCAAAAAAGGTAAGCCTGATATATGGAGAGGAATTTGCAGAAGGAAATAATATATAACAAATGTTTAAGGGCCTGTAAAGAAGAGTCTAAGTAGTCCATCTAAAATACATAGATTGTGTAGAAAAATATAGAAAGTCGCTCTTAAAATATTCTAAATATAATTATCCATATTTTCATATACCATTAAGATCCTAGCACTAAAGATATTCCACTATGATCTCATGCACGAAAGGGTAGGGTAGGGATACTCCATTATTACTTATTATTGTTTTTATAAGCCGATCAGAATTCACCAAATGTTAAACAAAAATCACATCATTATTTGGATTAATCTCTCAAGTTGTAGTTTGAGTGCCGCCAATACCTGAGCCATGATGTCATTACATTTGATGGAAGTTCTTCCAGCAGAGCAGAGCAAATCGAATCGGCTAGAATGTTGTAGAGTATCTTAGAGTTCAGATCTGTTTTAAGTATCTGCTGCTATTTCAGATGAGGTTTTATTTGGTTTTTTGTTTGTTTTGCGAAGGCACTCGAGGCGCAAAGACTCCACCACACACGACCAAGACCAAGATGATGATGGGTGATGATGACGGCTCGTTGGACCGACTGTCTGCCAGTGGATGAACAGGCATAAATTTAACGATAGGCACCGCGAAGTGCTTCACCATTTATAATTAACCGACAAAATTCTAGAGCAATCAATGGACAAGACAAGCCATAGCCCAAAGACAAGTGAAATCTGAAGAATAGTACGAATTAATTATCATCTTTGTTTCGCCCCAAGAGTGTATGTGCAAAAAGATTAAACCGAAAGCCCCCCACAGAAATGATGGAAAAGATCTCTGCACAAGTGGCACACAGCGCACAGTCTCTCTCTCTCTCTTGCTGTATTTCAGCAATTCGGAATCGTATTAATTTTATTTCTCTGATTGTTTCGCTTCACAGCGAATGTGCGAGTGTGCGTGTGACCTGTTAATTATGGTTGAGTAAAAACGGTCAACGTTTACAGTGAATACTCCTATCTGTGGCCACACCATGTCCATGTCCATGTCTTGGTTTCTCTTGGAGTTGGGTTGGTGGGAAGGAAAGTTTGCAGTGTCCAATTGGACTTGTGGTATTCGCTAACCACCATGAGGCCAACATCATTCAGGTTCTTAAGTTATTGGGTTTGCTAACGGTGCTGCCCAATCCAATCATTAAATGCCAGACATTTGGAAAAGTTGTTGCACAGCGTAATGGCACTTTCCAATTGTTTAAAGTTACACCAAAATATTTAGAATAATATTTAAGCTTTCATTTATTATTTTACTTCTGCCTCATAAATATCCCAATTGATTTTTTAACGATTTTCTGCCTTCGTACTTCTGTTGCTCCTTCTTGCCTGCTCTTTTCTGCCTACTCACAGGGTAGCCTTGGGTATTCAACTAAATAAACTATTAACTGATTAAAATCAAAGGAAGCTAGGAAACCCAAACTAGCAATCAAGCGGCAATTGCCACAGTCTCTACTAAATTAGTGAACGCCTCTCCATTTAGAGAACAGTCCAGTCCAGAGTCTAGTGCCAAGTGTCTGGAAGAGTGCAGATCGAAGAGCGTAGAGCGTATAGCGTAGAGCGGACCTTTCAATTTCATTTAAACGACGATGGACAAACAAAGAGCAACAGCAATTAGGTCTAGACGGGAGCAGACCGCAGCAGCAGCATGGACCAGCCATGGGCTGCCATCAATCAGAGCCAAAAGTAATCGCATTTAAGTTTGGTATTGTTTTCTGGAGATGGTCCAACATATACACGATAGTTTGAGAGAAGCTCAAGAGCCTTCCCTTTTTGCAGTGCATACAACTCGCCCCCGTGTGTGTTCGTTCGGTGCTCACAAAAATAATAAAGAATAAATAATCACGCGGCCATCTCTAGATGTTGTAACTCACCTTGCCATAGCTGTTCAGTGGTCCATTTATCCAGCGATCTGCCTCCAAACGTCCACTAAACAGAGCTCCAGTATTGGGATCGATGCGTTGCCATTCACGCACCTCACGCTGGAATGGGGAACGGGAGCCGGTGCTCCCAGCCCCCACCAGCCCACCATTGCCATGGGACTGGGCTGCTGCTGCTGCTGCCTGCAGATGATGATGATGATGATGGCTCTGACTGTGATTGTTTGTTGTAGCCACTTCCATGTTGCTGCTGCTATAGCTCTGGTTGTTCCTCGGGAGCTACTGTTGTGCGCTTTTAATTTGCACGCTCGATGCGCTCGAGCTGCTTTTCGGTTTTCTTCAGGGTTTATTTTTATTTTTCTTTTAGCTGCTGCTGTTGCTGCTCGGGTCTCTTTCTCTGGAGGATTTGGAGGCGGAGATGCCTCTGTTACTTGCACAGCTTCTTTGTTCTGGTTGCTTCGCCTATTTTAAATTATTATTTATTGTTATTATGCTACCGTCTACAGTCTACCGTCCAAGGGGTTCTAGGGTCGCTCTACTGCGATCGTTCGCGTTTCGTTTTGGCTAAATTAATGGCAACTTTAATTTATTATCATAATAATAATTTTCTAGCTATTCTAGGCCCTGGCCACTGCTACTGTGTGTGCACGTGGCACACACACACACAAAATAACTTCCCGCACGCCCTCAAACTATAATTTTCTTGGCTTTTCCTTTTGCACGCTTTGCTGGTTATTTGCCTCTCTTTTGATTTTTATTGCTTTCACGGTCTAATTTGAGGCTTTTCTATGAGGCTGTGACTGCTGACTGCTGGCTGGAATGACAAGAGCAGAGTTGAAAGAAATTTTGTTAGTTAATTATCTCTGGCAAAAGTGAGAAAATGTATACAGATATGGGATATATGTATAAGAGTAGTTTGTAGTTTTTTGTTGTTGTTATTTTCTAGGCGGAAGCAAAAGTGCTTTGAACTGACTCCCTCCTCAATCCTCCAGTCGGACGCGTCGTGCAGATTTCTAATTAAATTTTGCGGCCAACGTCCAGCGGATATGGAAAGAGTCAGAGACACAGCGGCAGCGGCTCTTAGATTCTTTGATTGTCTCTGTCTCTGTCTCTGTCTCTGCCTCTCTCCCTCTCGCTGTCAGCGGATGTCACAGTCTATTTCCGCCTCAGAGCTCGGGGCGCTCAGCACATCTCGGACATGTGTGTCCACTTGTAGCTCTTGTATCTCTATTTTTTATGTTTTTGCTTAGCTTTAATTTAATTTGTTGTTTCGCTATTATTTCAGGTAGTCAGGTGGAGGATAGTCCCCGTACGCGTGTCGCCTGATGACACTCACATCATTTGTAATTGTCCAAATTGTGAAAGAACTTCATTTACCATATTTATATTTTTTTGTGTTGGATGAACAGTGGTTGAGAGTTCAGACTTGTCAGTTCAGCTGAACAACTAAAATAAATCTTCAAAATGTGAAGTTGTGTCATTTTCAAGGCTCTGGTTTCCCTGTTACACCCATTAAAGCTGTCAAAACAAGTGTTGAACAGCATTAACACTGAAACCTCACAGAAAAAGGTCTGATTTTCAGCACAGACACATCGGATGCAGTGCGCCCAAGAGTGAGAGAGAGCCAAAGGCATTTGAGTGCATATTTTATGCTGTGGCTGTTGCTGTAGCTGTGGCCCACCGCTAAATAGTAACTGTTACTAAGTTTCCACTGCCTGCACTCCTCTCCTTCCCGCTTTGCTTTGCTTTGCTTTAGTTAGCCTGGCTGCTCAGGCATTAATTTCCTCATGTGCTATGCTGTGTTGTTGTGGCCGGCAGGGAAATGGAAAACCCGTTTTCGCCGTTGAACTTGCACTCGTTTTGGTTTTTGGTTTTGGTGAATACGTTGAATCTTTTAGCACTTTGCCTAGAAATAAACACCCCGCCTCGTAGTCTCGTTTTTGTTTTTTGGAATTTTTTCTGTGGCACGCAGGCGTACTCCACATTCACAAATTGGTTGTTCGTATTTTGGACACGTTTTGCCGGTTTCTTCTTTAACTTTTTCCTGCAGTGTGTGCGCTAGTTGATTGTGTTAATTAAAATTTAATTAAGCGTAATTTTGTATAATAAAGCGTTGGCATAAATTTAATGCTACGCCGGGAAGCCACTCGGGCGAAAGGGAGCCGCGTCCGATTTGCCAATTTATTTTTTGTTTTTCCTATCGTTTGATTTATTTGGTGTAGTTTGTGGCCAAAAGGTTGCGCTGATTGCACATGGAAGAAAACGAATGGGAATGCATTAGACTTTTGCGAAGGAATTCGGGGGAATTAATTCAAAGATCTGTAAGATATATTTGCAAGTCACAGAAGAATTTAATTGATGCAAAAATCCAGTTCGTTGTCCAATTCTTTCGTTTTCGGAATTATTTTTTATAATTATCCAACTTTTAAGTATTTTTAAATCCTATAAAACTCATGTGTATTCTAGTTTTAATAATTGAAAGTCATTGTTTATAATTATTTAATAATTTAAATATCATATTTGTCTTTTGCGATACCATTTAAAAATTTTAATATATATTTTTTTTTGTCCAGAAAAAATTGGTTTAGAGTACTTTGAGTATATATTTGGGGTATAAAAAAAAAAATTATATATCTTAGTCCTTCCAGAGACATCTAATGAAAGATTTTAGATGCAAGTATGTTTATGGAAGAACTTGGCTATTTGAAAGTAATTTTTTGTGTTACATTTCCAAGTCAAGTTCTAGCCACAGCTTCAACTACGAATAGCAAGGCGAAAATAACCACAGAGAAAAAATGGTTTTCAAACTGAGTCGCTCAAGTCCACTGTGGTGGCTATGTAGCGGTACCCAAGACACTTCACCGAAGGTCAGTGTAATTATTATGATTATTTCTTTACGGTGTTTCTGTCACCCAACCGCATTAAGGAAATATCAACACAACTGCTCGAAATAGTTTTTTTGCCACAATAATTGCCCAAAGCGAAAGTCGTTTTGTATGGAGAGGTTTCTGCGGTTGGTTCGGTATCGATTTCCAGTCATTTCCATATCAATCGGATGCGTAATTTGACAGAAATTGTTGCCTCAAACTATTGTACAGTCCGAGTGTTTCTATGTAGGTTAATCCCTCATTTGTATACCCGGTACTCGAAGAGTAAATAGGGTATATTGTGTTTGTGCACAAAGTGGATGTATGTAAGACGCGTAAGGAGCGTCTCACACGCGTCCCTTCTCGTTTTAACTACCTTTACAATTTCCACATTTTGTCTAAGCATTTCCCGATCGAGTTTAGTGACAGAAAACTTTTCTGGGACACTTTCTTTAATTTGAATTCAAGCCAGCACTCCAGCAGCGCATCTTATTCATCTCCCACCCTTTTTACTGACAATTAGTCAAATGCAAAGGGAGCGAACATTTCAGATCTATAGATCTCAAAGCGAACGGAGAATGTACCAAAAATGTGAAATCACCCTACTCTGATTTAGACGGCTTGTCGGAATTCCAGAGATGGATAGTCAAAGTGCTCGACACAATAAATGTGCATCCGATTTGCAAGTAGGAGAGCGAGTCTTAAGCCACCAACACCAAGAACCCAATTGCCTTTTCTATTCACACATACAAAAAACAAAACGAGAGAGCCCAGTCTTGTGTTGTTTTAACAGTTACTTTGCTCTCTCGCTCTCAAACGAAATCCAAATAGAACCAAAAAAAAAACAGCGCATTATGATGGTTTCTGGATAATAAATATTAAATTTTTTTTCCTTTACAATTTCCGAACTTTTCTAAGCATTTTCCGATCGAGATCAAGTGAAGGAAATCTTTTCCGAGACGATTTATTTCATTTTGATTCAAGCCAGCACTCCAGCAGCGCATCTTCTTCTTCTCTTCCCTTTTTACTGACAATTACACAGTCAAATGCAAAGAGAGTTCCAAAAATGTGAAATCACCCATAATAAATGTGCATCCGATTTGCAAGTAGGAGAGCGAGTCATAAGCCACCAACACCAAGAATCCAATTGCCTTTCCTATTCACTCGTACAAAGCAAAAAGAACGACAGAGCTCAGTCTCGCGTGGTTTCGCCGTTACTTTGCTCTCTCGCTCTCACAAGAAAACCAAAGAGAACCATAAAGAAAAATATAACATAAAAAAAACAGCATATTGAACGTTTATTTAAAATAAATCATAAATTTAACTCCCTTTATATTTTCCAATCGATTTTCCGCTTACTTTGACATGAATCCATGCCAGCACTTCAGCAGCTCAACATTTTCTTATTCTTTCTCCTTTTGACTTCCTCATTAGCTAACTGTTAAGAGAGCAAACATTCCAAATCTCTACAGCGCAAATCCCATGCAATCTGTTTCAAAAACGTAGATTCACCCTACACTGCTCTGGTCGGCTTGCACAAAATCCCAGAGAGCACTAGGCCCAAGTGCACGTCTCAATATATGTGCAGTAGATTTTGAGTAGGGGAGCGCGGCCTAAGCCACCAACACCTACGCAGTTTACCTCTTTTGCATCTTCCTCATCCCTATCCCATTAGTCAAAAATCGGTCAGCGCGTTCGGTCCGGTAGGGATTTGGTCCGCGAAAAATCGGAAAAATCGGGAAAAATACGGGAAAATTCGGGAAACTAAACGGGAAAAGCTATCGTGCAGCTGTGAATTAATGTGCAGTGTACAACAACAAGTGTTTGATGGTGAAGTGTATTGAAATGGTTGAGCATTAAATGGGCAAAAAATGCGAGATCAATTGCGGAGAAGCACAGCGAGGCTAGAAGCAGATCGTCGCTGGAAGTATGCGGCAATATGTGAAAGTGAAGTGTGTGTTAGTGAAGTGAAATAAAATGTGGTGCAATGGTTGAACATTTAGTGGACAAAAAATGCGAGATCATTTGCGAAATATGCGACAATATGTGAAAGTGAAGTGTGTGTTAGTGAAGTGCAGTGAAATATGGTGATATGGTTGAGCATTTAATGGCCAAAAAATGCGAGATCAAATGCGGAGGAGCACAACGAGGCTAAACGGCAATATGTGAAAGTGAAGTGTTAAAAGTGAATTATTTTGCGTACAAATGTATGTACGTACATAGAGCAAGAATGTTCTAAATTTGCACCAAGGGCTTGCAATGTGTGTGTGTGAAAATATGCCAAAAAAGGCGCTAAGTTTTCCCCTCCCTTTACCATGCAATCATATTAAAGCGCAAGAAAAAAGAAGAGGCGCAAAAAGCAAAGAGCGAGTGTCTGCGCTCTCATTTCAAGTGTCTCATAATAGGGTGAGGCAACCCAATTCGTGCTAGTCTGTCTCTCTCTCGTTGAGTGTGTGCGTACGAACTTCCGTCCCAATGCCTCACCCTAAATTAATGTGCCCAAAATCTGTGCTCTTATTAGAATCTCTCGCTCGATCCCGTTGCATTTATTTCGTTTCGTTCGTTTCGTCGTATTGTCGCGGGCGTTACGTATGCATGTGTGTGAAGAGGACAATAAGTGCTTCATGACACATGCGAAAAGAAGAAGCGCAATGAGGAAAAGAAGAATGTAAAAGGCAAGTGAAAATGGATTATTTATGTTTGCTTTACAGTTTATACTTTTTTTTCGCAAATGCTCGTATATTTGTCTCAGTGACGATCATTTTTTCCTTTAGCTATTTTATTTTTGTTTATTACCGTACCCTATGGCTTTACACTCTCGAAATTAACCAAAAACAATTCTCCTTACACTTGCACCTCTCGATAAGTGAGTGTGGGTGCGCGCAAAGGTAGTTTTTATTAACGTGATTAAATTGGCTTTCATCCTCCTATTCCCTGGATCTCTTTG